GATCTTCAATTGCTTGTGCATATACTGACTTATAACAAGAAGTTGAAGAAGACATGATGTCATGAACATACAAGTGAAGAAGATTTGGGAAGGTTCTAGGAGATCCTAGAAGCTTCTAGAAGGTTCTAATAGGTTCTAAAAAGATTCCAAAAGATTTTAGTAGATTCTAAAAAAGTTCTAGAAGATCATAGGAGATCCTAAAAGGTTCTAAGTGGCTTTAGATGATTTAGGAAGTTGCCAAAGAAGGATCTTAGACTTGCTTTGTTTCCAAGCCTCATAAAAAAATTTCAAGAAGTTTCCTAGGATCTAATATATATATAAGTTAAAGCTAAAGGGATCCTCAGTGTGGACAATTTACTTCTTGTGGTCTAATCAGGATCTACTTCCCTTGTATTCAGTTATTGTTCTAATGTCGAACTAACTCCATTTCTTTGTCTTGAATCCTTGTCTTGTATATGGTTCCTAACAATTAAAGTTGTAATGAAAGCTATCTTCAAATCTTGAAAAGCCCTTTGTACTTGAGGTCTTCATTCCAATTTATTTTTGGATGTCATCTGAGTGAGAGGAGTACTAACTTGGAAATAATTTTTAATAAATATCTAATAGAAATTAGTAAATTTAAGAAAATATTGTACATCCCATAATGTCTTTAAAATTTTCTACTTTTTTATAGCTTAAACTTTCATTAGGTCCATCAACAGGCCTTCATTGGATATAATATATCCAAAATAAATTACTTTTGACTAATAAAATATACATTTTTCTAATTTGGCATATAATTATACATCTTTTAACTTTTACAAGACTAATCTCACATATTCTTCATATTCTTAAAAAATATTGGAATAGCTTAAGATATCATTAACATAGCAAATGACAAACTTATCTACAAATTCTGAAAAAACATCATTCATTAAATATTAGAATATAGTTGGAATATTTGTCAATCCAAAGGACATAACATATATTCAAAATGTTTGTATTTTATCCAAAATATTATTTTCTATTCTTATCCTTCTTTAATTTGTACCAAAATATACGCTCCATATAGATCTATTCTAGTATAGAATTTGGCTTAACTAAGTTACTTCAATAGCCTTGATATCAATGGTAATGGATAACAATTCTTTACTATTATTCTGTTGAGGCCGCAATAATCAATACACATTTATAAAGATTCATCTCTTTTCTTCACAAAAAGTATTGGTGCACTTATTGGCATAATCATACAATCAATATTTTGGCAATATATCAATATTCTTCTTTTTGAAGACATCTTCAAATTCCTTATCCTACTCTAAGATAGCTATTAGTGAGCTTATTTTTTCACAAGCTAAAGCTATATAAATAAAAAAATGACATTTCCTTCTTAGTTGTCTTCATTAAAGCCCTTGCTTTAAGAAATAAAGCCTTTGTTATTGACTTCTTAATAGGTTTTATCCAAAGGGATTTTATAAAAAATTCAACCTTATGAAACCTTGAATTTATAGATGGATTATATTTTTTTAATCACAAAAGTCTTAGAATAATAGAATTGGATAGGGTTCTAATAAAATTTAATATTATTTTGTTACTATGGCCCTTAAATGATATTTCTAGTAGTATGGTCTCATGAATAATATTACTTAAAAATAAAGATCAATCATTTATTACTTCTACATGTATTGGTTTTGACTTCTATATTAAAGCAATTTAATGAAGTTTAAAAAACTCTTCATCTAAAAAGCAAGTAAATGCTCTTAAATCTAATAATGCATTTGTTTGAAGTTTTGGTGGGCCAAAAAATAAAGGTATAATAAAACAACTAGCAAGTTGGGCACAGAAAGAGGGACCTTGATGAATTTAAGGAGTTAAAATGTTTAGCTGTATAGTCTTTATTGTTGCTAGGCTTATTAGTTTTCTTGAATAATTACACTCTTAATCTTCATTATAAGTTGTTTCTTTTGACAATTCCAAGATTTGTGGCCTTCTTCACTAGAATATAAGCATAGATCTTGTTCAAATTGGCACTTCTTTTTATTTTCTATAAGAAATTTAAACCATATTTCATCAATTTAGATATCTTCAACTCAAAAATATAGAAATAATATATTTATTAAAGCAGCAGAGTATAAATTTTTAATTCATTGTTTTGTCAAAGTCCATAAGCATTGATCTTGATAGCATTGAAACAATCAATTATTGTACTTCACAACTTGGTTGATAGCTTCATTGATTATTTGAAGATCAAGTAATGATAAGAATAGTTCTTTCACATCAATCCTTAGTTTTTAATAGAATTTGCTCATAAGAGCTTATGCATTCCAATTAATGTGATAAGCCAATTGCCTAAAATCAGATATATAAAGTGATATAAAGCATGATCCTTGGCATAATGAGTGAATCTTTGTTGTTGCTCATTGAGTTTTGTCATATTCTTCACATGCCTCCTCAAATGCTTCTAAAAAAGCTTCAAAGTTGCTCAAGATTGGAAATTTTTTCTCAAGTAAAGAAGCAAATAAAAATAAGGTTTGTCTTATAAGCAAGGTTCCAACTAAATCAACTTGTGACTCCTTTGTTAGATAGCGCTCAGATTATAGAAAAGTTATTAATCAAATTTGGTTAACAAATCCTCAAAACTTAGAGTATGTATCATAAAAATTTTCTAGAAGATTAATCCAAGACTCCTTTTGTTATTGAATAGGTGAATTTTTTTATATAAATATAGGTGCCACCTCCTCTTTGGATATAAAAGCTTAAGAAAGTGATTGCATCACAAGCTGAATTATTCCAAGTCTAGTATCACCATGAAATCTTCAAAAAAATCCTTCAATTTCAAGACTTTTATAAGAAAAGTATTCATCGTATTCATAATAGAATCTAACTTGGACTCGAGATTCAACCATATTAACACCTTCACCTCCAGCCATCTTAAAAGAAAAAAAATACAATTTCTAAACAATATTAGTTTAAAGAAGGATACTTCACAACCATTAAAGCGCTAAAATGCCTTCAAGAAGAGGGATAATCTTCTCTCTAACAAGAACTTGATTAAACCAAATGAATACAAGATCAACACTAAAAGAAGTGAGTTAGAACTCTAAGAGATGTATTATCAAGACTAAAGATCCTCTTAGCCTCAACTTTAATATTTACTAGGTATTAGGAAGCTTCTCGAGAAGTTTTCATGTTGCTTGAAGATGAAGCAACATTAGGAAGCTTCTCAAATAACTTCTTTAATTCTCTTGGAAATTTTTAGAATTTACAAAAATATTCTAAGAACCTTTTAGAATATTATAAGAATCTTTTAGAACCTTTTAGAACTTAATAGAATATTCTAAAAATATTTCCAAAAACCTCTTGTTGAATGTCCATAATATTAATATAATTTAATTAAGTGTTATGATTTATTTATAATATATTTTCTAAATAATATATTTTAATTTAAAATTTATGAAAAAAAATTAAAGATAACTATAGTGATTGATAATTGTTTCGGATAATTATAGTGATTAATAAATTTTATATTACATTTTTATTTTCTTAAATTTTAAAAAATAATATACATCATAATCCAAATTAATATTAAAAAATGCATATATTATATAAGTTTTATGCTTTAAATTTGAAACCCGTTTATTTTGAAACAACAACAACAACAACAAAAAAAAAAAAAAAAAAAAAAAAAAAATCTATACTTGAATGTTTCATTACCAGTGATATCAGATCAGATCTACATCAATTGTGACCACAATTTCCAACTCTAGAATTCCACTTGAGAGGAAAACCTTACAATAGTGTTTCTACTTTTTCACAGAACTTAGGGTACAGGGGCCTTGTAATGGCAAGGTTTCGTATCCTGAATTAAATGTATAAATAATTGAATAAGAAAAAGACCAGTAAATGCAGAACAAGTTGCACTCTAGTGTATTACACTTTAGTGAACAACCCAATTTGTCAGGCCCCTTCTTATCCAGTCAGAAGAATCCACACTTGTGGGCCATTTTGAACGTGGAAGTTGTGTGCATTGTGGTGCATGACATTCCTGCCAGTGCCTGAATTCTCTCTGTTTTGTTTGGTGTTAAAACATTCCTCGGTTGATGTTGTAGAATACAGTAGCACTTCCAGTATTAGACTGCTCTGGCAGTGCTTGTAAATGTAATGTTCATCTGAGGAATGGTTGGGTGATTACACAACCGGGAGGGATGTGGGTGTGTTTGTGGAAGCCGGTTATATCATGCTTTGTAGCTTGCAATTTATTGATGAGGTTTGGTGTGTAACAATTGAAGATGACAGTCTCTGAGATTGTGCAACGCGCATCGCATGATACTTCCTTGCGAGTACAAAAATTGCAGCACTTATGGTATAATAACTCACACATGAAGGCGACACTTAACCCTTAACAGTGTTCGAGCATTTTGCTTGTGATCTGTCAAAATCCATGAATCCTAATTGCATTCATATCACGATAGAAATCGCATTCGAAATTTCGCTACTTCCTTTAGATTGGAAAGTATATGCCCTCTACCAAATCGAGTGGATTCTATCAAAATCGAACCTGTACCTTTCCTTTCTAGAAATCCAGGGGGGGAAAATCATAGAAATCATATATTTTGATATTGTTTCCGGCAATACCATTAAAAGCGACATCATAACCTACAGTTTTGGTTCCATCATCAGCGCACAGTAACAATGTGTGCGCAACGTGACTGAATGTTACTTTCAGCGCAAAACCCAACCTGAATGACAATAGCATTACAGGTTGCCGCACCACTTTTTCCAAAACCAAAAGTCAGCAACGAATTCACCAACCGACTACATAGAATGGACCCACTTACTGTTGTGCAAGAAAGCCATCGCTGCACCACATTGAAGCGGTACTTTTGATAGGAAGTGAAAAGAAACTGTAAAGTGTCTCAAGAGCCCAGAAACGAGACACGAGTCTTCATCAGAGCATCAGCCTTCGATTGATACAGGCCAAGGTCGCATTCAAGTAATAAAAGTTGGAAGATGTTCACATAGACTGTCAAATTGTCGACTTCATTCCCATCTGGAATAAGTTCCAAATACAGCAATTGTTTGTAAGCCAAGGTCCTGCATGAATTGACAAGAGACCTAGCAAATGAAATAAACCTTGTGCAGGTCATTAGCAACTCTATTGCCACTGTACACTGAGCAATTCATCACCACAATAGAAAACCTTTTGGGTTCCAGCAGTGAAACAGGAAAATGGAAACAGGGTTGTCATATTCATGACACTATATTGTGATGAATAGGTAGGACCACATTCATACACGACTGACCTAATTACCTTCTATGCAAGATAATTACATAATTCTGTCTGTCCTACTTACAGCGAAAAATCACCGAGCACGTACACCCACTCGACCTGGATAATACTCGTCACATCCAGACCGTCGTGTAATCTTCCACCATGTACTTTGACGCATGCACAATAACAATTCTCCAGCGACAGTGAACTCATCTATCTGCAACCTATAATCCGTAGTCCCTGATCCAACTACCTGCAGTCATCAGCATCCTCATCTGCCTGACACCCCATGCCAGTTGCGGGCACTTCCATAATGGCTCCCCTTCACGAAAGACTCTCGACGGCGACGCAAAGCCCCGATTCAGCAGCCACCAATTGCCTTCATCTACAAGCCATGGCCTCTTCCTCGCTCTCGGCTCCTGCGCCTGTGGCTCCGGGAACCTAAACCTCCACCCAGGTTCTCATTGTTTCCAGACGGGTTTCCGGCCAACCTATTCGCACTGTTCCCTTGCACCGGCTCTCCCCACAAAGTGCTACGTGCCGCACTGTTTCGAGCTGGATGGTACCGACCACGCACTAGAGATGGTAAGCCTCTACTACCAGCTATTGATGACGCTGGACCCAAAACTTGAAACAGCAAAAATACCGTCCACCAGTTTCCATCATCCCCTGGAAAGTCATTGTCGTCACCTCCCTCGTCGTCGCCTTCGCCGTCGCCATCGATCACATAATCTCCCAGCACCGTTGCGCCAGGCATGGTTGACTGTATCGTACTCAACACGTCCCCTAGGTCGCGCTGTCGCTCCAGCTGGATCCAACGATCCTGTCGAGTGCGGTCGATCTCCGACGGCCGGGCTAACGGGTGAGTGCACCGAGCATGCTTCCGCAGCTCTTCGTAAGGCCCGCTGAAGTTGCACGACTCCTGAGCACAGGTCCTCGTCTTCTGATTCAGGTGGGCGCGAGCAGCCTCCACCACCTTCCACCCTTTCACTTTTCCTCTGCAAAGAGGGCACAAAAGCTCGCCTGCATCCGCGTCTTCTCCTGGTACGACACTATTTGTGTTGCCCACATGGCTACTCGCCTCCACGGAAACCTGGCCCGAAGCATCATCTCCAGTATCATTCACTTCTACAGATGCCTCCCGTCTGTAATTGTCACCGCCATTACCTCCCAAACCTCTCACAACACGCTCTGAGGCAGACCCTGAGCCTCTTTCGCCCTCGAAATCATCCACCCTGTTCAACACTGCTCGTTCAGTTCCTGAAACACCTGCTTCTCCCACGCTAGCCAAAGGTAGTGTATCACGGAGTTCGTGAGCCTTCCTATACTGATCCAGGCAATTTGAGTGCCGGTAACTCGTATCACACATATAAGGGCGACAACCCTTACCGTAAGAACTACAGATCAACAAAACAGCATTGTGTGGGTGTTCCATGCATACGGGGCATGTTGCCTCCTCCCATTCTTTCCTCTCTGCTGAATCCTCGCCGTCAGCGGAAGAGGTCTCTTGCGCCACGCTCTGCCCATACCTCGAGTACGGCTTATAACGCAAGCTTTGTGAATCGGACGACAAACGCGACAAGTTGCGAGATTCCTTCGGCATCCTAACATTTATGCAGTTACACGGAAACCAAAAGTCAGCACCTTACCGCACTAGAGATCCACTTCATCACGCATACACCCCGACCTCGCAAACTCACACATATATCACGTCCACATTTTCAAAGAAATACCTGCTCCTCCACATCAGAACCATAACACACACACACACACACACTTCTCCCAACCTTCAAAAATACATAAAGCAGTTGTGGAAGGAACAGACACAAAGATTTTTGATTTTTGATGACAGTATTCTTCCGCGTTCTATCCTCGAGTATGTCACAAAATTCTCCCTAATTTCTATCCGGCAATCAGCAAAGTCGAACTTAAGGCTTCATTCTACGTAGCATCTAACAAGTAGGATACACGTATGTAGCACAGTATTTAGGTCCAGACATTCATGAGGAGGAATAATTCCAGATTTTGAAGACAGATTAGGTATCACACGCAAAAAAAAGGTTTTCGCATAACATCTGCCTCACCAACAACCCTCATACAACTCCACAAAAAAGCAACGTTCAACCACATGCCACAGAGCATGCCTGACGCATCACCTGGTAGATCTCTTGTAACCAGCACGCCGGAATTGGGCTACCCTCGAAATCCGCGTTCTGCGCCGAATGACGAAGAAGAATGAAAATGGAAAGTACTACTGTCCTTCAGATATACCCGTCACACCACTCCAACCAATTCAATTTTCAAGCCTACCAAAATCTCTAAGATTCCTTCTTGCCTTACCGTTTCGTATAGGCTAAGTTCCTTGCGTCTGCCCCCCTTAGCCAAGCAAAGGCTATTCAGCAGCAAACTACACCACACCAAGCGTAAGGAACCAAAGGACAGGAAAGCCGCAAGATGACGGATGTATATATTATAAGGTTTCCAAAAGTGAATTCCCGCGCATTCCTTCGAGAACAACCTCCGGGCGAAGTAAAATTAAGGTCACCCCCACCGCCTTCCGACTTCAGGACGGGGCTCCCAACAGGCGCCCTCCGTGCTGTTGTCAATCTCCGTCTCTTCGCCGTTCCTGTAACACGCACCAACGAAGCTTCGTCCGGACCTGAACAGCAGGGCAAGGACTCCACCAACGCACAAGAGCGCCAGCCCTAGAGGCCACAAAGGAAAAACCAAGAACTGATACGCAGGGTTTCACACAGCTCCACTCACAGCACTCCTCCAACACATCCCCCCGTTGCAGAGAATTTCAAATCTTACAATCGTCCCTCCCGCTGCAATCACCACATCGAACTCGACCTCCTTGCTCCGAGACACCTCTCCCCTTCTCCCTCACACAATTTACCACCTCACAGAACAACTGCACAAAAGACACAGAAGACGAAGAAGGCGAAGAAGACCACGCGGCACGCCCGCCGTCCCGCCCCGAAAAGCAATCTGAGGCCGAGAATTCAACAAGCGTTCAACATAGATAGGGTGTCAATGGAAGGCCAGGTTGGTTGTTCACTGCTTGCCAAACGGTTCGTCGTTCCAAGCAAATCGTCCCCCACCCCCCCCCCCGCCCCCCCAGAGACGCAAATCGCACCCGAACACGAATCGTCCAGCAGAAAAATTCCGCTACGCACGGCCAGGCCGTAAGGAGGAGCACGAGTATCGCATCTCACGCCCCCTTCTCTCTCTCCCTTAGAACTCAGGAGCAGCGTGTGAGAGAGGACGAAGAGGAGGAGAGATCTAGAAGGCTCCAAGCCACACTCCAAGGAGGAGGAGGAGCGAGGAAGAGGGAGAGCGTGCGATGGCAACACCAGCACGTTGTTATGGCATTGAGGACTCCATTCCATTCCCCCTTTGCCTCGCCCCCTCTCATTCTACTACTATTCTATTCTATTCTATTCTAGCTCCTCCTTTAAAGTACTTTTTCTACTGCCATAAAGTAAAAGGAAGGGGACCAGGCAGGGCAGGGCCTCCTCCCTTCGTTTCTCTTGGGGGCGTTTCAAACCATGAACACCCTTTTCACTCTCTTTACTTTTGGGGGTTTGGGTGTGTCAGTGTGTGAGTGTGTAAGTGTGTGTTATTACTATTATTATAATTTTTTTTTTTATTTGTTTTGATGGTATTTGAATGTTGTGCATATGGGGTGAGTAAGGTCATGATTATTTTGATAAATATGTAATTGATATGTTTGCACTTTTTTCAAAACTGTCCTAGTGAATGTTTCTGTGTGTGTTTGTTTGTTTGCTACCTGAACATTTTTGGGTATGAATTGTGATTTTTGGGTTAGTTGAGGTGTATGTTGTTGTGTTGAATTGTAATATATATATTTTTTTAAGGATGAACTTTGTACATCATCTCCTAGATGAAATAAAGTGTGTGCCTCCTCATTACTTCCAATTTGAAATGGACCAACTTTTAACCCACTCACTAAACAAAAGAGAACGGCACTAAGACAATCAAAAAGTTAAAAGAAAAAGGAAACACACATATATATATATAAATATAATTGGAGTATATGCTATTAAAACATGTATTTTATTTTTTAAACCTTTTTGTAAAGATCAAAGTTCCTTCATACAGAGACCATATAAATCCACTAACATGCAGGATGTGAAGCCCATGCACATGACCCTGTGACCGAGGAAAGGCCACCGAGGGACCCCCCCTGTAACCAAACCAGCCCTACTCGCCAGCATGGAAAAGGTCTCCTTCCCCATCCCACTCTGATTAGAAAAATGGATGAATGAACATAATCAGCAATTGTCATCCAGCAGTGACAGACAGTCCCATTTCGGGGGTGGGGGCGACCATCCTCAAAGGCAATCTACTTTTGAGCCACTTTCTTTTTCTTTCTTTTTTTTCTAAATTTTTTTACCTTTTTCCTTTCCTTTAGTTGGGTTGTGTAAAAGTTCCTTCCAAAGTAGAATCTACGTTATTTAGGTTACTAGGGTATAATTATTTTGTTTTCGTTATAGTGGAATTAAGTGTGACTTAGGTACAATGTAAAAAAAAGAAAGAAAAAAGAAGAGGTCTTCTTGTCATTGACAGATTTCTTTTCCTAATCTTAAATTTTATGCAATGAAATGTTATTTTTTGAAATAAAATAAAATAAAACAAAAACCAACTCATTTGCATCTTTTTGCATTGTTCAAAATGGTTGGTATCTTAAAAGTTTAACAAGAATTGGATTTACCAAGGCGTATATTTTTTTTACTTTTTTACTTAAAGTGTGAGGGAAAAAGTTGTTTTTCTCTTACAAGCTAAAATTATTTTCCTCGTTGGCAAAACTTTGTATTAGATAACTAATACATTGTATGTGCATGTAGAAAAACTATTATTATTTAAATTTATATATTTTTCTTGATGTATACAAAATACATGCAATACATCTGCTGCTTTAATTGCAGTTTCGTGCATGGCTAGTGTCAAAATCAAGTCTGAAACTTCATGTTAGTTTTGTACAATGTGTGTAAATGCATGAATAGAACAATACTTTGCATACTCAACATTGTATCTCTGTGGTAATAATACTATGGAGGAAAGAAGATATAAACCTCTAATAATTTGTATATATTTATTTTTCATTATTATTATTATTGAGAAATAATTTTTTTAGAGTTATGATTTAAATCAAATATTGTACATGCTCAATTTAAACATAATTACTTGTGCAAGCACAATTGAAGTTATTTTTCAATCTATTTGTGAAAAATGGAAATACATGTACAAACACCTATATTTTTTTATGTTTTTTTAATATTTTTTGCTCACAATTTACGTGTATTATTATTATTATTATTATTATTTTAAATTAGAATAAACAAAGTATCGGGGGTATTGAAATGAATGTGCGACAACTTTTTCCAGTTTTCAAAAAACAAAAAATTGACAAACTATTTATTGGACTAACATCAGCGCATGGGTGTGCTTTTGACCACACTACAGAGTACATTCAACCCTTTTTTATAAATTTATTTACCAAAATACGAAGACAATTGGGTGTTGAATTCGCAACATCGTTCAGGAAATAGCCATGAATAGAAAAATTGGTCGAAGAAGCTACGCTGTTTACTTAAAGACAAACTAACAAGCACCCACTCTGAATTAGATAACGAATGAAGGACGGAAAGTATACGTGGAGCGATGAAAGTCGTTCGTTCGTCGATTCGTTCTTCCATTCGTTGGTTCGTTGAGTACAAGGATTCGAACGACACAAGTACATAGATGAATGTCCTACGATTAAGGATGAATGTGGATGACTATGTTGGTGGGAGGGAGACGATGAATCGCCGTGACCTTTAACTCTCATTCATCGTCTCACTCTCCTCTTCACAGTTGCTCTCAATTCTTCTGCTTCATGGATTTTCGAAGCTTTTGCGGAAGGAGGATTTGTTCACGGGCGTGAGAGCGAGAGAGTGAGAGAGAGAGAGCAGTGAAGAGGAATTAAGGTTTTGATTGGCGCACTTTGCATGTGTCTGGAGGTGATCTGCAAGGAACGAAACGAGGTCCGGAAACACTTGTTGTGGTAATGTAGTGATGCTTGTGTGTTGATCTCGGTTTGCGGAAGTCATGGCGGATATTGTATCGCCGAGTCTAGATAGCAGTAGACGGCAGAAGTCAGCAACATTGGAGGAGTTTCCGTTGCCTGACTCGCACAGGAAGAGGACACAAGAAGCACAGAGGTCAAGAGCCTGTAGCGATGTTGGCTTCGGGGAGTATCGGGTTGCGATGGTGCAGCAGCCGCTGCAGGGATTCGATTATGTCAGTCCGCTGCGGAGTTTACACATGCCTGCTCGTCCATGTACTTACAAGAGTGATGCCATGGTGCCTGTTACAACGCCTAAGGCTAATCCAGGTCTGCGTTCGCACTTGCATTACAATCTGTATTTTTAGTGATGAGCATTTGTTCAGTATTGCTGCAGGAACAGTGTGTTTTGGTATGCACGTTCATGAGCTCGTCGTGAGTTGTGCTTGAAACCCTAATTTAGGTGATGAACTGATGTATGTTGAATGCTCCACAGGTCATCATCATCAAACAGCTTCCTCAGACCTCGTGTCGCATATACGTCAAAGGTACGGGCAGAAAAGAGAAATAGAACGTGGCCAGACCTCATGGTTGATCCCGGCTCTCGCGTTGATTCACTTGATAGCCTTCATCTTGGTAATGTCACATAACAATTGTGATAGGAAGGGCAGCAATGGTGGTGAGAATGTTTGTATCTTTAACTTTGTGAGGAGGTTTCCATTTCAACCTTTGTCGGAAAACCCTCTGTTAGGGCCATCGGCGATCTCGCTGTTGGATTTCGGCGCTCTTGAATCAGAGCTGGTAGGAAGGGCGGGTGAAGGGTGGCGTATGCTCACGACCTTGTCATTGCATGCTGGGATATTTCACCTGGTAGGAAATCTTGCTGGTTTATTTTATGTTGGCTTGCAACTGGAGAGAGAATTCGGCTTTCTGAAGGTATACTTTCCGATACTTCTGTATGAAGATTTCTGTTTCATATTTCTCTTACCATCTGTTATGGTTTGATCCGAGATTCGTGAGGGCATGCACTGGACTTCTTCTTGCTCTTGACTAAGACCAGTAATCCATGAACGTAATATCAATTATTATATCCGACTTAACAGCGAGTGTTCATTTTTTTTTATCTTTTATTTTTTTATTTTTGGTGAGTGTGGATGTGAGCCCTTGTCAAGACGGGAATTTTACTCAGAGAAAAGGAGGATAAAGCTCTATCGTCTCACTGCTCAACGGCGAGGGTTGCATATTTCATCTCGAACTTCGTGAGTTCAGATGCATTCGAAGTCTATTGCTACAGGTTATGCTGATCTATTATCTGGCGGGTTTTGCTGGGGCTTTAGCCTCAGTACTATTTATGCATGGCCGGGTGTCCGTGGGAGCTTCAGGAGCAACGATGGGCTTGATTGGTGCTAGGCTTGCAGAAGTGGTGATGAACTGGAATGTCTCCAAGCATCGCACTCGTTCAATCGTCTCCACTTCCTTCTTTCTTGTCGGTACTCTTGTGTATGGTCTGTTGCCCCTCATGGACAACTTCATGCATCTCGGAGGATTTCTCACCGGTTCGCTACTTGGTAATGTGTTGCTAATTCGACCACAAGCAGAGTGGGTCAACTATGAGCAGTGCTTTCCTGCTGTTGTATATGACGTGGACGACTTGCCAGCGAGGTCGAAGCACTCTAGGGGCCAAAAGGTTCTATGGATTGTTTCCCTCAACATTCTTGTTGCAGGCTACATTGCAGCTGCTTTTGCACTCTATACAGGTAACCGTTTTCATCTTTTTCCCTGAACGTTGTAGGTCGTAGTTTAAACAGAGTCGTTTGAGATAGATGATTTGATTGGATTCCAGGCAACGAATAAACCATGCTTGGGGACTCTGAGCTTTGTCGAATTGGTGGTGAGGTACGGTTCATGCTTGTTTTTGAAGAATGAATGTCTTGATTCCAACTAGTTGGGGGCTGTCGGATCTTAACTTATAACGTTACCAAAGATCAAGTTCGATTCGATTGGTTTGCAAGTCGATTCAGAACCGTGAAGAGGAGGCATATTATCACTGTGAACAGGGCTTTCCTGCAACCAAACCAAACAAGCACTCTTGGGAAGTCCTGGTGGTCAAGATCGTCTTGCATGGCATAACTTGCTGGAGTTGATGTTTTGATCCCATGCAGCCTTCTTCCCGCAGGGATGGATGCCAGAAGAAGGTGCAGCTGGTGCCATTATATGGCATGTATTCCAACAGATTTATGGAAATGCCATGGCAATCGCAATATTGTATGTGATAATCCTGCTCTATCTAGCCACACACGAATTGATTGCCTAGGGAAGCACTTCAAACTAAAAGTTCATGTTGGAAATGGGACTAGTGATATGCGAGAAAACTTCACAAGCTGCATCAGAAGCTGCATGTGAATCACAGTGACTTTTATATTTGTTGACGATAAAGTGCTTCCATCCGGCTGAAGACTTCCTCCCGAACTGTCATGCAAGTACAGCCTCCCTAATGCGCCATCACATCTGCCAGATTGTTGACCAATCAAAAGGATGAAGGGTTAAGAATCAACAATTCAACACACATGTTGAACTGCAATGCTCCTTTGTCAGGGTTGTACTTTGTGCAAGGAGATATTGGATGGTTACTGGGCATGAATTCTTGGCTGATGTCCTTTGTGGTTACGAGCTGAGAAGAAACTCTCCTTCAGGTTCAAGGCTTGGTTCTTCAAAGTGGCGTGAGTCATATGCATCATTCGCTCATGTAAAAATATTGCACTAGTTCGTAGTTTAACAGGTAACCACATCACTCGTCAATCTGTTACCAGCTCTCAACGGCAACCTGCATGATGCCGTTCACTCCCAGTTGTAACTTCATATGTTCGTGTACGTAATGTAAGGTCTATTTGCATAAAATCCAGTGTGCAAAGGTAACTCACAGAAGTTTCAGATGCAACATTTTCCGAGGTGAAAGGCGAACTTCTTATGGACATGAAGACTCGGAACTGTAGAAGGCCCATACTCTTGGTATGGAAATATTGGTTATTGCTTCCTGCGTAAGTGCATACAGCTCCGGGTCTCTTCGTGCTTAAGCAACTTGTTTCATGCCCTTTCCCGAATCACAATGTCCTGTCACACCTGCACAGGACATGGATCTAATGAGCCATCGTCCCATGCCGACAGTTTACTCTATCTCGATAAGCAACAAGAGGGATCAGTTTCAGGTAGAAGAAGAAGCTCGGCAACAGTTTGTACAAATTGTGGAATTAATGGAAGGATTGCATGGCACCTCACCATCACCAGGACTTATACTTACAATGGTGCTCTCTCTCTCTCTCTCTCTCTCTCTTTCTTTCTTCCGCTATTTCATTGATCATTGCCTTGTTATTAGTTATAAGTTCAAGTGTTATGGGTTCAAAATGAAACAAAAACGGAACTGTAGACTGCACGTCGTTTACATAGACATTATTGTTGTGGGTGTGTTAATATTTTATTTTCATTATTATTGTTATTCTATATATGAATTTAACTAGAGTCGAATGTATGGTTTGTTCTTGCTCTACAGATTGGTTTGATTTTACATGTGCTGTTTTCAGTTGCTTTTAAGATAAGTTATGAATGCTTATTATAAAGTGTTGTGACTATTGCTAACAATGTCTCATGCTTTAGTGATGGTTATTTTTCACAAAATTACACACATAATGTATACATATATAGTGATAGCATTGAATTTAATTGTAATTTTATTGTAAAAAAATGATTTAATATATTTCTTGTCAATTACATTTTAGGTACTTTAGATAGCATTTTTAATGCACTACAATTACATTATTTCATTGTAAGCTTAACACTTGGTGGTATTTTTACTTTAATCAACTGAAAAGTTTAATTCGGTCAATCTTTTTTATTAATCTAAAAATTATGTAAAATTTTGCAGTTTTTAAATTTCAATTTTTACATTTATATAGAAAATATGTGTGTATATATATATATATATATATATACATACACACATATTTTCTAAAAAAATCTTAAATTATACATATAATTTATTAAAAATATTTTGCCTTTAAAATATACATGTTTTTCTATAGGTTAAGAAATACTGCATATTAGTGTGTTTTTTTAGCAAAAAAAAGGAGGTTAAAAGTTTAGTACATATGCAACATATTATTTTTTATGTCACACAATAGATATTATATTTCTGTATACAAGTTTAACACCTATTATAAATTATTGGACTCAAGCAATATCAATATCACATTGGTTTGTTTTTGTGTATTTTTTTTCCTAAGTATAATTCATAATTGTGTAATGCATCTTGTAATTTTTCAAAATAAAATCCTTGATTGTTTTGTTGTTACTTGTCCAATTTTCATTTTAAAGTTCTTACTTATACACGTGCAAAATGACAGTGAAATTCAGTCTTCAATCATCAGTGCTAATAAATCCTCGTCCAACTCTCAGAAATCTGAATGTAAATTAGCATAACTGCACGCCTTAATCATGACTACTTTCTGCTAATTACAAGAAACATTAACATTTGGTTGTCCATTGAGAGTCCATTGGAGTTGCTAGTGACCTGCCAGATAGTGCAATCTGTTGCTAAAACCCACCATTCCAACGCCCTTCATGTTGCACAATCCTTGCAAACGCTTCCATTGTTGCCAGTGACAAACACATAAAAAGCTTCATGCCACTGGCATTCACAAGCCTGAAAATGGGGACCCTCTATCTACTCTTTGAGATGCAGAGTTTCCCTTCCTTTCGGTTTTCATCTCCACTGTTGTACATGAAAATGTGTAGAATCCACGTCAGTTGCATTTTGAGACTAGATCTCACATCTTTCTTTGCTGCTCTGGATCATCATCTAGTTTCAGGATCAAGCAACTCGCTGTAGCTGAACAGGGTCCCACAACAATGCAAGACTATATGTATATGTATATATATATATATATATATATGCACAGTTTCTACACATATATTCAGGCTGCAAGGCTTTTGAAGCCGAGGGTTGTGTTTTTCGAAGGTGTGTTTTTTTCTGTAAGTTTGTACTAGTCTATCATTTGTGCAGGTCGTGAGGATCTGTCCATGGTGGCGTGTACTACTAGTGTGGGTACGAGGCTCTGTTATATCTGTCGAGCAACTATGAGCTCCGTATGATTTCGTCACGTCCTTTTCTTCCGAATTAACGCAAACAAAACAAAACAAAACAAAAATTACACACACAGAAAAAAAGAAAAAAGAAAAAAAGAAAAAAAAAAAGGTATATTCAACTTCATGAGTTTCCAACCTGCAGTGAAAGCTGATGTTCAGAGCTAGCAATGCGAAAGGTCATTGAAGTCCACACTGATTTGCACTTGTCTGGTGTTGGGGACTGTATAAATAAACTGTTTTCTTAATCTAGATGTAGAAGAGCTTTGTGTTGGTTAGTATGTCTAAAGTATGAGTGTCAACCAGGTATTATGAGAGGATGAGCTCAGAAATACCTTTACTACAATTTTTTAATTTTAATTTTTTTCTGTAGAATTGATGAGTGAAATGGAGATTTGTCATGTTGAATGTGAGTGTTGTGAAGTCTATTTTGATGAGTGTTGTGGGTGTTTGAATGAGGTGATTGTTGTGATCACTATGTGCATGGTGTGAACTTCAAATATGACATACTAAAAAACGAAAAAAAAGAAAAAAGAAGCAAACAAAAAAAGCACATAGAAATGCAAAAAAGAGCTCTATCATTATATATATATATATATAAATATATCAATATGGAGATAGATAGAAAGATATGTTAATATTATTCTAATTATGTGCATGGATATGCAAAAGAGATTTATTTGATACGAATGAAATACAAAGTTACAAATCCTAGTGAATCTGTCTGATCAGATAATGAAGACTATCAATTGTTTTTGACTGAGGCACATGAGTTTCTATTTTGTCATTGTTCTTGTCGATTACAAAATCTGGCTGCTAATGATTGCATTTTTGTAGATTCTTCCTATTTATTTTTTCTTTTATTCTATGCAATGTAGACATGATATGAAAAACTTTCTTAACATAAAATTTTTTCTTTAAAAGTGGATAAATTTTTTCTATTTATATGACTTATATTAATTGATATATTTAATTAATTAATATAAAAAATTCATATTTTTAGTTTTTATTTGTAAAATATTTTTTTTAACAATTTATCGCCTGAAAAGACATGTCCTATACATTGGTTGTAACTATATTTTTGAAACTTTATGTATAATTTTTTCTTAAATTGCTATCATAAAGGAATTTTTAATTTTTTTTAAATACTTTTGTAAAAGCTTAGAAGACATTTACTTTAAAACAACAAAAAAACTAATATTTTAAATAGAAATAAATAGCTTGTATAACACATTATTGAATGTTTCAATAATAAAATCTATTCATATAATAAATGATAATTTATTAAAAAAGAAAATTTTATCTTGATTCTTATTTTTTATTTACGGATTTATTCTTAAATCTTCTTTATCTTTAAGAGCTAAAAATTCTCTTAAAGATGAATAAGATTAACAAGATTAAATTTTGAATTATTTGTGAATAGATTCATAATCTTTTAATTTTTTTAACTACATGATGAAACAATTAAAAGCAATAAAATAAAATAAAATAAGAGGACAAAAACTGTTCATTTCAACACAAAAGAAGCCAAAAAAAAAATTCAATAGAAGTTGGAATGAATTCAGTATGGATTAAGATAAATTATTATTACAATTAATGCAAGTCAAGTTGCAACACATCTAACTTTTTGCAATATTATATATAATTTACAATGATAAATATATGCATATAATTTAAAGTAACCAATTTATTTATTTATAAATTAAGTTTCTAAATCAATCTTCTCACATACTCACTCTATGCAAATCAATATTTTATTCTAATTTACCCTTGCCATACCAATAAACATTTTTTTTTAAAATACTAATGTTATATCAGCTCAAAAAATTATTGTATTCATTTTGAATTACAATGAGTTGATTAAATAGTTATTAGATGTTAAAAAATCATTCATTTTCATATAGAAAAAAAACTAAGATCTTATATTATCTTATGTTTGAATTAAAAAATAAACTATCAACTTATGTTGCATCAAATTAAAATTTTATTGTATCATGGTTGATTTTTTTTTATTAAAAGAAAAAAAAAAAAAAAAAAAAAAAAAACTATATCTAAATATATTTTCTTCATTGAATTTATTTAAAATCACAATATGTTTTAAGACTAAATACTATTGACTTTAGAAGTTATTACCAAAGATTGAAATGAGATTTAAAGAATTGCAATCTTATTTAGTCTAAAGAGAGCATTTTCAAAACCAAATGGTGATGTTAAATTTATAAAAATCATGGATTTTTTTCAATGTGAGTATTCAAATCCTAATTGATATGAACAAAGTCAACTAACAAAAAAACTATCAATGGATGAAAAACCCCTAACCAAACTAAACTACATATATTTGACGAGATTTGGCACCCAATGCTATATCACGTGACAATCATGAGAAAATGTTAAAAGTTAATACATAAATAATACAATGGATTATGTTTGAAGAATTTGGTTATTTAAGAAATTTAACAATGCCATTTTGTTACAAATAGAATGCATAAACATCACAATAATATAATATTTTTATTTTTATTTTCTTAAAAAATTCGAAATTCAAATAATGCTAATATTTAAAAGATGGGCCCTTACTAAATAATTAATGTAAAATCAGCAAGAATTCAAATGTTAAGACTATAAATATATATATATATATATATATATAGATATGATAATTATATTTGACATCTTATATGTCACAAGAGTAGCAAATAATATTCATGCTATTAAGACATTCAATATAAGAAATATTTTATAGAAAAAAATTATTTTAACATAATAAGTCGAAAATATATATGTCATGATATTCTATTTTGATCATTTGTGTATATTTCACTTTTACAAAAAAAATATTCAATAAAAAATTAGATTTTTTAAAAAGAGTAGCTTTTAAATCCACAATTTTACAACCTTCATTTAAATAATAATTAATTACATAATCAAAACCATTCAAATCTGAAAATAAATATTCATGTACATACATAAAAAAAGAGATATGTATATATATATATATATATATATATATAAAGATAGTACATATGATATATATTTATATCTTTTATTATTTTTTAAATTTCTTTTCTAGTAATACTACTAAAATAAAATTTAAATTATATTTTTTATAATATAAAAATTAAGATTAAACAAAAAAAACAAATTTTCATATTGTATTATAAAATATCGAATTTTTTGTTTAAAGATATATTTTAATAGAAGACATTCAACTTAAGCAATAAAAATGTATAAAACAATTTTCTATTTGATATGTAGTTTGAAAAAACAAAAATACTCTCTATACATATAATAAAATCCTCCATTTCTATTAATTAAGTATAAGAATATATGAAACTTTATCCAATAATAAATGTTTAGTGAATAATCGAATAAGAATGCTAAATATCCATCTATTGTTGATTGATACATGGATAACACCTATTAAGATAAATTTATCATTAAAAAAATTGGTTGGAACTATGGTATTTGCATTGTTTGTGTGTTCATTGTTGATTTAACAATGTTATTAGATTTTATTTAGTTTTTTGCTACACCAAATATCAAAATATATTTAACCAATTGAATCTTATGGGTAGAAAATTCACAATTCTTGCAATGAAGGGGATCCACCCATACCCAGGCATTGATACTCAAGTGCATCCAAAGACCAACATTATGCCCTAATCCAAGTTATCAATGGACAACACACACCCAATAAAGCCACAATCTCAAGTGCAAGCTTAACATCAAAAACCACCACAATCACAAAAATGTTAATTATCAAACTCAATATTGCCCTTCAAAAATGCCTTTAAAAACCCCACATTACTAAAAAACAACCCTAACTTCATCCATCTATTCTATCTATCCATCCATCCATTCTATCTATCCATCCATCCATTCAATACTCTTCACATAACAAAATTTTCCATCTCATTGTGGCTTTTTCAAAAAGAGGTCTAATGCTTGCTTGCTTGCTCTATGCTCCCTTTCCCTACCTCAAAAAATCCATGTACTTCTTCCCCACCAACTTAATGCATCATAAGGCCAATTAGTGTGGGTGCAAGCCATGTTGGATACCTACAAGGGGGACCACTATCTCTCTTACACACACACATATTTGCTTTTTTGACACATGTCTTTTACTTTATTTTTACCTTTTAAAAAATCTTTATACTACTTTTTACAATCTATGTGTTGCAAAACCAAAATGATGTGTTTTTAAATAGGAGTGAGATACATACACATGATTGATCTTATGTATTTTTTACTGTTTATTTTTATTTATTAAAAAAATTCTTTGAATTTTAATGAGGGCAAGCATTAGCAAGTGATGAGATTAGTGTGTAACTTGAAATGGGCCAAGGACAGATCTCTCTACTAATAATAGACGTGCTCATGAAAACATGTCTTTGTTAATAAGTTATTTTTTGGTATCAGAAGTATGTGTGTTATGAGGTTAAAATGTGGCAGCTACTCTGATAACAACCACCACCTAAATCTTAATAATAATAAAACAAGTCTTGATGATTAATACATATATATATATATATATATATATAAGACTGAATGAACAAACAAACAGATGAATTTTATTAGCAAACAACTTCACAAATAATTTCAAATTGTGTTTTTAACATGAATACTATGTTATAGTATCATGGGTGTGATAATTTATTGTATGACCCCCCAATGCTTTATATCTGTCATAGATTTATTTTTTTACATGCTTTCTATGTAATTTGTTGATGTGGGTGTATCCATGCAATGTATTTTAAACATCAGTATGTATATTTGCAATATATATTCATATATATATATATATATATATATATATAGATATTGCTTAAAAATTTTAAAATGTTATATATAGAATTTGAGTAAAATTCATTATGACAAAAAGTATTTTCATATGGATTATATTTTTTTTGTTGTTTTGTTATCACTTTTTTATTAATATATTCTTGACTTAATATATATGAATATATATATATATATATATATATATAATGTGAATTTTTTACTTCTCAAAGAAACGTGTAAAAATATACAAGAATCATCAGCATACATGAAAACCATTAAAAGCCAACCGTTTTTACATTCATTTAGTATTAATGATTATTTAAAAACCATATTGTAAAAAAAAAAAATACTACATGTTTATTGATAAACACTACATATAGATATACTTAAATACAATAACAATATAAGCCATGTCACAAGACAGTAACAACACAAAAGACCAAATTAGCACTTCACATTAAAACCCAAAACATCATCCAACGTACAAAGACACCCATCACAACACAAAAAAATTCCACATCCCCACTAGACTAGAAAGCCAAAAAGCAAATTTCTATTAAAAAGGTTATTAAATATATAAGAAATAAATAAATAAAACTATAACATACCACAAGGGCTTGGAGTTAGGGTTTTAAAAAACCATTGGGATTAGTTAGTTAGTTCCGAGAGTTAGTCCAACGAAAGCGCGCCGCGAATGGATGAAAACACACCCACATCCACATCCATCCACGGAAAGCGACGAAACCACGTGGTAGCGAGCACTCGGTGGATACACAACAGTACATACATATACCTACATACACGAGGACGAATGCAACTAAACATACGATTCGGTATCGGTGCAACATGATACACAAATGCATTCGAATACCCCAGAACGGCATGGCGCGGGGGCGGGACGGAGGGAGGGGGAGCGAAATTGAGGGCGCCACATTGTCATAAAGTCTGGTCGGATTGATTGCTATTCTGTCTGTCTGCCCTGTCGATCGCTCTATTTCAAAACCCACAAAATCAAACGCTCTCTAGCTCATGACCTAGACCACAATTTGCCACTTGTTGAAGCAGAAGAAGACGACGACGACGACGACGACGACGATGATGCCTGCTTAATGTCGTAGTAGGGTGGAGTGCTGTTGTTGTTGGTGCTGAAGAAGACCCGAAAGAGAGAAAGAGAGGTGCAGCAGGATTTGAGGAGGAGAGTGAAGAGAAGTGAAGAGAAGAAGGTGGCGACACTTGGGGGTGAAGGGGCTCTCGCTTGCTTGGCTTTGCATTGCTTACATGCAGACAGGGCCCAAATTTGGGGAAGCAGCAGCTGTGGTGGTGGGGAAGGGATAATGGAACATGGGTGAGAAGTCGAACGCGACGGTTCTGCACTGCTCCGAGTTGAACTCGTCTGGTTCCACGTCGCAACTTTAAATGCTGCTCGTTTAGAGTTCCTCCTGGCTTCGCCCCTCTTCGTCGGATCCACATTGTTTTGTTAGCTCACGTGGCTCTGTTTCGTCGCTCCCTTGCATCCGCGTGCGACCTTTCCTATTGCAGCAATGCAATTTCCTCTTCCTGCTTTTGCGAGGGCAGCGTTGTAGTATTACCCCCCCTTTTTTTTTCTTTCCAATTCTTTTTTCCCTCTGGGTGCTGTAGGTTGTGAACTGACTGGGATCACCGCGTAGTGGTGTGTCAAGTCTTGTGGGTCTGGTGCGGTTTCCTTAGCGGGCTTTTGAGGTACGGGAGATGTATTTGTGCTTTTGCGGGGTAAGTTGAAGGGTTTTGGCGAGGTTTTGAGGGTTATTCCGCCCCCGAGGTATTTCTTTCGTCATTCCGTGCGCTTGGTTTCGACGGTGTTGCAGAGCCGGGGACTGTTGCTTTGGTTGGAATTTCGGGCTTGTTATTCGATCTAGTTTGTCTTAGTCGTTGAAGCTGCCAGAGTAACTTTCGTAAGGCTTCGCAGCTGGTATGCGTGCTGTATGTTTCCCTCGGGACATGTGCCCATATGCATCTTTTCCCATGGCACTGTGAGGGGCGTCGGAGTGACCTGATTCCCGCCAAGCTGGAGCTCACTTGAATTTCAAATGGGAATATTTTATGAGAAGCGGCAGGGAATGCTCTTTGTTGTTGTTCCTGGTTTTGGCCTTGCACCGTCCAGATGCGCCAGTCTTAACTCCTCTCTGTTGTCCTTTCAGTCTCTTGTAATTATTACTCGTTTGCAACTTCGAAATACGATATTGTCGTTCCGCAGAGTCTGTCCCTCGAAGCGGTCTTGTTGCAATGCCAACGCCGGCAGTACTAAAAATTCACCAGAATGATGCGTTGATTCGTTGATAGCGAACTTCTAAACCGTTAAGCGAACATGTACTCTTGTCTTGCAAGATGGTCGAGCTAGGAATGAAACCAGCAGCATTCGGTCGAATCCACCAATATTAATTTTATGCCAGCATTTTGAACTCTACACCGCAGTGCAACTTTTGGGAGACATCCATTTTTGTGGGGCGCTCGAAGCAATCGGGGATTGAATAGGGTATGTGACTCTTCTGTGGAAGGTCGGAAGTCACGGCTCATGTGGTAACTATGTATCAGCATGATACAAGCAGTGAAAGAATTCCACAGAGTCCTCCGGTTCCTCAAGCACCACCTGAGAATTTGAAATCAACTGGCACAGAAGCGATCGAAGTGAAGGTGGAGCCGACCCTGACGCGGGTAGACTCCATTGAAGGTGGTCCTCGACGAATTACGAGGAAGGAGAAGCTGCAGCAGAAAATTCGACGAGCTGGACAATTTTTGAAAGCCCACACAGACGAGCAATGGTATGGGTTCAAGATTGCAGTAGCAATGGCATTGAGCTCAATACCGGTTCTCGTTAGACCCCTGTACGACTATTTTGGAATAAACAGCGTGTGGCTTATTATCTCAGTAAGTGCTTTCGCCTCATTTACCATTCGCTACAGTGGAATCCGTGCCAATGTACACACGTTTTAGTTCTGCCAGATGAGATCGAATGAATTAATGCCTTTGTTTACTATTTTAAATTTAAATTTAAATTTAATATAAATTGCTAATTTATATTAAATTTGCGGGTATCCAATAAAAGGTCGTACCTCTTGAAGGAAAACATGATTGATTACGGTTTTTTGTAAGCCTTTTTTTTACAGAAGTTTTTGTCTCACTTGTCATCTCACAAACTCCTGTGAGTAAGTAAAGTAGCAGGTGCTTCTCATTGATTAAAATCTCGAAACCTATCGGAGAGGTCGAATATTTGATGCCAGATGCGTCGTAGTTTCTCATCTGCTCTTGTTCCGATGGTTTTTCTGCGATCAGCTGCAACGGCCTTGAATATCGATTACAAGCACCAAGTGCACCTAATTGTTTTTACTGAGCGTAATTGATCAGTATTGAACAAAAGCTTAGATCATGATTTATGTGAAATGCAGGTTATTATTATTTATGAGCCTAAGGTGGGCACTATATTGTCCAAGGGAATTCAACGCCTGATCGGATCTGTGTCCGCAATTTTACTCGCGCTTGCATGTTCTGAAATTGCGGAAGCGTCTGGACGAGCCGAGGTGTATGTGATCCCTGTGTTCTTGTTTATAGGGTCATGGATCATTGGTTTTTTTAGACAGGTACGATTTACATCCGTACCTAAGAATTTCCCTTTATAGATACCATGAGGTTTTCTAGCTGCATTGGATCAGAAATGTGCCATTAGTTATGGCATAGTTATCGTCTCTATCTGCACCTGTAATGCTAGTGTTGATAGAGAACGAACTAGGCCACGGAAAGTTTCAGAATGTGAGGATCTTTGGCATGCTGCCACGATTATTTTTGGGTTCAAAGCCTAACTTCGTCGTTTTTCTCAAGATTATTACTGCGAATCATAGAATCAACAGTAGAAGTCACATTAACCGAAAATTACTTGTGCATGGTCCTATCCATGTCTTGTCTGGATTGACTAAGGGAGCCAACTTACATGTCGTTATGCTAAATCTTGTAAAAATAACTCATATCCATACATAGACTTATATCACAGCACGCGTATTAAACTTTACGTAGGTGTGAAGTTCATTCTTTTTCTTTACGAGAAATATTAAACTGTTGTAAATGATGTGAAAAGTTACACATGCCAATCACGGTGTCAAACAATCCTGTTGCTCTCTGCAGCTGCCAATTGTGAAGGAGAAGTGTGATTATGCTGCACTTGTTGGGCTTATTACTTTTGGGTTGCTGACATTGATTGAGTGAGTGCCTTTTCGACGTCACCTACACTTGTTCTTTACTTCGACGTTTTTATCTTGATGCTCTAAATGTTTTCTCTTGCAGTAGACACAACAGTGGGGCAACCTTTTTGAGTTGGTTTTTGTTGTGTGTAAATTGGACATTTCAGATGAAGTTCGTGTTCAATTTCCAATACATATTTTTTGTCTGTTTTTATTTTTAGATAATTTTTGTAACCTCAAGCAAATGTATCACCTGTGATTTTCGTCTACTTTTGCCGTCAGGTATCGCACACATGAGGGACCAAAGCTCGCGGGCTTTCGAATGTTGCTTATTGTTGTGGGGTTTGCCATTTCAGTTGGGACCAACATAGGTATTAAGCCAAATTTTGCAGGAAAGGAGCTGCATGAGGTGGTTGCTGCACATTTTGACAAAGTAAGTTCACGAGCTGTGTACTTTTCATTGTTATGTTCATCGTGTTTTCCTCACCTCATCCTCCGAATGTAGAATCGCACACTTTTCTCACTGTTTGGATTGCAAAGGCGGTGTACCACTTAAAGATGCGTATAGTGGTGAAATGATCACATCTGGTGGGTAGTGGTGCCAGTGTTCAACATCCCCTTCCGAGGCTAATCTTGGTGATCGATGTGAAAAAAACCCTGGTTTTGCAGATTGCGGTTGCCCTGGACGCATGTGTTCAAGCATATATAGCAGGAAATCGGATGGCAGATCTTGAGAAAATTATAGAGGGATCTGAACCTGAAGATGCTGTGTATGAGGGCTACAAAACCGTTATTCTTGCGAAAGCTAGTGAAGATGCACTGGTTAGTTTCTTTCCGTACTGTCACTGCAAGGACTCACCTATTGCATAATTTATTGGGTGGCGCGCAAGCTTGCATTCCAGCAACCTCTTCCCTTCTTGTATCAGTTCTTTCATCTATCATTTTCATGCTTGTGCATGATACCCCTTCTCGTTGAGACATGAAGCCACATTTCATTCATGTCCCAAGTTATTATTTTTCTACTTTGGTTCCGTAGTGCGTTAATCAGTTAGTGTTTACAATGATGCATAATCAGTTCTGCGCCTATGCAGCATGATTTGGTGGTGTATGAACCGCCTCATGGTCTATTCAGATTGAAGTATCCATGGGGTCTGTACAAAGACATTTCGCAGTATTGCCGGCATTGTATGTACGCAGTGGTAGCCATGGATGGCTGTCTTCGCTCTGAGATTCAATGCCCTGTTCATGTACGTCAACTTCTAGCTCGCCCTATGATTCGCCTCGTTGAAGAAGCCATCAAGGTATGCATATCATTCTATACTTTGACATGTACAGACCGTAGTCGAATTTGGAGCTGGTGATCATGGTGTACAAAGTAGGAAAGGCTGCTACATAATGGTGAAGGACATGTCAGTTAGGATGAAACAGGGCAATTGAACACAAACCTGCAAGTAGAATTAAATCCATTGGCTATCAAGGGCCTTGGTTGCAAGGAGGCACCTTCACTTCGGAAAACATTTGCAGCCCTGAAATATTCTACAATGACCAAACTGAATTCCACCTTGCATCTTCAATTGCTAATTAACGCTCCTACAACTTCTGTTGATCCATCCTCCAGGTATTAGAGGCAATGGGAGAGAGCATAACAGAAATGAAACTGGTGAATCTTCGGCCCTACATGAGTGCTGTAGAAACTGCAGCCCTGGATCTGCAGAAAGAACTGCAGGAGAATGCAATGTTGTTGATAACTCCGACTCCTGAAACGGACAGGTATGCTTTAGATCTTGAAATTGATACTGGCGTTTGCCCCACTGCCAAATGAAGTTTTTCACATATTGATCACAAAACTTTCGATTTTTCCACGGTAGTCATTTTTTGGGCGAACGTCGATTTGTGCCTTGGCGTGTGTATCAATGCTTTGGGAGCATTTGATGCTGTGAATGTCATTCATGCACCGAATTCTGTCGGTTCGGGATTAACCCATCTCGATTAGTCTATCACAGTTGACCGCAGAGATGCATTTAATCTTCCGAATCCAATTTAAATTCCAACTCTCTTTAAATTAATATCTTGGTCTTTGATGTGCACACTACATTACCTGACCAGGTGGGTGGAGACTTATTTGGATGACGACGATGAAAGAGCTAGAGCCAGTATGTCTAGCAGTAAAGCAAGACGATCTGCAGGTACATATTATGCATTGTTGACAATGCTGAGGTTTGTGCTCTCCATTGTTCTTGGTTTGATAAAAAGCAGGTAATGGTTGCATCACATGACATTGACAAAAGTATTGGTTCTTTTTATTATTGAAGCAGCGACTGAATCAGTAGAGGGGAAGCGAGCTTCAACAGAGGATGATGAATCTGTGGAGTTCTCGTTTCCAGTAATGCAGGCAGAAGAGGGATTTGATGATGGGTATCTACACACGGACTCATACAACCATCAGAGCCGTGTGACGCCGGAGCGCAGTACGTTAACTCACAGCAATTTTTATTTTTATTATGCATTTGCGTTTATTTTTATATGCATTTGCGTTTACATTTCAGGTTAATTGTGCAGTCAAAGCTAGATTGGACTTAACAGGTCTTGAAAACGCAGGCCTGCTTCAAAGTACTCCTTCGGACTTGCAAGAAAGGCATCGTCCTTCAGTGGATCTCACGTACATGGAACCAATTACCCCTTCTTCCCAGCAGGGCTCACTGGCTGATCGGATCAACCGAAAACCAAGTAGTCGGCAATTAATGGTTCCAGTTCCAGGAGGAATTGCAGTTTTATCATTAGTTCAGTTTGTGTGTGGTTTGGTAGAGTTTGCAGCCAAGTTGAACTTGCTGGTCAATTGCGTCAACACTTTGGGCGAGAAGGCTGGCTTTACTGGCGATGGTAGGATACGCTCTAGAAGAGAAAACACTGAGAGGCGAACACACTTAGATTCGGTGACTACTGATTCATGAGGGCTGCTCCATTCTTCCAGTGCTTAGCTCGCCTGGGTTGGTTTTGGATTTTAATTTTTAGGCCCTCGAACCACAAAAGTGGTATACCACAGAACGTTGTACCTTTCTCTACTGGCCTGCGGTTGGTCAGCTTCTTTCCTTTCAGGAAGATTCCTTTGATCATTGAATGCGTATTTTATCATTTAGTGATTTCAGGCTGGAGACCTGCTCTTGTTTCCGCTCAAGAGCAAGGTTGGGTCGTATGTTAAATACTTCCGCGCCGTTTAGCTGGGTTTCTGGTCTGCAATCCCTGCCAATCTTGCTTTCTGAGAAATGGTTGTGAGTGCTAGAATTCAGGTACCTCAACTTCAACTTACTTCCTTTCCAGTGCACCGTATTACAAGCGCTGTGTAGACGGTGCAATGTCATTTTGGAAAGCCACGATACCACCTCCTCCTACGAAGCATATCTCATGTTATGTTTCTGCTAGGGATAGGCTCATACAGTCCACAAATCGTACCCAAGAAAAAGCAGCTAGAGATTGCCTTCGTCATGTCTGGGAAACCACCTTAAACCAGTAACCCAAGTTAGTCGCTTTATTATCTCTCTCCATCATCACTCTCTAGAATAGCAGTTTCAGGGGGGTGGGTGGGTCTTTAAACTAAATTCACATCTTTGGAGTTTTACCCATCGAACATTTTACCATATTCTTCCAGGTGAACAATTAACCTCCAAAAGCTTTTGGAATCCCCTAATATCGGTGGATTGCGGCTCTAACTACTCAGCATGAGGTATTAACACTTTTCAGGGGATGTTAGTTTCAAAATCTCAAGCAACTTAGCCACAGATATTGCCTTTTGTCTCACTTAAGGGACCCACTGTTCATTAAACTGCCTAAGGGCATCGATATGCTTACGAGGATTATCGTCGCACATGGGGAACGAAGCTCCCCTCGTAAGGAACACGCTCCCAGCGAAGATCCCGCTATTTCCAACCAGTAGAGTAGAGACGCTCGGGGAATCTACGAAAAAGTGGATATCTGGGATATTTTACAGTTTTTGGAGATTTGAAGAAGCCCGATGAGATACCCCGCCACGCCCGTGGGAAAGCGGCCGCGCTCCAAGCCTCGTGGACGTTCCCAGGATGGGGAGCGTAGCGTACGAAGGCGATCCCAGCAATTCAAATGTGGGGCGGGGATGTTCCCTTGCATTGGAGCAGAGTGGAGAACAGCAGCGCCCTGCAGTGGAGAGAGAGAGAGAGAGAGAGAGAGAGAGGGGTGAAGGAAGGGCGCCTTCTTCTACAACCTACTCTTCCTCGTTGCACTTAGACTGTGTTGTGTTTTTTGTTTTCCCCCCCCTGGCACCACATCCATCTCCGTCTCGATTCTCGCACTCCGCGTCCCTGCATCTGTGTCGGCTGACGGTCTCTCCTTGTTGCCGTCTTCGCTGCGTTCCCATCCATCTAGTTCGCGCCCAATTTGGTGGCCATTTGCGCTCTCTCCACGCTGTTTTCGTATCCGACAATACCCTCGGTCGCGTCTGTTACGTGTTTTCTACGTTCTCCATCTCGGAGGGTAGTGTTTGCCACTTTGCATTCGTGTTTCGGTGCTGCTGTTGCTGTGGGAAGGTTTTTGTTGTCGTGAAACGGCCGTGCGTCGTAATTGTACTTGTGATCGTGCGTTTGTTCGGTTATAGTTTCGCCTTTTTGGGCAGTTCAAGTTGGACTTGAGCTTAAAACGAAAAAAAATTACGTTCTCGCTTCGTTTTCATTTAGGGTTCCTCGTTAGCTACACGCCGGTGCGTCTTTGGTCTGTGTGCTCTTAAAGGTAATTGTCTCCGTTTCTGCAATGGCTGCCGCCGATTCCGCCCCAGCGGTTGACCCTGCCCCTGCATCCGAGCCGGTGGAGGAAACCAAGGTGGATGAGAAGCCTGTGAAGGTGACTAGAGAGAAAAAGGCCAAGGCTCCCCTGGTGAAGAAAACGAAAGAGGTGAAGGCACCGAAGCCTCCCAAGGCGCCTGCATCACACCCATCATACCTCTTGGTGAGTTCCACCTCCATCTTCAGTGCTGAAAGAAACCGTTTACTTGGTGAGAGTCATGGTGTAATATTTTGTGAAGATTCGTGGCGTTCTTGGTCGCGATGTTCGATGTCCGTGATGCTGTCTTGAAGCGAGTGGTTCGGGAGTTGGATAATCAGCTTCATGCTTTGCTGTTGTGTTAGTTCAGCTTTCGTTCGTCTGGAGTGTGTCCTTCCTGCGGTTGGTAGGACGGTCATGTGACGTAGCTGAGATTGACATGTCGCTGCAACATCACCAGGTTGCTGTGTGCTCATGGCTGCAAATGTGTGATGGTTGCAGATGGTGGTGGAGGCTATCGGTGCATTAAAAGAGCGTACTGGGTCTAGCCAGTACGCTATTGCGAAATATTTGGAAGACAAGTATAAGACAGGCCTTCCTCCCAACTTCAAGAAGACATTGACCATCCAGTTGCGAAATTTGACAAAATCCGGCAAGCTGGTGAAGGTGAAGAACTCGTTCAAACTTTCAGACGAGATAAAGAAGCCCGCTAAGGCTGCGGCGAAGCCGTCTAGCGCTTCGAAAGCTCCCGCGAAGGTACCAGCGAAGGCAAAAGTTGCCAAGAAACCTGCGGCAGGTCGTGTGAAAACCAAAACCGCTGGGGGAGCTGCTGCTAAGCCCAAGGCCGCAAGTGCAAAGCCCGCTAAGATGTCAAAGGCGCCGAAGCCAGATGCGACGCCAACCAAAGTTGCCAAGCCGAAGGCTACTACCCGCAAAGCTGCTGCGCCAGCACCGAAGAAGGCCGAAACCAAGTCATCTGCTACTGCAAAGAAGGCTGTAGCGGTTTCAGCACCTGCGAAGAAGCCCGTAACAGGACGAAAGCCCCCGACTGTGAGGAAGATGACTACTCCGAAGAAGGCCCCGAAGTCGGTGAAGACCACGAAATCGTCCAAGGTCACGAAACCCGCAGCCAAGCAAAAGACGTCCAAAGCTGCTGCGTCGCCTGCTAAGAAAGCAAAGAAGTGAGTTCCTTGTTTTTTTCTTCTTACCGCAACCAAACTGGTGTTTTTAAACACCACCATCCAGCGGGAATGCTCAATTCCTTACATACCAGCACGCGATGCATAATTCAATGCGTGATTGGTGACACATTTGGCTGCATTGTCTTGCTTCAATCCTATGTTTTCTCTAGTGCGTCGATGATGCTTTATGATTACATCGAATAGCGGCATTGAAATATGAGTGAAAACCAATTGAGTTATTTCGGTGGCAACTGCCGGTGGCGGTTTTGCAAAGCTCGGGATCATGCATACGCATTCTACATGAATTGTTATTCCCGGATGGCTTGATGAGTGGTCTAGGCATTGCTAGACTGGTGTCAATCTGCTCGCGGGAGGCTGACGAGGTAAATTCTCGGTGAAATCTGGTTGCAATGTACGAGACGCTGACGAAGCATCCTTCTCGGACCGGGCTCCGCCACATCACACGAGTGTCCATCACGAAGCCCCTAATAACTCTCGGCCTCCGGCCACCCGAAGAGCCTCGTTCTGGCATCTCGCACGCTTGCTTGTGCATCATTGCGTGTACTAGACGCAATACGTCGACTCCTAGCACATCCTCCACGTATTGTCGGAGGAGTGGCGGTGTTCACAGGCTGGTGACGAAGCGGAGGTGGGCGAAGTACGCGTTCGAGCTCTATCGAGGCAGTCCGCAGTGCGCGCTGCTCACTCTCCACATCACGCAACTCTAAGTTCCCCGCCAACGCGCCCCGAGACGCGCGCTTTTGCAGACCTGACCAATCATGCTCAGGCCTAATTCACGTCGAATCTCAGTGCGCAACCCTTGGAGCTACTGCTACTGCTGGAGTGAGCACTGACCCCAGGATCCGACCACGTCTCTTCGTCCAAGAGCTCCAATCACCCGAGCAACAAAGCATTTTGCAAAACCACGGCCGAGCGTTCAGCGCACACACACACGCGGCGAGGAGCTGAACAACGGCATGCGACAACTGAAGAATGAGACTCGGACCATTCCGCGGCGTAATTGCAGGCAGTTATTACCTCCACGACTACTACTCGTTCCGGAATTCCGTCGTCGATGGCGTAATGTGCACCTGTGTGCCGGAATGACGTTGCCTCGTCAATTTCTCATTCTTCATTCATTGCCTTGACCCATTGCGACCCTCATTCATCCATGTCGGATGTGTGCCGGAGTGTTGTGCCGGAGCGAATGTAGTCTGTTGAAGCACTGGATGTGGATGGTTTTCGTCCGTTTGTAGCGGACTTAAATTTGTTAATTAGAACGATGATTAGGGGATCTCTGTTTTTATTATGAATAGACAGTTGTGTCATCTTCGTACTTTTAAGCAGAAAGTGTTATAATTTTCTAATTTCTAAAGAATGTCATATTTATGATCAAAAGAAAAGCAAAGAAAAGAAAAAGAAAAGAAAAACCAACAACCACAACATGTATATTATTGAATTTGAGTTATGTATTTTTTTTTAAATGTAATTTTATTTTTTTTCTTGAAACAAATTATTTAAACCCAATGATTTTTAACATATCGAAATCATATGCTATTAATATACTAACCTTATAAAGCTTTAAAATTTTCTCAGAATTATGATTAATAGGTCAATATTATTTTATTAAACCCCTAAAGACCATAATTTTAGATATAGACTACAAAAGCTTTAAAAAAAATCATGTGCAAGTAATAATTTGTATGGTATTATTTTTCATCTATGTAGAACTAATAATTGGTTTTTCTTTAGATTTAACTACCATTGTACAGAAAATACAACATTGACTATCAGAAAAAAAAAGAAAAAAAAAGAAAAACCGAAATAAAATCAGTAAATCTTTAATTCTAACAATTTTATAAAAAAATTGAAGAAAAAGTTTTATCTTCTTATTTTATTTCACTTATAAGGACACATCTTATTATCACATTCAATTATAGGTTAACTACAATGAGCATGATAAACATAAACTTTCAAAAATTAACTACTTTTATTTATTAATGTATTAATGGTTTTTTCTTTTTTAATTTTTTAATTTTTTTTTACTTTGTAGCTCCCATAATTATATAAAAAATCTTAAATAATTTATTTATTCTATTTATTGACGTGTTTTGTAATTTAAAATAATTTCATCAATAAAATAGTAACATATCAAATCATAGTTCTACAATTTTTTATTTTATTTTATGAAATTTAATATTTGATTGCAGTTTTATTTTAAAAAAAATATTAATTTAAGTAAGTAAAATTTCTCAACCTTTGCAACAAATTAGATATCATTCTTTTAAATTCGAGACTATATGAATATTTAAGACAAAAAAGTAAATAATTTATTTTAACTTGTAAAAATAAAGCATAAGGTAGAATAAATGATTAATTTTGTAATAAGCTTATAATATTAATCTCCTTTGAATGAGATTTATCAAAATAAATATTTATTATAATAAAAAAAATACATTATTGTTATTGATAATACCATATATGTAAATAATATTATGTAATATATATTTGCAAACTAAATATGTGCAAGGTTTTGTTAATATACATTTAATGACCTATAAAAGTATGAAAGTAGTCTTTATTGTATTATATGCATATAAGTTTATTTAAATTAAAGAGTTGGTAATCTCAAATCTTAATTATTTAGATATACTAAATTAATCCAATAATGTATTACATTAAAATTTTAACCTACTATTTCCATATTTATATAGACATTTATGATATTTAATGAAGTAACTAATTGATATTTTTAATTTAATGAGCTAAAATTAATATATATTTTATCTATTTTAATAAAAAAATATATTAAAAAGTATTTAGTTATTTAATTATGTTTTAAACTTATAATAAAGTCAATATAATTCTTAATATAAAAAATATATAACTTTCAATAATTAAAAAAATAATAATATTGATACTTTTATTGCATGTGGATATATATATATATATATATAGAGAGAGAGAGAGAGAGAGAGAGAGAGAGAGAATGAAAAAGAAAGAAATACATGAATACATCGACAAAACAAATTCAGCTATTAATCTAAATTTAAAACAAACATTATGACTAATGAAAGCTAAACTTTTGACACTTTTTTTCCTACTGATTCAGATATAAGTTACAATAATTTTATTTATCTTATTTTTCAAATAATTTTATAATATATAGAACTTAAAAGTTTTTGTCTTTTTTAAATGCATTTCAATAATAACTGAACATGTGATGTAAGTATTTTTTATATTTTACATTTAATAAGGTTTTAAGCACTATTCAATGTTGTTTTGATATCATCACGATGGAATTTTATTTTTTCTAAATTAAAATAAAATCACATTCTTATAAAAAATCAAAAAACACATACAGTTTATATAAAGGTCAAGTAATAAACAATTGTTACATACAACTTGAAGTGACTTGAAATCTTTGATTATCACATTTAAGGTTTTTTCAATAATCTAAAAACCAATTGAAATTTATCTATTTATTTGTTCACCCTTGAATGAATCAAATTTGAATAAACTTAAATTCACAAGGTTAATTTTTGCATCCTATAATATGGTATTCAAATAAATTTGACATGCTCAATGTTAAACAAGTTACCTTTAGAATTTTATATGAAATAATCATGGCTCAATAGGTTATAGATCTAGTACTTAAGCCTTTGTGTTAGTGATGGATATTGATATCATAATATTTATATATTTAATAATCATATTTGATGGACATCAAATAGATTCTTAACAATGGTCAATTTATTTGTTGGTTATTTTTGGATAACTTGGGTTATTGTCAATGGTCAAATGAATTGATTAATTATAATTAAAGAAAAAAGAAAAGATATAAAATTAGCACTTGTCAAAAAATAAAGGTTTTAGATTTAGATAGATGATCTAAATCAATGTTATTTTTTTTTCCCTCTATATAATGTTTTTAATAGCATGAATAAACTTCCAAAAAGATGTTTGTAATATACCTCATATTCTCTTTTATATAATAATAACACTAAAAATTTCATTATTACAATTAGTAACAACTGAAACCATTGTTTTTAATCTTGTTGATGTCTTTTTAAGATTACCTTTATTTTATAAGTTCTTAGATTTTCATATTGTTGTACAATCATTCTAAAACTTTGTATTATTTTCAATATATATATATATATATATATATATTCTTTGATTTGATTTAGTACTATATAAATATTCAATCTTCACATCCAATAAAAAATAAAAAAAATATATAATTTTTGCATTGAATTGATGTTATGGATGTTAACATTAGCATTAATAATTAAGATAATAAGAAAAATTAGATAGAAGAAATAGTAAGTAGATTTGACAATATTATGTGGAAAAACTTCTTAGAAGCTTTGTAGACACAAATTTGACTTTACAAGTGTTTGTAGTTGATAAGTAGGTTGAAAACTAGGCCAACAAGTTGGTAACATGTTGCACATATTGGATGACTTGTAGGAATTTACTAAGTAGCTCTTTAGTTAGATAATATATGTAGAAGTAATAGTAAATCCTTTGTCACTATTATTGAGGTGTTTCTTGTGTTTTTGCCTTAGCTCAAGAATCTCCAATCTCTTCATATTTGGCAATAGCCATTATAGTTTTTGTCTTATATATATCTTTCATTTGTCTACTTTCTTTTTTTGAGTGTTATATGAATATATTTCTTCTTTAAAGTTTTGTTAAAATTTGTGTCTTTGACAATTGAACACTATGAATATTTATCACCAAAACAAAGCGTAAGTGATGTTGGCAATGCTTTCAACATTTAACATTCAACCAAACCACATCAATATTTAAATTAAAAATGTGACCAAAATGTTGCTTTTATCTTGTAATCTTGTAATTTGTTATTGTAACAAACACAAACAAACAAAAGAAAATTAAAAAAAAGAAAAGAAAAGAGAGAAAGCTGGTATTATGTTAGCAATATCGTGCTTGAAAGCCTAATTCTTAGTCCCAAATTTAGAGAATTAACATCTAAGGGCCACCCGTTACTCACAAGAATCGAACATGCTACCACAAAATGTACTAAATACGAAGATACACGGATGTTTCCCGTATTTAAAGCCCTCCCAAAAGCTTAAGAACGGCATTATTGAGTGACTTTTCAAAGCCCAACGTATGAGTGGCGCCCTTACTAAAACAGTCCCGCCGATCTACAATAATGGAGGAATTTGACCGCATCTACAAATTCGTCAAATCCGCTCCTTACCAGGACATTCCAAGGTCCGAATCGAGATCTCGTGGATGAGGGTCAATGGCGTGATTCATCCATCAAGAACGGATAGATGAAACTAAGCGCTGGTCAATCACAGTGGAAAAATCTACGGTGTAGCGGTGATGCGTCTCGGACGGATGAACAGTAACTACGCATCGTCGTCGTCATGGATGAATAAAGAAACGCGGCCCTCCTCGATGGATGGATGAAGTCGGGGGAAGGGGTCCACCTCGGAGGGGGGGTGCGGGGTAGGTAATTAGAGAGAGAGAGGCGATGACAGTTGGGTGGTTGAGGACTCGATCTCGCTCTCGAATTCCTCCACTGTCGATGCCCATGAATGATTGATTGCGGCGCCATTGTGTTAGCTGTGCTGGACTTTGTGGGTCTAATTTGTTGTCTGCATTTCCTGCTTCTTGCGAGAGGCTTACGGTGTTTTGTTTTGTTTTTTATTTCCTTTTATTTTTCCTCTGGGTTTGTGTGAATTTCCGCGGTTTTTGTGTGCTTCGACGAGGAATTGGGGTGTTTGGAGAGAGCTCGAGGGACAGCTGCTTTTGGAGGTTTTAGGAACCGGGAGGAAAGGGACTTAGTTGTTGTTCGAGCTCCATGGCTCGATTGTCATGGCCCGTGTTGGGTGGTGTGTTATTCTGCGACATTTTAGCCTTTATTCTGGCCGTGGCCGCGATGTCCAAGCGGAGCAAGGTCTGTCGATCTCTGCACCCTTGCGCCCCGATTTTGAGCTCGTTTTTGCTGGCATTGTGTCATCTTTTCGAGTGAACCTTGGAGATTGTTGAGTTTGTTTTACTCCGTTTGATATTTCCAGGTTAGTGGCAGGCACGTGCCTTGCATTCTAAGTTGATGCATGATGTACCGCCGTCTTTCCCTTGTAGAGAGTGTAGAAGCGTGTGTAAAATCTGTCCATCATGGAGAGGTGAAACTAGAAACGGTAGTGATCAACCTCTGGTATTAGTGTCGGATACTACACCCTCTGGCCGTGGTCGCGTAAGATGTGTAAAGGTCGCACACTTTCACTCTTCTAAATCTTGATCTGCACATCTGAAGACCTTATTCTGTCGCTCCATCGGCACCCTAATGCTGGATAAGCATTCCGGGAACAGCATTGTCTAATGGGTGGGAATGGCATTACGAGACCACACGTTATTTTGCGTAAAATTTGACTGTAGAAAGTTTTGATGGTCTTTACAGGGCACTGGGAAGTGGGCTTTAGGTTGTCGAATTATGTTTTTTAGTTCCAACCGGCTCTGACAGGGTGGGCTTCAAAGTAGGTAGGAGTTCTGCATGGAGAGTTTTGACTTCATAGTGACCCCTTCATTATGGGTAACGAATCAGCAATGATTTGCGGGTTGCATCGTTCTCATATAATCGGACTAAGTATTTTAGGGGCCTGCTCGTCGTCCACTGACGGGCTGTTGTTTTCCTACAAATCGTTTAGAAGAAGAGTATCAAGAAATACCAGCGCGTCCTCTAGGTACCAACTGCACGTAAGCTAGTGGTGTGTGAGCGAGGAACGTAGGATTGGCAAGTGTTATTTTTGTGTGTTAACAATAATGGCCTTCCTTGAGAGGGGATTACAAGACTGCAATGTGACTGCATCTTCTGGTGTACGATGAGATTGCATTTCCTGATCCTCAATGTTTTTTCTTCTTCCTACAGGCCGCACCGACGTATGCTGAACCAGGTTACCTTACCTGTGGGTATACGAAAGACACTTCAACCGGGTTAGCCGCAACAGCTTTTGTTTTTCTTCTCTTTGCTCAGGTGTTTGTCACCATCGTGACGGGTTGCTCCTGTTGTGGAAAAACTAATTCCAAGCAGGGTTGTGGGCGAATTTGTGCAATTTTGCTCCTTGTATCCTCCTGGTAAGTTATTGTCCAGGCTTTTGGGAAAGTGAGGCAGACATTTGGGTGTTACGTTGTGAGGGATGAACAAGTTTTCTTTGAAGTCCTGAACTGTCCGAATCTTCTAGTTTACCGTCTGGACATTTTTCTGGGATTTTGCAGTTTGTGGACATACATATGACGTGGACTTGATCGTTGCAGGATCACTTTCACCATTGCGGAGATATTTCTACTCACCGGTGCAGTTGTGAATAATATTCGAACTGAAGGGCAAATAGATGTGGGAGTCACGACTCAAGATGAGGCTCACTGCGCGCAAACGAAGAAGGCTATCTTTGCTGTAGGGGCGGTTTTCACATTTTTTGCCATGGTTTTCAATATTGCATACTACGTCGTGCAAGTTAGTTCTGAGAACAAGGACCAGCAATGGAACTCATACCGAGCAGATGAAGGTTACAGTGCGCATGAAGGTGGGGGTATTGGAATGACGGGTTTTGAAAGGCTTTAGGTTCAGAACGGGACATCCGACCATTTTTCCCGCAAGTACAGCAACAACTGTGCTGAAACGCCTTCTGACCAGATCGTCTGTTGTTCCAATGGATTCTCTCTCGTAATATGAAAGGTGTCAGACTTCGATTTAGTCTGGCAGGTTGCCTGTTAGAGGAAGAGGTTTGCATCCCCTTGGAAAAGTGTCTGAAGCATATGCAGGATTTTAAACACCGCATAATCTTGCGAGGGGAAGTGCGTAGACTTATCAGACCTCATGTTGCAAGAAAATAGCATTAGGGTTCTCCATCTTCAAGCTCATTCCAGGAAAAAGCTGTAGAGACAGACGCTGACTTTCGTTTTGAAATGACCGGGCAATGCATTTTTCTTGACATTCTAGTTGTAGATTTGCAAAGTTCTCGTTGTGAAAACATTGTGACTTAATGGTACATGAGGCTGTAGTTTGGATCGGTTTCAGCACACGGCATGGGATTAGCACACCTTCTGTGTGCCAGGATTTTGTTCATCTTATCCTCTAACTTTAATAAACTGAAAATGCGCACACATCAGTGAGATGTGCTTGGTTAGATTGTTGGGGTTATGTAAAATGCATGCAGTAGTACATGTTGGACACGTCCCATTCAGGAAGCTCAAGAGGCAAATTTAGAATCCTATTTTGTGTTGCAATGCTTTTTTGGCGAGTTTAACTGGGTGTTGAGAAATAAATTGATTCTGTTCCTTCGCATACGTTTACTTCATGCACCAGGTTATTTTATTCTACCACTGGCAGAGGTATCTTACGGCTATAATTCATTACGGTGTAACTATACATCACACAGTGCGATTGATGTTGCTCTCGTCGTTTCATTTTGATTTTGTGGGTTTATCGATGCATGATGCAAATTACTAGGGTTCAATGGAAATGTCTATTATTGGTTTGTTTTCCTCTGTCTACTGTCGATAAACGCCTGTTAATAATCTTAAAATTGTTGCGGAATGTCCTCTTTCGTTCAAGGTGGTTACTCGATCATGTCCAATTGCTAATGATGGAAAAGGTTATTTGCTCTTTCACTATTTGCTCTGTGATTGAAGATGACCAAAATGTTGGAAATGTGGACAACAATGTTCAATTTCTTTCTTCCTCTGATGCAAATATAAGTCCACATGTCGTAATCAATTAATCATGCTGGACAGCATCTTTCACACAATTTTTTGGTTGAAAAGTTTTCTTACAGGACATTCAGCTGGCGTTTCCAAACTATGGTTCGGAACGAAGTTGAATTGAAGAATGCTGGGCGTGTTGTTGCAATCAATGCGATGCACACAATTGTCCAAAATTTTGCAATCCAATTTGCAATCTGCAGATGTACAATACGAAGACAGGCTCGTAATACGTTGACAATTTGTCTGCCAAACTCCTTACTGAATCCAAGCCAATCTAACACCTAATCTTCATCTGCCACTGAAGCACTTGACTAGAATACATGTTGCTCCATATTTACGAGAGCCAAACGGGGAATCATGTCATGTCGTCAATTTCGACGACAAATCGCGAATAAAAAAAATTCCTGGCACTGATCTTAGGCTACATGATACTCACCTCCTTCCGACACAGCTTACGGTACTGTTGGAGAAGTCTGTCAACAACCTCTCACACAACTGTTCTGCAAATCTGCGTTGGTTTAGGAATTATTCCATAGCTTCAAGAGGGAGATCCAAATGCCTCCACTGATTCAAGCCTTCCTTCATGTGCACGACATTTGTGAAACCAGCCTCCTGCAGCTCGTAAATGGCTTTGAGAGACCGGGACTGGCGCCCGAAAAGCCTCTCCGGATCATTATACTTCTTGGCTTTCGGACCCTTGCGCTCTACGAAGGTCTGCAAAGTACCGCCGATAGAACAGTACACAATCACCTGCTTCGTCTTATCGCCTCCCACGGCCTCAGTGGCGGCCGCGACGAAGTCCGGATTCCTCTCTGTGCCCTTGAAATCAGTAAGCAATGCATACCCAAGCCGACGCATATTGGACTTCATGTCATTCCCCTGAATCAGTCTAAAAAGAGGCGCGGATTTTGCACCTTCGGCGTGCGCATTCGCATAATCGTCAGCTTCTCGAACGTCTATGGCAATAGCCTTCGCAGACTTGATGCGGTTATAAGCTTCCTGGCAATCCACGTCCTGAAGACCCCTCTCCGTCAGCACTCTGTGCACCTGAACCCACGCTGTATACTTAAATGAATCTTCAAACCAGGATCCTACATAGCCATTTCTCGCCTTAACGTCGTTTTGAAACTTGGACAATTTCGCCTCCATCGTCTGTTCCGCGACGAACTTATCGTAAAACCATCCTTTACTCCTGGTCGGCTTGTCAGAAGTAGCAGCTTGCTCCTCCACTTCAGCAATGACCCTCAACACTCGCTGCGACGCCCTCGTACCGTTCAAGCCTGGCGCGGCTTGAGCACCGTTGCTCCACAACGATCGGGCACACGAAGTCGCTCCCAAGGAGCTCAGCTGCTGCAATTCCATCGCCGAAATACGCTACGAAAATCCAAGTATCCACGAACAAAAACCCGACGGACTTTGACAGTTGTTAATCGTCACTCAACTCAGGAATGCGATTGCCGTCCCACCATGATTTCGACGTCGAATTTAACTCCGCGGTAGCCACACAATTGTAGGAAAAAAATATCTTCATGGAGGTCACGGAGACGATCTCTTCGGAGGAGGATAAAGAAATCTGGAGCAGACGTTTCGGGGCACTCGTGGCCGCTTCAATGGCGGTCATCCTTCTTTCTGTCCATCCACCGAACCCTCATTCCCATACATTTGGTTGCGGCCTCATGGCGTGTTCTTCTGGAGCTTCTCCGGCACGGTAGTGGTGGTGTATTTGGTTGCGGTTGTGCTTTAGAGCCTGTCCACACAAATCATTGCGTGTCGTTCCTTGTCCCACCGCTGCTACGTTCGACGTCACAGGATATTTGGCCCTTTATTTCATCTCCACGCATTCGTGGAGTTTCGACATGTTTAATTCCACGCGCCGCAGGATGTCATATATAGGTTAGTCTGCTGTTTCAGTCGAAGAGCTGGTTTACGAGGATTGTAGTGGTTATTCTGACGTTTTAGGTTGTGGAGAGTTTGGACAGTTGTAATTTATCGCAAGGGTTGAAGAGTAGATTGTAGTGCGGTTTCTTGGAGGTGTCTAGCAGGGTTTAGGGATTGGATAAGATGCATGCGCAGGCCGCCCTGCGGGTGACACCACTGTGTGTTGCGAGCAATGCTAGAGGATGGATGTTGCGAGGTGTTGTGCGACCCCGTGTCTCCTTCGCCCCCGTGAGAAGACTCGGCTCGAGCTCATTTGCTGGGCATAGGACCATTAATTCGAAGATATTTTTCCGGGGGACTGGCTTGAGAGCTGGTTCTATTTCTGCTCAGCGATGGAATCCTCCTTCAATGACGGTGCGGAGGGAGCTCTCGTTGAGTCCTGTTGCTGTTGTTGCCCCTTCCCCTGCCAAGACTGGTATGTACAATTTTTCCATGACCGAGTTCATATTCTGTACCTTATGAACGTGCGAAATTCCGCAGGAATTCTCCATGGGCTTGCCGTACTGAGATATATGTGAAGTACGTTGAATTGTCTATCATGACGACCTAAGTATAAATTTAAACAAAGGATGTTCTGAACACTATTTGATATCCGTGGCAATGAAAATGACTATAATCTGCTATCGCTGTTGGATAACTGACTGACTCTTCAGTTAACTTGAACTCAATAGTCTCCAATGTGATTAGTAGGATTACATTCACAGGAGATAGTCTACAAACTATTCCTATAGTCTATCGCATATGCAACATGGAATGCACCGGCTCTAATTAACTGATTAACACCGCCAAGACCTTATCGAGTTGCAATTAATTTGAAAGTACCGAAATGTGACAATTTCCGCTTGACGAGATAATATCGAGTTTACTCTTGACTTACGGGATCAATTTGTGTAGGTGCCGACTCGGAGTTGGTGAAGGAGCTTGGATTTGAGGAAGTACAGGAGCAATTCGTTGACGAATATAAGTCTACTGCAACTTTGTATAGGCATAAGAAGACTGGAGCTGAAATTATGTCCGTAGTTAACGATGACGAGAACAAAGTTTTTGGCATCGTTTTCCGCACTCCTCCGTAAGTTCTTGCAGAGGGTGTGTTACAATCTTGAGGATTAATCCTTAATCTTCACATGGGCAGTGAAATTGTTGCTGTCAACTTTTTAATCACTCGTGCCAAATATACATAAAATAGTTCAATGAAATCCGTGAGGTGATATGTGCTTGTATCTGTTGTCCCTTTGTTTCTCTGTCAGTAAACAGAGGCTTTCATTGGATTCCAATTAGGATTAGAAGAACGGCAGGTGCCTGCTAGGAGCTGGTTTAACGTAGGGAATATTCTTAATGAATATACTGAAGACTGTATGTATGGTTAGTTAACAAGTGTAGTGATTTTTATTTATTTATTTATTTATTTATTTTTTTGCAGAACTGATTCTACAGGAATTCCTCACATTTTGGAACACAGTGTGTTATGTGGGTCAAGAAAGTATCCTCTGAAGGAACCATTCGTGGAGCTCCTGAAGGGTAGTTTGCAGACATTTTTGAATGCATTCACATATCCTGACCGTACTTGCTATCCAGTAGCGTCTACCAACCTTCAGGTACTCACTTTTTCAATGTCACGATGCCGGAGCTGTATGCAGAATTGCTCGGGCAATTTTTTTATGTATCTTTGAAATGAAACAGTTAAGAAATTAGAAAAAAACTTGTGCATAGTTAGAAATTTTACTTGGAAACGCATTTTCCAGTTGTTGAGTATTCTGCAAGTGAACTGCGACCTTTTTTTTGATTGCAAACATGATTCTTTTTACATTGAACTTACACACTCCTATAGCTCTTATTATGCACATCTTGTATCGCCGTATAATGCCATTCCTTATGAGATATTCGTTGGGAACGTGCAGGACTTCTACAATCTGGTAGATGTTTACTTGGATGCTGTCTTCTATCCTCGTTGTGTGAACGACATTCATACCTTCCAACAAGAGGGCTGGCATTATGAGTTGAATGACCCCGCAGAAGACATCACCTTTAAGGGTAAGATGTTCTAGCACTTGTTCTGAGTGATTGCAAGGTGTAATAGGTTCTATTTAATCCCAAACTTTGGACACTTCCTGGATTTTTTTCAGAAGAGGTTAACATTGATAATTCCTCCTGTTAGTTTGGTGCATAGTTGAATGTCTTACACACGATTGTGCATGCACATTTCTCTTTGATAATTCTAAAAATCTCGATTGTGAATGTACGTTGCAGGTGTGGTGTTCAATGAAATGAAGGGCGTGTACTCCCAACCAGACAACGTTCTAGGTCGTGTATCTCAGCAGGTACGTTAATTTTTTGGGCTTGAAACAGGTTATCATGTGGCTGGTATAATCTGCCCACATTATGAGCTTTCTTTCATTTGTAAGTCTTGTACTTGTAGCAGAAGGTACTATTGTGCTTAAAATAAACATCTATGTGTATCTATGTGTGCATGAGTTACACCGGTGGTCACGGTCTGATTTACGGATTGTTATGTTTCCAGGCCTCGTTTCCTGACAATACTTACGGTGTAGACAGTGGTGGTGATCCAACTGTTATCCCTGATTTGACTTTTGAACAGTTTAAGGTGCCCAGTTTCTCCTTTTCTCTTTTTTGAGATTGATGATGCCACCTGAAGTTATCATTTGCGCGCACTCTCTGAGTATGATACTGCGTTTGTATTATGATCTCAGGAAGCTCTTTATGTGACCTTGCTAGAGTTATGCTTGAGAAGCATATCACACATCATTTGTCCGTTCACTTTGTAGAAATATGGTAATGTGGGGCGCGATTCTTCTTGCTGTCTTTTTTTTTTGGTTTTATTGGACACGCGAAATTATGGATCAGGATCTTGAATATTTTTTAATTGACAGGAATTTCACTCTAAATTCTACCACCCTAGCAACGCACGAGTGTGGTTCTATGGAGACGACGATCCCAACCAGCGTTTGCGAATTATTAGCGGTATGTTCATTACGAGATCCTCTTGCCACAAACATTATTACACGTGAAGCATGAGACTATGGTATGTACCAACACTGTGTTGCAAGAGTGGGATTTTATTGTTCTGTTACACCCGCAGAACTTTATTTTGGAGGCTTGAAGGAAAATTAACGTTGCCGGAGGAGTTCATCATGTTGTGCTGTGCTTTGTACTTGCAGCGTACTTGGATGAATTCGATAACAACGCCGCTGCCAAGGAATCCGAGGTGAAGGTTCAACCGTTATTCAAGGAGCCGAAGAGGGTAGTGGAAAAGTATGCTGTAGGAGATGGAGCCGAGAATGCAAGGAAACATATGGTTGCAATAAATTGGGTGTTGTCCGACACTGTCCTGGATCCCGAGACCGAGCTTGCTCTTGGATTTTTGGACCATTTGATGCTCGGGACTCCTGGTTCCCCTCTTCGGAAGGCTCTGATGGAAAGTGGGTTAGGTGAATCAATTATTGGCGGTGGTATTGAAGACGAACTTCGTCAACCTCAGTTCAGCATTGGCCTTAAAGGTGTGGCGGAAGAGGATATCCCCAAGGTCGAGGAACTAGTGTTTTCAACACTGAAGCGCCTTTCTGAAGAGGGTTTCTCTGCCGATGCAGTAGAGGCTTCAATGAACACAATTGAATTTTCGTTGCGGGAAAACAATACCGGTTCTTTCCCTCGAGGTCTTTCATTGATGCTTCGGTCAATGGTACGCACAGAGTCTCAACGCAGCACATTTTCTTTGAAGCTGGTGTAGTTGTTGTTACATGTGCGAGCTGCTCCTACTCAAGTTAGATCGTCAAAGATAGTGGCTGGCTTCTCAACTTAAAATGCACTTTATGGTGATATGGTTCATTTCCGTTGTATGTAGCTGTGTCTAAGTTCTTGGGTTTTGTTCGACTATTCAACAATAGTAATCGGGTTCCTATGCCTTCAGTCGTAGATGTGATAGTGACTAAATCACTGCAGTGGAATGATTATGTATGTGGTAATGAACATAGGGTAAATGGTTATATGGACTTGACCCCTTCGAGCCCCTCCGCTTCGCCAAGCCATTGGAGCACTTCAAGCAGAGACTTCAATCAGAGGGTGTTAAGGGTGTATTCTCACCTCTCATCCAGAATTATATCATTGACAACCCTCACCGTGTTACAGTTGAACTTCACGTAAGTGTGTTGCCTCATACCATTGGTGCAGTTGCATCCCTTGATAGACGCTGATCATGTCAGTTAAAACACGTGAATTCTACTGTTATACAATTCGAATCATTGCGATTGCATAGCTCTTGATGCATAATCTTTTGATGTGTTCAATCCTACGTTTCATGTTCATGTAATTTGTCCTCTAATTAAGTTTGGTGTGATCCTACAACAGCCAGATGCTGAGAAAGGAAAGATCGATGAAATGCAAGAAGCAGAGAGACTGGCCAAGGTCAAAGCAAGCATGACACAGGAAGATCTGGCTGAGTTGACTCGAGCCACAGAGGAACTGAGATTGAAGCAAGAGACACCGGATCCTCCGGAAGCATTGAAGGCAGTACCCAGCCTCGCTTTGTCTGATATTCCGAAGAAGTCTGCTACAGTCCCTATTGAGGTGAATGATGTGACTTTGATCTCTTGCGCTACTTCAATACCATGCTGATCAGCCCTCAAAATTAATTATTTCATTTTATTTTGTTTCATTAGATCCTGTGTGGTTGGTGTGTGTGTGAACGCTTGCATGCGATTGCTCTTTGTTTATTTATCCTTCCTGTTTTGCAAACATCGCTCACACCATGAGCTCTTTGGCTTTACTCTCAAGTTTATTGGTAAGCTCATATGCTTTTATGTGATTGTAACAAAACGGTTAAAAGCTAAATCGCTGTTACTATTACAGGTTGGATCGTTGAAGGGAAGTACAGTGCTTCGTCATGATCTGTTCACAAATGATGTATTGTATGCTGAAGTAGCTTTTGACATGCGTGCTGTTAGACCTGATCTCCTTCCGCTCGTACCTCTCTTTTGGTATGGTTTTCTCCTTCATGCTGTGCTTGTATTTTATGTCGATACAATCATGTCATTAAATAATTATTTGTACATTGCTTTAGTATTTCCTTCAAGGAGTTTACTCTCATGTGTCTTATACACCTGCATATAGAATTACGGATTGCACCACTATTGTAAGTTTACGTCGCTGTTGGTGGCATAACCTGCTTAAATTTTGTCGAATGTGGTATTCACCAAAGTTTATTCAGAAACGGAGGTGGAGATAATTATTTCGTGATAGGTTCTTTGATCTCATATCTCGTCTGCGTGTTGGATTGCAGTCAATCACTATTAGAGATGGGCACTGCGGATCTTGATTTTGTCCAGCTGAGTCAGTTGATTGGACGAAAAACCGGTGGTATTTCAGTCTACCCTTCTACCTCAGCAGTTAGGGGAAGAACAGAACCTTCTAGCCACATTTTTATTAAAGGAAAGGCAATGGCTGGTCAAACTGCAGATCTTTTTGACTTGGTAAGTGCTTAAGCTCATAATTGCTGTTTCAAGCACTTCATTTGACCCGGTTTAATATGGACTTAGTTATTTTTGCACCCTATTTGCGGTGTTCGATCGTAAAGGTTCCACTAAAGGCATGTGTGACATAGAGTACGCTTTACGGTGAATGCAGATGCGAAAGGTGCTTCAGGATGTCAGGTTCAACGATCAAGGTCGCTTCAAGCAGTTTGTCTTGCAGAGCAAGTCTAGAATGGAGGTACTACTTCATTTTGATTTCACTCATTTATGAATCTGCTAGTTTAGATTCCAATCTGACCTTACGTAGTAATATTTACCAATTTGTTTACCTGATTTGGTATGTTATTTCATTCTTTATGGTTGTTGTATCCATGAATCTAATGCCCGATGTTATCTTGCGTAGGGTCGGGTAAGCGGTGGCGGCCACAGTGTTGCTGCCGCTCGTCTGGACGGCAAGCTAAACACTGCAGGATGGATCAGCGAGCAGATGGGAGGGCTGAGGTATCAGTCGAATTTCTCAGTTATTTTCTTTTCTTCAAATTGCCAGGAATTCCTCAGCTCTTGTTCTCGGTTGCGTGATTCCAGTTATGTGTGTTCCTAGACATGTCGCCTGTGACTTAACGTGTAACTCTCTGGATTTCTTGTAATGTGAATTGTACTGTCACCTGTAAGTCTGATGCTTACTTCGTACTTCGCCTCCTTCGTGGCAGCTACTTGGAGTACTTGCGAGATCTGGAGAAGAGGGTGGATGAGGATTGGCCTTCTGTTGCCGAATCCTTGAACGAAATCCGAAATGAGCTGCTCTCTAGGAAGGGGACCATTGTTAACTTGACTGCTGATGAACGTACTCTTACTAATGCAGAGAGCCATGTTGCCGCTTTCTTAGATGCTATGCCTGAAACTGGGGGAAACATTGTAAACTGGGACCGACGTCTCCCACTTGTAAATGAGGGTCTTGTTATCCCTACTCAGGTTCGTTATTTCTGTCCTACGTCTATGGAACCACTTTAGATCTGTTGAAGTTAATGTGTCAGAAACGTTAGAGTCGAGATCACACCATCTGTCTTGAATTTTTACACCTGAAGTGCTAGTCGGTAAAGCTTACCTGACTTGTGGTGGGTGATTATCACAGGTGAATTATGTTGGCAAAGCTGGTAATATTTATGATGCAGGTTACAAGCTGGATGGAAGTGCATATGTCATCCAGAAGGTCATTGGAACTACATGGCTTTGGGACCGTGTGCGTGTGGTTGGTGGTGCTTATGGAGGGTTCTGCGACTTCGACAGTCATTCAGGTATACCATCAATTTTAATTTTTCATTCTTAGTTGATGAAATTTAATTCAATCTGAAGTTGCTTGTCAGTACGCAGAGGTTGTACTTGTTTTGTGGCCTCGATAGAGTTATACATAACTATGAACTCAGTCACAGATTTCTTGACTCCGCTGTAATATCTTGATTTCCTGTGTAGTGTGGCGTAGCCTGATAGTCAGCACTGAAGTACATGGCTTCAGCTGGACAAAGCTACATTTGTGTCCATTGCTTGTGATTCGCTGCGATACTTACAGGTTGCTCTGCTTTTACACGTGCAGGAGTTTTCACCTACTTGTCTTACAGAGATCCAAATCTAGTGAAAACCTTGGACAATTATGACGCAACAGTTCAGTTCCTACGGCAGCTTGAAGTGCACAACGATGCGTTGACTAAAGCTATCATCGGTACCATTGGTGATGTGGATTCTTACCAGTTGCCTGATGCCAAGGGTTACTCCAGGTATGTCTCGTCTGGATTTCTGAGTTCTTACTAGATTTGGAAGGGTTATGGAGCTTGTATTTCATGGTGTAGGCATTCGGCGTCATACACGTCGACGTCATCATCTGGCTTGCTACTGTCATTACATATTAATTTTAACTGGTGTATTCCTTTATGCCTCTTCTGTCTCTAATAAACATTTGACACGTCTTGTAGTATGATGCGCTACATTATGGGTATCACGGACGAGGAGCGACAGCAAAGACGGGAGGAGATCTTGTCCACAAGGTAGAATATTCTCACATTCTCATTTATTATTTATCAGCTCCTCAAATTTATACATTTTAGTCTCGTAGATTAGTGGATAGAGTAATGTAAATTGGGTTTGCTGTGCCGATAAACTCTGAATCTTGAATATCACTTCCTTTGTGCAGTGTGAAAGATTTCCATGCTTTTGCGGATGCTTTGGAGAGCGTGAAAGAGAAGGGTGTGATCGTGGCTGTGGCATCGGCTGATGATATTGCTGCTGCGAACAAGGAGCGACCTGGACTGTTGGAAGTTAGGAAAGTGTTGTAGATGTAAGCTTTTAGTATTTTCCTTACTTCTGGAGTTTAAGGAAGATTGGTTCGGAGTATGTGAATTGCGTTACTTCGCTGATTGTCTGGAGTCGTCCCGCTCACAGATATATTGAAAGATGCATTTTTGGTTCCTCAACGAGTTGTAATTTGTAATATTGACCAACATTGGGAGGCTTTCTCAACGCAACCAAACAAGTTTGATGTGCTAAGAACAGATGACGACTCTCACAAATAACATGGCGTTGCAGAAACGCGAACACTACTTAATGCTAATCCTCAAGTGAAAGTATGCAGTGACATCTGGTCCTATTCATGGCCTGTGGCTATCTCGATAGCCACCCAACTTGGTGTCTGACGTAACTAGCGATTGCCCATGCGTTCGAAGATAAATCGAATTTCACATGCTGAGAAACGTTGGTATGTTTCGTATCCCCCACTAATTCGCGACATTATCTACAGAAGAAAAAGGCATGATCAGCTTCTATTCCATTGTCTATAACCTTGAACTGAAGCCATTCATGATCGTTTTCGATGAGGATAGACTCCACGAAGGGGGGTTGTGCTCACTGGATGCTGTCGAACGGTCTTCTTTCAACCACATGCTGTAACCGTGATCATAATGTGTTGGCAAATTCTATTTAATTCATCAACTGATATCTTTTCATATGATGAATTTAAAGTATTATTTGATGATTTGTGCAAATTGTCAATTCGAAATGAATTCTTTACAATGAATGCAACACAAATGTAAGTAATAAATTACATTTAATCGAAGTATATGTACATTGCAGAATTAAATTTAGGAGTTAAATTACCTGAGATTAGATTTTAAATGGTGTATACTGTTTTAATTGCAATTTACTTTGAGAATTAATTTATTTCAAACTGACTATTATAAATGAAAAAGACTCTTGTATTTTTTTTTATTAATTTTATTAATTGTACACCTATTTCTATTTTTAAAAAACTATATATATATATATATATATATATAAATAAATAAGGATCCTTTTTAAACAATGTTCATCTTTTTATAATTTTAAACACCAAATGGAAGACATGTAAAAATTAGTGAAAATTCAAGTATAGCTAATAATTATACATATAGTAAGTCTAACACAAGGTTCTTTTTTCCCAACAAAGTATGTATCATACTGTAGAAAATCACATATTATATTAGCCTCATGTTAGGTCTTACTAAAACTTACTATTGGATCTTTTTAAAGTTCTTCTTTTAGCCTTTAGTAGTATTCCAATATTTTTACAAATTTACCAACACAATCTTAATAATTTTCAAAAGAGCGAAGACTTTAGTATCTATCAACAAGATGTTTATTGATGCTTTTTTAATGGAAAAGAAAAGCTATTAAAGATGTCTACTTGCATTCTAATTTGTTTGACTAGTAAAAGACATATAAAATTTGGTATTTAAGGAATAATATTAGAGAGGAAGGATTTCAAAAACTGAAATTTAAAGATAATTATTATTCTACTTGATTAGAAAATACCTATATTGTTAAATCTTATTCCTAAAAATATACATACACACATATATATATATATATATATATATAATCAATCTATAGTGCATTTAAAATCCTACATTGCCTCAATAAACAACAAAAATTCTAGAATATATTAGAAACTATGTAATAACAAACACCTATTACATACCTCCCAATTTTAACAAAAGTAGGTCCTATTAAATGAATTGTATAAATTCTTTGATATTCTATTTGATATATTTGGTTCAAATATAAAATAAACTCTTGTTGACAAAAGCCAATACAAAAATCAACACAAAATTAAAATATTGATACTTCCCCAAATTGAACTTAACAAGGAGAGTGACCATTATCAAGTAAGTCATATTTCTAACTATTTTTCTTTGTTAGGACTTATTATGAATCAATTGGGAAAAAATTACAAAAAATTAACTTACTATTGAAATAAGTTGGAAATTTATCTAAGCTTGGAATTAGGAGTGACCAATATATTGTATACAAAGGATTAACACACTGTCAAACACATAGAGATTAAAAATATAATATTGATAAACCACATTTAATCCCTGAAAAAGACAAATAAATCACATGAGGAAAAACCGCTGTCCACAGGACCGGATCAAAGCCTCTCACTATTGCAAATGGAAGGCTAGACTTCTGACGACTCCCTTGTGGAAATTGCTTGGCCAATACTCTCCAAAAATTTTACAAAAAAGCTAAGAAAAACACAAAAAACCCAACTGGGCGTATCACACAAAGACAAAGCCACAACCTGCAACTCTCAACAGGCCCTCAGACCACATGAACGGGAGCTATGACCTTGTTCAGATGAGCCAATCAGGAAAAAAAGATAAATAAATAAAAAGAAGTAATTAAACTATATAATAACGCTATAATAAATCCTAAAAATTCTAGAAGTTATGCTTTTGCTTGAAGGAGTCCACTAAAAATTTCAGTGTTCGGTGCTAGAATTGATTTTCAGCCCTGATAATTGTAACACAATGCAGTAGGCACAGCTGCATCGTTTGACTGCAAGCCCGTTCAATTCTCGCTGTCGTTGTGTTGTAACTGTGCACTGGAAGCAATTGCAAATGTGGGATTCTGCGGACTTAGTCATAGAGTTTGTGAATCACTAATCCCACCGGTGATTGAAGAATGAACCCTAATTGGATCGTCACATCCAGGTTAAGAAAATCAGTTGCAATCAACTCGTTTCAAGTGCAGATTCCTTAACGGAAAACCCATCTAGACATTTGTTTAACTTAGATCCGGGGACAGTGTCACAGCTGCAGTTTCAGCAACATCTAGCAACCTTAATCATAAATCTTCAGTAGTCCGTTAACAACAGGAATGTGTAAATGCTGAGGAATCAAACAGAATGAAACAATCCAAACTTAGTCGCAATTGCGGCACAAACTGAAAAAAAAAGGACACTTGTTTCAAATGCCAGAGAGAGTAGAGTTCATTGATAAATGAATAGCCACCAGAAGCTATATCATGCGCCGCTCTAAGCAACGTGCATTAATCGACACTCACAACAACTGCTAACCGGCACCAACTGTAATACTAGGAACCATGCTAAAGTACACAATAAAAACTTATTTTCATGTGGAATCCAACACTGTTGAATGATAATCCTCACATGACATCAATCTTTCTTACAGAAATACAAATAGTGACTTGTAATGCAACGAACTCATCACACCTCTGGCCCCAATCAGATCATCTGTCTTTCCCATCTACCAGCAAATTCTCATGCCACCAGATAATGAAATTCTCCCAACGCAGCTTTGTCGATCACCTAGTTCCTTCAACCCCTCAACTTGGCATGTACCCGTTAGCCAACAATACCTGCAACAAAGCAGCAAATTTATTGCATCAAGATCTTCACTAATAACTTATCAACACGATCATGAACTCGTAAAAACTTCACACCAGGAAATAAAATAAGAACAACACCAGAGAAACATGGAGATGAGGAATTACCTCAGCTGGCTGACTGACTTACTGGCTCTGTTGTGTCTAGTAAGGGGAAGGAGGGGACTTGTACACGGGAGAGGGAGAGTAAGGAGGAGACATGTACACAGGTGAGGGGGGGGACACATACGGGGGAGACTCTACAACAGGGGGAGCAGGAGGAGGAGGGCACTTCTTCCCAAAGCTCGGTATCGATGGCAATGGAGGCAATGACAGCTTCGGCGCCGGGGGATGATGCATCATGCCCTTCTTAAACTTCATCTGCGGCGCCGCATGATTCTCCTCTAGAATCCTTGCAGCTGAGCAGCTGCAAACAACTAGCAGCAGCAGCGCTGCAAGCAGCGTCAAGGTTTGGAATCTCCTCATCGTCAGAGCTGCTGCAACTACAGGTTCGATCGGCACAACTGAACGAAGAGCCACTAACTAGACTGGTGAAGACTGGCTCTGCAGGGAATGGGGTTGTTAGCAGAAGGAGCTGAGCGAGAGGGGGCTAATATAGCTGCGAAGTTGTGAGAACCAGGATTGCAACAGTCCAAAAGATACCCACTGTGGGTTTTGCTTTCTTTGCATGTGCGAGTGGTGATGGAGGAAGGAGCTGGACCTTGAGTGCGGCACTTGATGTCAAGCACAACGGTTTAAGAACTATCAATCGGCCATAAGATCCGAGTTCCCCATCTGCATGGAGCAGGTGCGCCATCAATGCCTGCCTTATTGTTCGCTTTGCTTTTGTAACACTCGCCATGCAGTATATCCTTACTTCTTTTCCAACAAAGCCCAGTTAGAGAATTTCGACGATTGTTTCCAAGGAAAACATGTGGATGCATTAGCTAGACTAAGCTCCGCGGTCAACGAACTAACAACTTGTGTGCACCGTGCAATTTATATTGCACTGGCATTATGCAGCAGCAGCAGTGGCAGCATCATGAAGTCATTATATGAGAAAGTAACAATACTCTCTCGCCTGACAAGAGAGTGTGAATCTGCATATCAACTGGAACAGTCTGGTTAGGAATACATATATATAATTATATATTTTGCCATGTGAATGCAGAGCCGCGAAAAACCAACATTTCATCGATGATAAAGTCGAGTTGCAGAGCTGGGAATAGTTGGTTTGCGGATGTTGGCCAAAGAATGCCACTGAAGGCCTTTCATTGTCCTGGGGAAACATGGACCAATAACTCAAGATGGGGGTTTAGCAATAAGCATGAACAACCTGATGATGTTTCCATGATTCACCTTTCAAAACATCAACACTGATTATCAGAAATAAAAGGTGATGACTCTTCTTCTGCAGCGAAGTATGAAGCTGTCTGTGAACAAAAAAAAAAAAAAAAAAAAAAAAAAAGACACGATCTGTACCACACATGTGTGTGTGTATGTGTGAGTGTGTGAATTATCAGCTTTCAGCATCCTTGGTTTAGAATAATAATATACTGTGGCCTTGAATAGCCCAAACTGGTGCCGTACAGGGAGTTGTTCGCATTCGTTTGCATTTAATATTCTAGTTGAAGAGCTTTGCTGGCAACTACATGGGGTTCCATTAATGGAATCTGGCAGTGGCTTTTATAACTTAGAAGATGCTGTTGTACAGAATGTGCATGTGTCACCGCAGACTACATGTTTCCTCCCATTGGGTGTCATTCTCTTAGCTCGTGATTGCTACTTGTCAAAAAATGATATTTGATTATATACATATACACACACATACACGGGGAATAGCTTTAGTGATGTTTGTAATTAGTGTATATCACACAATTTGGATATTGGTGTAGATATTGATATCCAATATGCAACCACAGAAAGATCCAACAATTGGGTTTCATCCGAACAAAAGATCAGAGGGAGTTACTCGATGTAGTGATTGTTTTGTTTCCACACTTTGCAAATAGTGTGGTAAACACTAATTACAAATATCTGTGCAGGTGGACACCTCTCCTTCCCACATACCCCACATACACATTGTAATTTATTTTATATTTGCATCGAGAACTTTTAGGATATTTTTACAGTAGATTTTAAAAAATATGAAATTATTAAGCTTCTTAAACTGAATGAGAATCATATGAAATGTATTATGAAATTTAGCCAACTATGATAAAAAAACAAAGCAGAAGATGAAATTGAATAATATAAAAAATGTCATAAGCCATTGCACTCAAATCTTTTATGGTAAATTTATGCTGAAACTTTCTAGTGTAAGTAAGAATTTTGTGGAGATAGAGAGAGGTTCACACCCAAGAATTCACGGCACAATAATTCTCAATCCTATTTGATGGGTGTTTATGTTGCACTCCCACCCAATTGGCATTTTCACTGACACAATCTCAGGGCACACTACTATTTAGGGTTAAATGTAACCATTCTCTCATGGCACCTGTAGCCCCCTGTTGGGCAACAAGGTTTGGTGCACGTTTGTTTTTAATCTGGCAGTGTCCAGTTGTGGAGCATGGTGGGTGTGGCATCAATGGCACATCTTGTCAGATGGTCCTCTGCTTGCACATCTGACATGAAGCAAATGAACCAAGTTTCTTTGCCAGTGTGTGTGTATTTGTGTGTGTTTTCTTTTGCCTTGCTTCATTTTTATCTGTAATGTTGGGTGATTTTGCATGTGAGTTTCATGGTTATGGTGGCACTTCCCACAAGGGTTGTGTGGGGGTGCGGTGGTTGTGTTCCCTTTAGATTGGGTGTAGGAATGGTTAACATTCTTACACAAGTCTTTATAATACATACATAAATATATATATATATATATATATATATGCATTTATATGTATGTATATATAATATTGTTGTTTGATGTGTAGTATATGAATGCCATGTATTTGGATATTTCATTGATGTGTTGAGTAATATCACAAAAGATTCATGCAGGGATTAATTGCATGGAATCTTTGAAAATTACTGCTAAGTTTGAAAGAATGCATGTTCTTTTATGATGTAGTAGATCAGCTTGGTCAGATGATTTCAATGTGAAATGGTGGTTATAGTATCCATGGTTTTGAGTAATGATATTAAACACCCCTTCAATAGATCTTCACTAGTTTAACAATTAATCTTTGCAATAACATTTTTGGCTAATATTTTTACATTGTCAAGTGCTCTTGTATAAATCCAATATAAAAAGCCATGACCAAATTTTATTGTTGATTTACTACAAGCAAAGTTTATAATATATACATAAATATATATATATATATATATATATGTTAATTAGGGTCTAGGTGTTGATGGGGTTAAAACTTGCTTAAGATTTGGATTATAATAGACTTCAGGTTAAAATTCATTGAATGGGATATTCAATAAAAGAGTTAACAAAAACTCAAGAATTGACATGCATGTTAGACACCAATTTCATGCAATTATAAGATTAAAGAACATTATAAGGTTTGTCATTATTGCACAATAACATGCACCAAGAGTCAAGTTATATATATATATATATATATATTTATATCTATCTATCAGTTAAGATATTCAACAAATTTGTGTGACACCAAACATAAGATTTATTCCTAAACAGATAAGAGCTAAGTTAAATTGAAAACTAATAACTAATTACAAATTATCTCAATGTTATTATTTCATGACACTCAACATAATTTAATAACGAGAGTTTTTTCTTAAGAACCTCAAATGACTATTGCACGTTGCCATACTTTTGTACCTTTCTCTTACGGTTTTACTGCAAACTTTGACTACGTCAACTTCACAGGTTTCTTTCTACATTCACAATCACACCGTTACTCTTTTCTAACTCAACTTCACTTTTCTGCCTGAGCCTCCCACTCAAATTGCTGCCATTGTATGGTCATTGTTTATGATGGATAGAATTAAAAATTAAATCAATGAGTTCCAAAGATTTGTGGGACGTCGTTAGTACGTAGAAGCATTAACTTTTATCAGATAATCGTAAACTAGTTATCTTAATCAGTTTACACGATTTCAAACATTGTCCAATCCATTTGAGTTGATACAGCCTTATATTTGACCTCTGACCCTCTTGTATGACCTCTCAATATTTGCGTACTACCCAAATGCGCAGTCATCGAATGCACATATTTATTTACTCACTGGCCAGATAATCATGTTCTACCAGGAAAAAAAAAAGGAAAAAAAAGAAAAAAAAGAAAAAAGTGCTCAAATTTGAAATAAAAGCGAGGAATGATATGGACCTAAGATTACGTTCGTTTTGGTAGAAACCTTTCAAATCAGGCAACGGAGAAATGATTCCACATCCCATGCATATAAATATTGCACTCGCAAATGGCAATTCCGCAAAAAACTTCTTCGAAACCCGTAGTAGGTAATGACATATACATAATATCACAGAACTTATGATACTGCCAAATCATTATGCTCTTGGTCACAAACTTTGAAGGGAAGCTTGGGATTGGAGCAATACTACAGAATCTCTCTTTCTCTCTCTCCAGTGTGAGCAAATGATTGGCAAGTAGAAACTACGGAGTAGACAAAATGGCCTCTACATCATTTACTCCAGTTCCTTGGCAAAGTCGGCATTGTCCACGAAAACCTGGAAAACCCACTCATAGCTCATGACAGATGAAATTTGGAATTTGCAAACAGGATTGGTAATTTTGAGACTGCAATTAGATAGACTTGAAAAACTTGGAAAACAGTGTTAACATATAATTTTAACAAATCCGCCGAGTGGGGGATATTTAAATAGGTATGTAAGATCATACCGATTTCCAGCCATCAGGATCCAGGCAAGCTGTGATTTTGGTGTTGATACCAGGAAGAGGACCCGGCTCACGTGTAATCTTTCCTCCAAAGGTCCGTACGGCCTCTGCAGTTTTGTACACATCGTCTGTGCCTACTGCGATCTGAAACCATGAAGCACACGTTAGAACGTGATAAATCGAAAAGAATGCAACGCAACATCTTGCACCAGCTAATTCACAAGATTTAAGCTGGATTAATGATAAGTAAAGGCGCCTCAACTATCGTCAGTAAGATTGTACCTGAGCATAGCCAGTGCCCTTCGTATATTCAGTTACACCGTAATTGTATGTTAATTCCAAGACAGTCGTTTTCATTTCATCGTCACCATAGCCCACCATTGCAAGCGTGTACTGTGAGGCCAAGTCAAATGTGTTAAGAAAGAGAGATTCCACGAGAGCACAGTACAATCTACAAAACATAACCTTCGGTGATTGCCACGCATAGAGTGATGTGTTGTACCTTCTGATCAGGATTGTCCCGTCTGCGAAATTCCTTCATTCCAAAGGCCTAGGCACATACAAACCACTTCGTTGAACTGATGAGCCATATTCAATAAAATAAAGATATGAGCACGACTAGATACACCCTCCCGTGGGCAGACATCAGCTTTCGGTAAACATTCAACGAAATGTACACGTCATCCTATCATTTTCGTTAAGATGCCATTGGAGGTCTCTTTTCCAATGGACGAAAACGAAGCCCTCGTCTAGCTTTTCACTAATGTATAAATTTTACACATGCAGATATATAATGGGCCTATAAATGATCAAGATGGTGAAAGTTCTACCTTCTCATAGAACTGAACTGCCCGATCAAGATCTCCAACACGAAGCATGACCTGGCACAAAGGCTCAGGAGTTGCGGATCTCTGGATGAGCTCAAACTTGTAGCCATCAGGGTCCTCAACAAAGGCGATGATTGATTTCCCGCCCTTCACGGGACCAGGCTCTCTTGTGACCTTTCCACCCTTTGCCTTGACAAGATCAACAACCTTCTGGACCTGCCAAAACATCAAAGAGGACTCCAATCAGAGATTATGAATGAGAACAATCGACCTGCATTTGGAATGAGTGTAAAGGCGAACCGTCTGAAGGGCTGAATATTCTTACGTGACGACCTATTCTTGTCAAATCTGTTTCATATCATGACATCTTCGCTTAGGAATCATGAAAATGCCGATGAAGATGGACTAATTACACAAATAACACCACTCTAGACGTTTTTCAGGTAATCAAGTGTAGAACTTACATCCTCAACAGCAATTCCAAAATGCCCAAAACCGGTTCCGATGTCGTACTTGTCCACTCCATAATCTGTCCCAAGATAAATAAAACCGAGTCAGTGACAGAGTCCGAAAAATGATGAGGAAAATCTTATACTGGAGCGGAGACTCACTGCAGAGCATGTCAATGAGTCGTAGAAACTTGAAAACTTCTAATCTAAGCTTCAGGAGGAAATTAGATATGTTAAGAGATTCCACACACTCGCAAATGTCGGAAGCTATACGCCATGTCTGATACGAAATTCTTGGATAGAGTGCACAATGTAAAACGTGATATACTTACTGTATGTCAACTCCACCACGAAATTGGTATCTTCAGGCCCATAACCCAAGAATGCATTAGTATACTTCTCTTCAGGAATATCCCTTCTCCTCAGAAGTTTCATCCCCAAACATTCTGTGTAAAACCTGTACAGATACTTAGATTGAGTAAAACCCAAAAAAAATACCATTGTTGAATAACTTGCACAGGCATAATATAAAAAACAAATGTCTAGGTAGGCTTTGTAAATTTCGAGCGTCCAATCACACCTATCCATGGAAAGAAAACTGAAAAGTAGGTACTGTACTTGATGGTTTTGTCAAGATCGCCAACCCGGTACACAACATGTAGCATGCGGCGATTGTCCTTCTTACTGAATTCCAATATATTTTCCTCATTCGTCGCTGTCTCAGTTGAAGCGGCAGATGCCATGATGCTTAAACTTCTAGCTTGACGCACTAGGGCTGGTCTAGGAAGACCTGTTAAAAAAAAGATGGCCATCCACAGGAGCATATTGGTAATCCTGATACTGTCGCTTACAGTAATAGTTTAGAATTAACTTCAGTAATAGTTTCCATACATCTATTCAGTTTTAAGAAATGATTTTATCTAAGCAATGATGGATAGTAGCAACAAAAATAAAAAATAAAAAAAATAAAAAAGCATCCACGAGTTTGAGGCCTGTATTTCGCATCGGGGTTTCGCTAGGACTCATACAAGAAGATCAATGACTAACACGGGGACACAATGTAAATCAAAGTTGAGACCATAGCCACACACTCACACTGGCCCCACATACTTCCAGAGTCAAACTGCGATCATACCAATAACAGTCCGCAAGAGTTCAAGCTACCACAAGGTCTAATTTTGGTGAAGAACTACACAACACAGGCTTGAACGGCAAAATTTGGAGCCGCCTTTTATCCGTAGTTAAACCCACAAAATGCACACTTAAGATATCAGCAAAATCATTACAATACAGAAAGCAAGTGAATGAGATTAAAAACAACGTATGATTCCTGTCACAGACACCGTCTACCAAATTTGCCGTGAGACCTACAATAATTCAACGCTACAATAACGACACTTCACGACATTCGGGGGCATAGAGAGCGCCCTCTAGTTACAGCTAAGTGTTTAATGAACATTGAAGAAAACACGAGACACGTACAAATCACAAAGGATCATCGTAACTCCACCACTCAACAAAAACACAATCGTCGCAAATCGCCTTGACTATTTCAGCTCATCAATTGGCGCAACGGATCTTAAATTGCATCACTACAACCACTAAGATACACGTAGGGTTATCGCACAAAACAATGTACACTCAGTAGCGCGACCTCACAGAGCAATACGCAGCACAATCCGCCGATTCAGAACCCGATGACCAGCACCGTGAGGACGATACCCACGATATCTGACATGAGGGTAAAAGCGACACTCCACGCTTGTGACAACAAACCACGACTGAAGTGACTCCAACCCAAAGCCGCGAAGAAACTAAAATCATCACGCGCAAAACAACTCTCTAAGTCACCATCTGCGAATCGATACTGTCCGGCCAACCATACCTCGCCGCGAATTCCACACTTTCAAGTGATGAAGATCAGATACCAGAACCAGTTACACAAAAGGGGACAGAAGGCGAGGTGTTATAAACTCACGAGAGAGAGGAAGGGCGCGGCCGAAGAGCGAGGAGGAGCAAGCAAGCGTGGGGCGAAGTGAAACACGAGGCACTGAAGAAGCGGGGGGAGTAATGAACACGCTGGAGGAAGGAATAGTTAGGGTTTTCGCCATAGCCATCCTCATCGCCATGGCCGTGGAGAAAGGAGCGAGATGCCCCAAGCGTGCTTCAGACCGCGGACAGAGAATTTTTTTTCTGTAGGGGGGCTGGACTCGGTGGCTGTACAGGTCAGTCTGGCTTTGATGTGGCGCTTCGTTATCCCTTGAATTCGCCACCTCTGCTGCTGCCTCCCGATAAGGCTCCTCCACCTTTCACGAGCACCGTTTGGTCCTTTTTTTCTCAGGCCGTAGGATGCCCACGAAAGCAAACAGTGCAGAGCCAGGGAAGGCGAACTTGCTCAATCAGCCCGTTCCAACAAACACTCGTGATGGAGGCTTCGACCACGACAAGTGGCAGACTTATTGTCCGGAGGCATGTGATCCGCAGTCATGAATGCGGTGAGAGAAAAAAACATGACATTCTTTTGCGATGATAGTGTGGTGGCCGTAGCTGTGAGGCTGTGTCTCGCTACCTGTACGTATTTTTACGACCCGTAGTCTACTGAAATGGCGCATCTTCATGCGCACCACAGAGAGGACTACCGCAGCATAGATTTTTTTTCTTCTTTTCAATCCAGAATGACGAACACTGTCAAATTCAAGTGCATGTTCTTGGTGAAAGATGTAGTTTAGTGGGTTTGATGATAAACCAGTCGTCGACTGTCATCAGCATTTCTGCAAGTGCAGCTTGCAATCACGACCAGCTGAGGAAGAGAAAGAATCCAGCATCACAGCAAAATTCCATGTTCCGAGGGAACCATCCAATGCGTCATTGGTGAACTCGCAATGTGTTTGTCAAGAGATTGTATTCATTCTTAGGTTCCTTGATTGCATCGAGAGATTGAGATGTTGCTTATGCTCTGAATATAAGAGGATAGTAAGGATAGCAAGGAGAAGACTACATGCTAGTGAAGATGGTAGCCAGGCGCTTAACCATGGACTCATAGCTTTTGCGTGGCCCAAAGCAACTACTGCAGCGGAGATAGTGTTGTAGATCAAACTGGCCACCATTGCCCATGCAAATGGAGTGGCGCGGCTGACCGACCTCGAGCCCCTTCCACTGGGCGCCAGCGTTGCGATCGCGCCAATCTGCAATAAACCCAGAACCAAGAGCACTTCAGCAATAATAATGCACTTGGTATCAAGTTTAGACAAGAATAAACGCATTCTTATTATTAATCCATTGCGAATAGGAGCGTCATTGCACTGTCCTTACCAGGCCATAGACAACACACGAAAACGCTGCAGAGTTAGCTTGTTTACTAGCTTGTTTATCATATTTGCATCGATTACTTGGTCTCCCATCTCCTTGACAACGTTTTTAGTATCTTCAGGGCTCTGCCTTTTTTGAGACAGCATTTCCAGCTTCTTCGTCAGTCTGTATATCTCAGACTTGATTTCACTACTTGCAAGCTCTTGTAAGGTGCGTTTCCAGAGTCCTCGACCGCTAGTCAAGGGAGCGCTTGGAACTCGTAGACCTTCCACCTGCCAAGACACATCTCTTCTGGTGCGTTTCCAGGTGCTCTCACCTGTCTGCCATTCTCCCGCATATGCCACAACCACCTGTGACGCAGGTTGAATTGCTTTTCCAAAGCGCGTTCATGAAAGGCATGCAAAGACTCCCAAAAGACGAGCAGGATGAACATGGGCATCCTAAATTCACTTCGCTCATGGGTTTAATAGCGACCAGAGTATTACCTGATGGACATATATCCAGACGGCGAAACTTTCAGAAGTAGAAGCCCCTTCAAGCAAGTTCCCTCCATCTTGCTGGCATACCATATGCGTTGCAACCCATAGCTCCTGAAAGAAGGCTTTCAAGTACCGTCTACTCCGATCTCCTGCCAGACGAGAGGAGACGGTAAGAAATTTGTAGTGCTACCTCAAAAGCAGCTTCAGACGGATCCAATTCTTCTCTGTACCGTTAGGGGCATGTATTCTAGCGAATAATTCATACCATGGTTCTGTACTCTTGGCAAGTGACGCCTTCAGTTTGTCGTAGTTCCTGCATGTGTGTCGTTAACGCCGTCTCTGCCATTTTTCGAGATCTGTCACACATTGCAACAATTTCAACAATTCCGTCTTTCACCAAATTCGCTTCTAAAGAATGGTATGAAGATTCACACTAGCAAATCGGTGGCCAAGATTTTGATATCATACTGAGAACTACCATAAGGGTCCAAGCAGTTGTGGCAGGCAAGCTTCATGATCGCCCCAACGATGCAGATGCAAGTCGGAGTCAGCAGCAACCGCCACATTGGCACACCAACCGCAAAAAGGAAGCATGCAATCTAAGTCGTAGAGCTTGTAAAATCCATAAATTTGTAGGGAGGCGAATTGAAATCTTGGTCCTATGTTGGGAATCAAGCCACTCAAAAATAGAGGCTTAATGTTAGCTCTAACCAGAGACAACAACTTCACGAACAAGACCCGCCAATGCGCCCAGGGACTTAAGGGTAGTGCAGAAGCCGATAGCGAGGACGAGCACATGCACCATCTCCCGCAACAGGTATTGATCCAACAGAGGCACACGCGCCCAATCCATCACATAACCGACACCTAAAACCTTATAAACTCTAATTCTACCCTTGGTCCTCCTTTGCACCAATTCCCCACCACCGAGCATGTCTCCGTCTCGACTGCAGATACCTGCTCCTATTTCACCAGCACCCGCGCCCCACATAGCCAGGACGCCACACATTGTGCTTCATCAAGCTCCCACGACATACTACAGAAGCAGCAGGAAACAGAGGTGCAACTTGGAATCTGAGATCCGTGAGAGGCAAAGAAGAAGGAAGCAGACGTAAGTGATCCAATTGTGATGCGGGAGCGATAGTGATCATATTGATTGATTGTGATGGTTGCTTGAAGCCTACCGATTGAAGCCTGACGAACCCCGGAGAGATGTACCCCTGCCCAAAATTTACGACTTAAGGACGCATCGAAAACATAGTGAGGTCATCCCCTGGGCCCTCGTACTGAAAAGATCCTTTCTGGCTCCCAATGTGCACTGAAAATATTCCATTGCGATGGTTTCATGTTCTGAAGGATCACGACCATGAAGTGTGCTGCATCGAGCTCCGGTGGGACAAAACTAGATTGTTCGTGGGAGCCTCTGTGACCGGTTATGTCCCGTGGCGGTTCGGTCAGAGCAGGAGGTCATCCTAATCGTGTTCTTGCATCCATCCATGACTGTTTCGAAATCTTCGTTGGAGGTTCTGTGGTGGATTGGGAGATGCCGATGGAGAGACTCGAGGAACGAGAAGTGGAACAAAAGTACAAGCTCTGCTATCCGCAGCACCAGTGTCCTGGGCCACTCGTTCTAACACCAGAGTGCCAAATCAGTCCATCACCCACGCCTCTCTCACCATCCAGAAGCCCCCCACTGGTGCTTGGCCAACTCTCCGCTACTTTTCGAAGATCAATCCTGTGCTCAGCACGTACCCACCTCTGTCCCTCGATTGCAACGTCTCTACTCCAGGACCTCAAGGACTCCCAGGACCGCTGTGTCCCCTGTTAATTTCTCTGTATGTGTAGATAAGCTTAGAACCAGCTTGTGAATTGGTGGTGTCGTGCGCGACTGTTGTTGCAATTCAACTTCAATCCGTCGACATTGTGCCATAGGTCGCAGATACACACGATTACTCCGTTGCGGACCAAGTTTTCGGAGAACTCTCTAGGTAGTAGCTATGGTGGCCACGGCTGGGAGCGCCGTCAGTATGATGAGTACGAAAGATATCGCACTTCCGGCACTGGCAGGCACCAGCTCCCAAGCTCATTTGTCTCAGACCACTCCATCTTCTCTTTTGGTAATGTCACGATAAACGAAGTACTTCTGATGAATTACGTGTTCAAGTTTGTAGCTGCACTAATTTGCATTGCTAACCTATTCTTGGGAAGACGCGCGTTCTGTTGTATCACTAGCACCTTTGCGGGCGTCTTTCGATTCTAGGGAGTGCCATTCCTACATACATCTTAGAGTATTCATGCAATTCGTGAACTTCTCATTTCTTATCAAGTTAACGTAGAGAAGAATTCATGCTCTTGAAAGGTTTTGTTCTGGGTCGTTACGGACAATCACTTCAACAGACGCTTGTGTAGAAGGCTCTGCGAACTCAACCACGGCCTGACTACAGCCTCCTGCCTCCCCATCCATTGCCACTTACAGCTGAGGGGACAGTTTCTAGAAACTTACGTCGTAGAAGATTCTTGTTCGCTACAGAAGTAAACTACTTCATTGTGCTAAATTCGTTTAACTTTCTCACGTCTTCTTCTTAATCAGGTAACAGCTGCGGTCGGGAACTTGAGGCCTAGTCTGCGTCTGGCGACTAAGAGGGTGATCAGAAATCCAGCAAATTCAAAGCACGTGAGGTCCATCACGCATACTCTTGCTTCTTCTTCACAAGATACACAAAAGACTGTCGACATTGACTTACCTGAAATATCGTTGAAGTCGGATGCCGGGGACAACTTCTACTTGCAACGAGCCTTGCTCACCGCAACCGCCAGCTTTGCACCCTTGCTCCTAAGTGCCCAAGTAAGTGCGTTCGAGGGTTTCTCAGTTTTGTGCGTTCTACATGCGATCGTTGCCCCCTATGACTAGACGAGCTTAATTGATTCATCAGAGATTGCAAGGTTTGTGGTTACTGACGTCTTACTTTATTGACTGGTGAGCAGGATGCATACGCAGCTGGTGGGGAATACGGCATTCTGGAGGGCAGGACCCTTGCACTTATTCACCCTGTAGTGATGCTTGCGTTTTTTGTGGCCACTGGGTGGGCAGGATACTTGGGTTGGCAATGGCGCCGCGTGCGGACCATTCAGGACGAGATCAATGAATTAAAGAAGCAGGTGCCGGCCGCTGTCGAGGGTGCACCCCCATCGCCAGTTGAAGGCCAAATTAAGGAACTCACTGAGGTATACGAAGTCTTGAATACCTTGGGTGTCTGTTTCGACTCTTCTCGTATCATGTCTTCTTATTGCCCATCTTGCTTAACACCGAGGCCATGTGATTAAGACGTGAGTTAAAATTGCAGACAAGGAAAGCGCTTGTGAAGGGAGGCTTTAGAGAACGTCACTTCAACTGGGGTTCCATTCTGCTTGGCGGAGGTGTCTTGTTTTCTGTTAGTGGAGCTCTGAACACCTACTTGAGAACGGGGAAGCTCTTCCCAGGGCCTCATCTCTACGCCGGCGCGGGTATGGTTTCGCCTACATTACCACTTGTGTACTGTTTTGTTGTTGCTCTTCAACTCATAAACTTGACGTATTGTGTTTGAATCATACCAACATGTCTTTTTTTCCAAAATGGCCGGAAGAACTGCATTATTTACCAGTATGTGTGAATGTTTCCTTATCTTGTGATACTATGCGAATAAAAATTCGACCTTTCGTTGATGGTCGCAGGAATCACCGTACTCTGGGCACTTGCTGCAGCCCTCGTTCCACCCATGCAGAAAGGGAATGAGACCGCACGAAGCCTTCACATCGCTCTCAACACCGTTAACCTCTTGCTCTTCGCGTGGCAGATCCCAACTGGCTGGGAGATCGTCTTGAAGGTTTTGGAGTTCACAAAGTTTCCCTGAAACATTCATCAGATTTAGTACATACCGGAGGTCATTTCACATGCATTCGTTTTCGTGCCTGGAAAATTTTGCACAAATTCTTCGGCAGTCACGTAATGTTGAAGCTTCTAGTGGCTTGCCAGTAGTCAGGTTTACTTTGTAGCATGCCTGTTGTTTTACTACTGTACAACTATTCTTGATTAAATGTATCTTGAGAATTACATTCATTATTCAGGTGAACACTATTGTGCATTGCCTTTTCGTCATTTTCCGGCGAAAGGTTTACCTGGTGCTGTGGACTCTATTAGTTTCTTTTCTTACTGTGATAGCAAACGATGAGGTGTACACATTCTAAATGGTTTGACTTCTACACGAACATTGCAGAAAGAAATATCATATGTTACTTAAGGTCAATGGACACGTAATGAAATACGATATGAATACATCTGATAACAAGCATTATACTGAGTATTAATCTTCCATGCAAGAGATAGGGGGCCTACGAGGTGACCGTTGTAATGTGTATCTGAAGTATTAGGTGGTTATGGGCAGAGAGGATGTGATATTTGCTTGCACTGTATCGACTTTCTAGAGGAGTATTTTCATTCCTGACAATCACATTGAAGTCAGAGAAACAGTTTTCTTCTATCAATGTTTATTCCAAGACCGAATCATATGTTGTACGTACGCCTGTATTGTTTTTAGCCAAACTTGTCAAGTTGCAATACAATGGCACCATGAAGAGAAGAAAGAACAATAGATTACAACTTCTTCAATACCACTAGCAAAAAATCAGCACTGAGAAACTTGTAATGTTCTTGTTCTTGACGATTGTGAAGCATGGACCGACAACGAGTGGCAACTCGCCGTTCGTGACGCAGAAACCATTCGTCGGTGCACTCAGAACCCATATGCACAACCATCAGCGGCTCTACTAAAGACCGCACCCATGAGGAGAACTTGGCACATTTCTTCGGTTCCTGGAGCATCCTCATGCGAGCATCGTCGGAATACAGTTCTAAATCTTCCAAATGCTCCAGGCGAATTACCTCAAATCCACCGACTGTGTTTATGCAGTCTTGGATTTCCTCCAAAGATGGAATGTAGATCGGCAAGTTGAATGCGTCCCAAGTCTCTTCCGTAATTATACCCTGCACGTCGCATTATTGAATTCCAATTTCTTTTAATCCTACTGCTCCATTTCATTCAAAGAAACATTAAGGGAACGTGTAAAGTATGACCCTTAAGCATGGCACCTCTGGATGTAAAAGCACTAACGATCAATCATTTGCTTTCTGCCAACTACGTACCTCCTCAATGAGATCATCCCATGCACCTTCGAAGTCATACCCGGTCATGAAGCGGTGTTGCCGCTCAGGAATGGTTTGATTGGTGGGGTCAGCGCAATCAGCTCGCCCGGACAGATAGCAATGCAGAATGCCGCCCGGCACCAGTTCAGCGGCGCGGCACTGTAGAAACTTGCGGAGGTCCGTCTTGCTCTGTTCGGCGAACGCTTGTGCAATCGAAGGCTTGCCCCCCATTATCCAACATGACCCTCGATTGTACAGCTCCGACTCTGGGTCCGTTACCTCTGCTGGTATCTGTAGCTTCACAAACCACAACCAAGGAAATGATTGAGACTATTACAATTTCTTTGGAATTGAGTTACTGTGCGCCAGATCTGTCAGCTAAGTTAGCTCGATTCAACTTGCTGCGATGAAGAAATTGACGCGTATACCGTACCTGTGAAATCCAATGCAAACAGTGCAGGGATGTCGCGAAGGAATAGCCTCCGGTAAAAGGATCCCGGAACACCAGCCGCGAAGTACTCTCGTACCAATCCGGCTCCTGGTTCCTCTGCCCCCTTCATTGGTGGCAGCAAGCTAAACAAAGTGTTGAAATCATTCGCTGGCAAGTCGTTAAAGAAGGCTTGAATTTCCGGCATGAGTGAGTTGCGGGACTGGTACTCTCGACGAATACACGCCACCACAAAGTCCATGCACGCTAACGAGTTGCGACCCGTGGCGCTTCCGAAGTCGGCTATTCGGAGGAGACTAGGGTTGATGTGGAGATTCATAATGTGGACAGCTTCGGCGAGAGAGGGTTGCAAGCTCTTGAGAGCGTACGCCTGTACCACCGACATGCGGTCGTAGCTTGTCTCCCCGTTGCCCCCGTTCATCCACATGATCCTTTCCATTTCTCTCGCAGGTCGGGGGGACGTTGCATGAACGGGGGGCACAGGCGGATTCGATACCTGTACCATTTCGGAGCTCATAAAATAAAAAAATAACCACTAACGCAATATACTTCGAACTGCGCGGTGATCGATGTTACTGCTGCCAATTGATAGAATACATTTTGATGACAGGAGGAGAAGCAGCCAGATCGTCGTTGTCGCTTGATGAAAGATTAAAGACACACCACTGCCTGGCACTTGTAAATAGATGGATATTCCAAGTTCTGATTCTCCAATTCCAAAGGTTACCAAGAGACTCCGCCACGTGAATCACAAACGATGGGATGCGCGGTTGCAAGTCCGAGTCGTCTCCGAAGCAACTTGCTCATTCTTCTCTACTACCCACAGAGAGCTTCGGTGGTAAGATGTTAAGATGAATCTCTCAACTGATTAGGACCAATCTACCAGTCAGCATCTTGGAAGACGTAAGAAAAAAAGAAGAAAAATAAAACAACCCTCTGAGTTGATAACGCTGCGAGTCGTGAAATCGCCGACCAGGTCGGTAATACCACAATCGATCCACTTCAGTCACCGGTGATCGAAATCAAGAGCTAGCTCTGAAATGCAAGGGTCACTTCTCTGTGTGTTGACAGAACTTGCGCGAACCAACATGAGGAGCGCAGATCTACAAGACCATGCAACACGAAACAGAAGAATAAAATAATACATATAATTTTATTAAAATAAAAACCCCCCACGCACAGTACCTAAAATAAATCTAGCACCTTGCTGCAAGGGGGGGGGGGGTCAACGTGGAGCAGTTCTCTCAAAAAACAATGCAGGCTACGGAAACTCCGGATTGTTTCAGAATGCCAGCCGAGCATCGAATCCAAAACCCGGATGAACCACAACAGGTCCCCGAGGTGAACGACACAACCAGACAGTAAATGTCCACAACACTGGATGAAGACGGACGTGATCAAACACTGTGCAACACGATAAAAACCTGCAGGACAAACCATGAAAAACTAGGCGGATCCCTCGAGTTGCTTGCACGAGCGTGGTACCCAAACAAGAGAACTAACTGGTTGTGAGATGCTCTCGTCGACAAGGAGAAGGAGGAGTTCAGGTGTGGTAGTAGTAGTCGTAGTTGTCGCGGTAGTAGTAGGAATCAAGTAACATTGATCCTCTGCAAGGAGATACGAACTAGTTTTTTAAGGATCACGCAGCGGCGAAAGGGAAGAAGGGAAGTATGATGGTCCCTGCCGGATCAGTGAGCACCTGCTGCGGTGGTTGTTGATCACTGTGGGCTTTGGGAATTGAATACGCCACCACCACCTTCACCATTCTGAAAACTGCCGAAAGGAAAACAAAACACTCCGTTCCGGGCTTGCAGGGAAGAAAGAAAGACGGGCTGGGCGGGGCCGGGCCTACTCAATGCGCACACCCGCCTGTTCCCGGGCCTAAACGCGAATCACGTGCCTCTGGGAACTTGGGAACCTTGTAGGAGATAGCCGTTCCCAAAGAGTTCCCATAGTGTTCCCTTGATGAGTCACGCTGCGGTTGCATCAGCTGACTTTGGACTCTCTCCTCTGGTCAAAATGATGCAAGATAAAGTTTCTTGTCATTTTGTCATGGTTTTTTCATTTCTCAATTTTCATTAATTTCCCCGGACTTTATCAGGAACAAAGGGTCAAGGTTTTCTTGTGGGATATCATAAAATGCATGACTGCATGGGCAACTTTGAGAATGGAATCATCCCCCCTTCCCTCCCCCCACAAATAATTCAAACACAATCCATGCAACTCATATCAGAAAACACTTCATGCTTGCATGGTTACAAGGGAGCCCCATTTATATTTATTCTTAGTTACATGACAAAGAAGAATGCTAGAGATAGTAGCAAAAATGCAAGTGGTCCAAAGGGGAGTAACACACACACACACATATATATATATATATATATATAAATATAAAGTACATGTTTAATTGTACAACAAATATTTAAGCACATGGTAGTTTTTTTTTTTTTTTTTTTTTTTTAAATACCACGGATAAAAGCCAAAGTCTAAGAATTCATCCAATTTCCGATTTTCCATCCAAAAGTATTCATCCACACATGCCAATGTGGCAAGGGAGCTGACGTGGATGGCCCTTATGAGGGTGGAGAAGGGTCGTCCAATTTTGCTCCAATCATGACCCTTCTTGTTCTATTGGGGGCATTGTTTCGATAAGAGTAGTGAAGCATGATGTGAAGCTTCTTCAGTATTACTTTTTAATAATACTTTTTTCTTTTATAATATATTTTATTGGTCAATTTTTGTGATTTGGATTATCTGAAAAGACACCCTTTTTAATGTTATAGGTGGATTTGACCTTTCATCTACTTTTTACCTTTTTTATATTGATTTGATTTTGCAAATTTTCCTTTAGTCATTTTTATTTATTTTGAAATATTGCTTTTATGATTGGACAAGTTTTTTAAAGAGGCATAATGTTAGTATAGAAATTCTTTTCTAGAGGTTGAAAGTTGCTCTTTCCAATTGAAGATTGTTGTAAAAAGAAGAATATTTTTAATTAAAAAAAAAAAAACAAAAACAAAAACAAAGTGGTGAAAGAACAATAGTCAAAAATCTTTATATAAGCATATTTCAACAATTCTAAATTTTACATATGATTTAATACATAAATAGATGTTTATGAAACCATTAAGTAAGACTTGCCTTTATAATGAAGCATCTTATGACAATAAAAAGTTTTACATAGTTATAAAAATAAAAATACACTAATCTGTTTATAGACATCAATGAACAATTTCCAAGCATTCATGTCCAAAGTTTGAAAAACTACAAATGTTGTTTTTTGAAAGATTGTTTAGATTTTATCATTTTTTTTGGTATACATATCTAAATATATAACTAAATATACATTATTTTTCTTACATAAATCTACCTAAAAGAATTTATTTTTATATGTATTTTAAATACATCAATTAATATAATAAATTTCAAACTTCTTCATAAAAATTTGTTAGTTATCTGCTTTGAATATATATATATATCTATATATATATCTATATATATATTCAAGATTAAAAATGGTAATGCGTGTATAGGTATCAAGGACCAAAATTTCAAAGAACTAAAAAATCAATAAATTCTCATATCATTCAAACAAACTAAAAAATCATTCAAAGATGGTATAATATTAAATTAGAATAGCTATTGCCAAAGACAAGAAGACTAGAAAGTCTAGAAATAAGACTAAGGATTAGAAAGGCATTAACAAGAGTAAAGAATGCTTCATTTTTACCTCCATATATATTCTCTAACTAAGAGCTATGTAGCAACATTCTACAGGACTTTCAGTACGTGTCCAATTTGTAAGACATATGTCTTAACTTGCAAGGCAAGTTTCCTATATGAGTACCACATCATTAGCTTATACCACAAGCTATTGTCATGGACCAAAAATACAAACAAGAAATCTAAACAAGAAGTTCAAGAAGAAATGACAAGAACTAGATTATCAGATGAGTACAAGAGCAACGCCAAGAGAATTGAGCTAGAGCTTCAAGAGATGTGTTGTCGAGATTGAAGAACTCTTCAGCCTCGACTCCTATATATACTACTGGCCTATGGTTCTAAAGAAGCGCATCAAGAAGCTTCCCAAGAACTATGAAGCTTCTCGAGCAACTACCCAAGAGTTAGGAAGCTTCTCAAGTAACTTCCTAGAATCTACTAGAATATTCTAAGAATCTTCTGGAGCTTTCTAAAGGAATCTTTAGGGAATATTTAAAGAATCTTTAGGGAATCTTTGAAGAATATTCTAAGAGAATATTTAAGGAATCTTCTGGAAGTTTCTAGAGACTTCTTTCTAGAAGGTTCTAGAAACTAGTCTCTAGAAAGGTCTAAGGACTATGTTCCTAACATCACCTCCTCCTTTAGCTTCGAGGTCTCCGAGAAGCAATGTTATCGTCAGTCAATACCAACGCAAGAAAATGAAGATCTGTCGCATAACCTCTGCTATGAACTCCAATTGTTGTTTACGAGGCAAGTGATTCAATGGTCCTTGAAGCCAACAGTAGTGGCCTACGCCTTCAACTTCTGACCAAGCATGAACCTCCGTGTCTTCATTGTGAAATTGTCCTGCAAACACTCCTTCTGGCTGACCATTGTAGGCAGGCTCGACCTCAAATACAATCACCAGCGATCTGTTGCTCAAAATCCTTCGACGTCGTCGTGGTGTAGGCGGTTCTTCATCTCGCGGTCATCTTCGTGAGCTAGTTGCTTGAGATGACATGACAAGTGTAGTATCTTGGCTATCCATATTCAAAGGCTAAAACAATAAGAACAAACTTGGGCTACTAACAAAGTTCTACGCTATCTTGGAGAGAATGACTACATCAACTATGGATTTTGGTGGTGCTCTCTCCTCTTTTTTGTTTTCTGGATGAGCAAGCTTTAGTAAGAAGCTATCGTCGAACCGGCTTGGATTTCTCAGGATATCGTCGATGAAACTCCTGTACCTTTTGCGACGCATTCGCGAGATTTTCGGCCGGCTCCCATGTTCGTTCATTAATATCGTAACCGCTCCAATGCACAAAGTATTCTAATTTACCCCATCTTTGCCGTGAATCCAGGACCTTTTCCACCTCGTATTCTTCGTGGTTCTCTATTTCTATGCTAGGTGGTGGACATTGTACTCTTCCAGGAAAAGACGATTCTCGATAAGGCTCCAACAAAGAAACATGAAAGACAAGATGTACCTTCATAGTAGCTGGTAACCCCAGACGATACGCTACAGGATTGATCTGCTTCTGGATAACAAATGGTCCCAATCTCCGATAGTCCAATTTGTCACATGGCCGCTTGGTCTTAATATTTTGTCGAAGCAGCTAAACTTTGTCTCCAATCGTGAATTTAGGTGCCTGATTCCGAAATTTGTCCGCGGACGCCTTGTAAGATTCTTGGGCAGTTTGCAATTGAAGCTTCAATGTAGTTTGAAGCTGCGAAAGCTCCTTCACCAATCCTTCAGCTGCCGGATTGTTAATCGTTGACGAACTCCATAAGTCAAGCTTCGGATAGTATCCATAATTGGAAAAGAATGGCGTTTGTTGAGTTGACGCATGAAGGATGTTGTTATATGCGAACTCGGCTAGCGGTAGATATGCGACCCAATCATCTTGTTGATAGTTGATGGTGCAACGTAAATATTGCTCTAAAACTTGATTCATCCGTTCTGTTTGGCCGTCTGTTTGAGGATGAAATGCCGAAGAAAGCTTGATATCCACCTTCAATATCTCAAAAAGAGATTTCTAAAACTTTGACACAAACTGGGTTCCTCGATCCGATACGATATCATCTGGTAGACCATGATATCGATACACATTATCAAGAAAGAGTCTTGCTGTGTCTTCGCTTGACGATGTCTTCTTGCAAGGGACAAAATGTGCCATCTTTGTAAGCCGATCTACGACAACAAAAATGTTGTCAAATGAATTCGATGGTGGTAGATCCGTAATAAAGTCCATGGAAACCGAAGACCATGGTCGGCGCAGAATAGGCAATGGCTGTAGAAGTCCATAAGGCCGATGTCGAGGATTTTTGGATCTTGAACAAATGTCTTAAGATACAACAAAATCTTTCACATCCTTCCACATTTGAGGCCACCAGAAATCGCGGGAAATAAGTTCCAAGGTCTTATTGAATCCAAAATGTCCCGCAGCTGGAAAGTCATGACGAGATTGAAGAACTCGGAGTCGTGTTGGCCCTTTTGGGATATACAACCGCTCTTCGAAATATACTAGATCTCCTTCCATCTTGAATTTATCATCACTAGCATGTTGCTTGATATCAAGGGCTAGAGAATCTTCAATGGTTGCGGCCCGTACCTGGTCGAGGAAGTCAGCATCAATTGGTACAATAGCTGCGTTGAGCCGAAATTTCTCTGGCTTCAACAATGTCATGCACTGTTGATCAAATGCTGCATCTCCAGCCTTTGGCGCGAGATATGATCTCCTTGATAATGCATCGGACAACCCTTGTTGCTTCCCAGGCCGATAAGTAATAACAAAGTCGAACCTGGATAGCGACATACTCCACCAAGCTTGACGCAGATTCAAAACCCGAGCCGACATAAAATACTCCAAATTCTTGTGATCCGTATATACGGTCACTGGATGTGCAGTTCCTTCGAGAAAGTGGTGCCACTCTTGGAAAGAATCTACTATAACAAGGAGTTCCTTATCGTGGATCTCATAGTTGATCTCAGCAGCAGAGAATTTTCGAGAATAGAACGCAACTGGATGGAGCTTCTCATCTACGCCCATCTATGAAAGTACAGCTCCCAAAGCAAAATCCGAAGCATCTATCTCCAAATAAAAGGCCTTTGTAAAGTCCGGATGTACTAAGATTGGAGCTGTAGTAAATACCATCTTCAAATCTTGAAATGCTCTTTTTGCGATAGGTCCCCATTCGAGCTTGTCCTTACACGTTAACCGAGTGAGGGGGGCAACAATTTGAGAATAATTCTTGATGAAGATCCGATAGTAGTTAGCAAATCCAAGAAAACATTGTACGTCCCTAACCGTCTTCGGAACTTTCCAAGACATGATTGCTTCCACCTTCTTTGGATCCATCTTCAAGCCTTCCGTAGTCGCGATGAATCCCAAAAACTCCATCTCAGTTTGGTGAAATAAGCACTTCTCCAATTTGGCATAGAGTCCTCACTCCCGTAGTTTTTTGAGTACCAGACGAACGTGCTTCTCATGTTCTTCCTCGTTCTTAGAAAATATCAAAATATCATCTAGATAGATGACAACAAAATCGTCTAGATGCTCTCGAAAGATGTCATTCATCATGTGTTGAAAGACCGCTGGAATATTAGTAAGACCAAATGGCATGACATTGTATTCAAAATGGCCATACCTTGTTCGGAATGCTGTCTTCCATTCATCTCCTTCCTTAATTCGCACAAGGTTGTAAGCTCCTCTTAGGTCAATCTTTGTAAAGATCCTTGCACGCCCAAGTTGTTCTAGAAGACCAGAGATCAAAGGCAATGGATAGCGATTCTTTTTTGTCACCTTGTTGAGATCTCGATAGTCCACGCACATCCGTAGTGAGCCATCCTTCTTCTTCACAAATAAGATTGGTGCCCCAACTGGCGACTTCGAATGACGGATGAAGTTCTTGGCTAGATTCTTGTCAATGTACTTCCGCAACTCAGTCAACTCCGTCTGCGACAAATTGTAGATTGGTCCAAAAGGTGGTTGTGCTCCTTCTTGCAATTCAATGGCACAGTCATAGGGTCGATGCTCTGGCAGCATATCAGCATTCTTCTTTTCAAAGACATCTTTGAATTCTTCATACTGCTTTGGAATAACCAAAGTCGGAGTTGCATCTTCTCGAGTCGGAGTTGCGAAGACGACAAGAGGTGTATTTTGCTTGGCTTCCTTCATGAAAGCCCTTGCACCTATAAACAAGGATTTATTTCTAGACATTGTCTTGGCAGATTCCACTTTCAAGGAGTTTGTTGGAAATGTCACTTTCCGCAACTTCCAATCTATCAATGGATTATATCTATCAAGCCAAGATAGTCCCAAAATGATAGGACATGAAGGGGTCTTGATAACATTAAACACAATATTGCTCTCATGGTTTTTAAGACGTACCTTCAATGGTTTAGTTTCATGGATAACATTGCCTGAAGACAATGGTCGTCCGTCTATGACTTCTACATGGACAGGCTTAAGTTTCTTTACAAGAGAAATATTGTGAAGCTTGACAAACTCTTCATCTATAAAGCAAGCGGATGCACCCGAGTCTAATAAAGCATCGACTTGTAGTTCTTGAATACTCAGATGTAAAGGTACCATAAAACAATCTGAAGGTTGAGCTGAGAGAAAGGGACCTTGATTAATTTTGGATGTTGAGATGTCCAGCCGCACGGTCCCTATTGTGGCTGGGCGTCCTTGTTTTCCTGCATGCTTGTACTCCTGAGTCTTGTTGTTTGAGGCTTCTGTTTCTTCCGACAATCTACAGCTTTATGGCCCGCTTCTCCGCAATATAAACACAAGTTTTGTTCAAACCGTCGCTTCCTTTCCTCAGCTGTGAGGGGTTTGAAACGTACCGCATCAATTTACATGGGTTCAGGATCTGTAGAGTGATTCTCTGGACCTTTTGAAAATGTAGCAAATGCTCCATCATTTCTCCAGCCTGATCGTCTTTCTTGTCGTAATTCAAAGAGGCGGTTGTCACAAATAATTGCCTGAGATATAAGTTCTTCTAAAGTATCCGCCTTAGGCATGGTGATCAATAAGTTCTTGACATCATCTCTCAGTCCATATCGAAATCGTGTCATGAATGCCTTATCATTCCAATCAAGATCACATGTAAGATGTTGAAATTCTGCAGCATAGATTGCAGCAGAACGTGATCCTTGTCGCAGATTTTGTATCTTTCTTTCAGCCACTCTTTCTCAATCGCTATCTCCAAACGCAGCAGTAAGTCTCTCTATAAAAGCCTCTAGGTCGTACAATATTGGAGAATCCTTCTCCAATAGTGGAGCAAACCAAGAGCGAGCATTTCCTGATAGAAGAGTACCTATGAAAGCAACCTGGGTAAATCCATTCGGATAACGAGAAGGGTATAGGCGTAGGTAAAGCCGTACTTGTTGCACAAAACCTCGGAAGTTGGCTCTTGTTTCGTCAAACTTATCTGGCATACTCGCTTTTGGTTCTTTCGTACTAATCCTTGAAGTATCCATAGGGGTCGTATGTGACACATGTCTTGCTTCTCTCAGTCGAATAATCTCTTGTTGTAGGCTATGAATTTCGCGTCTAGCTTCTTCGGTCACTAGATCAATTTGAGGTTCTTTACTTGGATTGCGAAGAAATGCAATCTCCTTTCGTACACTATTCATAAGAGCTTGAAGATCTGCAAGAGTTGCCACTCTATTGTCTACTTGTGGAGATGCACTGTCTATGACCTGGTCTACTTCCATATTTAGAGAATAGATGGATTAAAATTTTGAAAGAAGAAGAAATTGCTAAGTCTCTTGGAAAAAATTGTAGCACTACTTGTCACTAAAACCTACTTGGAGAAAAGAAAAAAAACACTAAACGATTTCAGTTTTAGAGGAGGGTAATCCGCAACCTCTAAAAATGCCTCAATGCTTTCGAGAAGAGGGGTAATCCGCACTCTATCAAGAAGGCAAAGCTCTGAAATCGATGTTAACAGTCTTTTTTACTAGCTATGCTAAACAAAAAGAAGGAATTAATATCAGTCCAAGAGAGGGTAATCCGCAACCCTTAGAACGCTCAAGTATCTCCAAGGAAAGGGGTAGTCCACTCTCTGCCTCAAAGAACTAAGCTCTGATATTGTGATTGAGAAAATATCAGTTTAGAGGAAGGTAATCCGCAACCCCTAAAGCGCTAGAATACCTTCAAGAAGAGGGGTAATCTGCTCTCAAACAAGAAGGATTCAGCTCTGATATTAAGATAAAGGTAGTCTCGACAAACTGTCACGGACCAAAAATACAAACAAGAAATCTAAACAAGAAGTTCAAGAAGAAATGACAAGAACTAGATTATCAGATGAGTACAAGAGCAACGCCAAGAGAATTGAGCTAGAGCTTCAAGAGATGTGTTGTCGAGATTGAAGAACTCTTCAGCCTCGACTCCTATATATACTACTGGCCTATGGTTCTAAGGAAGCGCATCAAGAAGCTTCCCAAGAACTATGAAGCTTCTCGAGCAACTACCCAAGAGCTAGGAAGCTTCTCAAGTAACTTCCTAGAATCTACTAGAATATTCTAAGAATCTTTTGGAGCCTTCTAAGAGAATCTTTAGGGAATATTCAAAGAATCTTTAGGGAATCTTTGAAGAATATTCTAAAAAAATATTCAAGGAATCTTCTGGAAGTTTCTAGAGACTTCTTTCTAGAAGGTTCTAGAAACTAGTCTCTAGAAAGGTCTAAGAACTATGTCCCTAACAGCTATCCACACATGCAATACATGACTAACTTGTTGTCTAAGTTTTTAATCTATAAATCAACTATAAACATGTATAAAGTCAAATATGCACCTACGAATTTTTTAAGAAGCTTTTCCACAAAATAATATTAAATTTATCTACATTTACTTTCTATTTAATACTTCTTCTTTACGTAAATATGTATGTCCGTAACAATAGGTGCAATTAACTATATTTGATTTCAGCATGTGGTGTTTAGGTACAAAGTAGGATTTAAATTTGAACAAATTATCATGACCTTTTTATAGAAATGACATTAAAATTTCTTTGTAAATTATATTTTTGATTTGATTTGATTTGATTTTTTTTTTTTTTTTTGGTTTGTTTGTTTGTTTCTTTGTTTTCTAAATTGGATTATTGTTTTATTTTAAATAGATTTCATATTATATTCAAAATTATTCTTAAATATTTTTGGATCTTATTTTTTAAAATTAAAGAGTAAGTGTGATTTTATTAATGAAAAATTGTTATTAATATCAATATTATTGTGAATATGACTAATATCATCATCATTGTCTTACATGTTATTATTTTCATAATTGAGATGATTCATTTTGAATGTTTGCTAATTATCAGAATGCAGATGCGTTACAACAATGATCATAGAAACGTATTCTTCTCGTGAAAGCAAACAAAATTTAAGTTAAGAGGAACTCATTTTTCAAACAGTTAAGATGGTGTTGCAAAAGATGGTGATGTGTTTTCCTTGGTTGATGGGCCTTCACAAAAACTTATTCAACAGAAAAGCATTATAATTTCACACCAAACAATAAAAGTCCCGCATTAACTGTTATTTTCCATTACATCGAAGAATTTATAGACTTGAATGAAGTATGAGTAAGGTTTTTGACATTCTCCCCGAGTTAGATTTTAGTGGCAATACGTTAATTATAAGGTTTACTTTGAATAAAAAGATGAAGTTTAATACACGTCTGATCAGAAGAGAGCTGTGAAAAGCCTTAACAGGGATAACCTGGGTCCTGCAAGGGTAAATTCCTCCACTGCTTGAGGCAGAAGAAGTGACAACACTAAAGCCATAGGGGAGCCTGAAAACGGTGAATTGAAAAAATGTCGATATAAAAGAACTTCATGCATAACTCATGGTACAAGAGTGTCACTTCAATACAAGAACAGGAGCGACCATTCTAGCTCTTATCTTGCATGGCCACACCATTCTCAAGGATACAAAAGTTAGATTACTACTAATCTGGCTACGGTAGCGGATTGCAATGTTCTCAATCAGGTGATTACTTCTGATTATTTACATCAAATTTTTGTTCTTTTGCGAGCTAATTTAAGTTTAACCAGCAAAAGGGAGTATTTATCTCTACCTATGCTGGAAGTTTAAGAATTTGATGCCAAGGACGAACACTCCTGCAAATAGAATAGCAAAGACAGGCATCATGAGGGCGACAACAGGTAGGAAGTCATGGTAGTAGTCAAAGTAAGATTCGAGGAATTTTTTCACCATCTGTTTGTTGGTGTCGTCTCCAAGAACCATGGTATAGGTTTCCAAGTCCCCGAATTGTGAGGTGATCAAGCCGTAGATTGTCCATGACACTGGACATATCCAACAATACCACGCCCACCAATCTGGAATTTTCTGCATGATCCAAAACAGAAACTATGATAAGAACCCACCCTCACTCAAATAAGGTGCAAAACTTGATCAGTTCAAAACTTGAGTTGCGACAGACTGTTTTGGTTGCAATAGAGAATTTGCACTGGATCAGCACTCTTGATGCATTACTCTAACAGTAAAGAACACATGTTAACAACCCAAGGGTGCGTACCGGTTTGGGGATGAGGAAACCGGAGAAGAGGTTGAAGAAAGAGTAGAAGAAGGAGGCCACAATGGACGCGATCTCTGTGTTGGGAGTTAGTGCCACCATCATCATCCCGTAGTAGGTAAAGCAGATGAACATGAAGAACATGTAATAGCAGTACCAGAAAAACTTCAACCCCGTCCACTCAAAATTGATCATGGAATATGTGATAAGCCCGTAAACTAGCGTCTGAACCATCACATATGGTATTTCGATCGCCACTTGAGCTAAAGCGTACGGGATGGCCGAGTACATCCCCGCAGCACGCTCTCTATAAAATACCGTGCGCTCAATTCCGACCATGGGTTGCACTGTTCCACAGTTGTTGATCCCAAGGAACAGAACTGCCCCATACAAGGCCCCCATGACTGTGAATAAGTCTTGTGAGGTGCTCCTGCAGTGAGCGAGATGAAACGTTAGACTTTATTACATTGAATTTGCACCTTGGGTCAAAATGCGATTCCTTGAAAGGAAGATGAGACGTACGTTTTCTGACCGAGGTCCCAGAATATGCTGCCGAAGAGAATAGCAGTGACGGCGGAAAAACAGAAACGAACACAATTGTAGTCTGGGGTGCGCCAGTACGTCAGCTTCTGTTTCCACAAACATGATGTGAGCTGCGTGAAGAAAGGCTGCGAGTATTTAGTCGGGAAGTGGAGATCACGAGTTCCGTGTGTTAGCGATTTCAGTTGAGTCACGAGTGCCTTGTTCCTCCTGCCGCGACAAGAATCTCAGTATCCTCAGTAACGCTCTTGATTTCAATTCACGATAGATATTCAACTGGTTCACATTACTCTCTTGACTTCGTGGCGAGTGACTTTTGAAGCACTACAATGTGGTTACAGACTGAACTTCATCAACCATAACAACCAGACCAAATTGTGATGCAATATTCCTCAACATCTGATGAATGCAATAGCCAACATTCAACTTTATAGCATAACACACTTACATAAAAACAGCCGAATTTTGGTAGATCTCTGCAAAGTCAACCTGCAATTGCTTCTCCATGTCCGTAGAACTGACTTCCAGCATCCACGTTGCTGGATTGTAGCCTTCTTTGATCTTGGGTACCCCAGGAACAGCCTGTAATACGCACAATTGTGAGATGAAGAGTTATTCATATTTCTTCATGAAATCCTTTATGTTTTTTGGCAAATTGAATGCACTCGTTTCAATCAGCCATAGCAATACTTCAGAGCTTACCTCAAAATACTCAACCACCTTGTGAGAGCGAGGTCCCAAAGGTCCCATGTAAATGACTTGTCCACCTCGTTTCATCAACAATAGCTGCACAATCAATTCACATAATCAGATCACTAAACAGTTCGCAAATCCAATTACTTAATTTTCACTCACATTGTCCCGAACCCTTAACTTGGCGCCAGATCCTGCAGCTTTGAAGGTAATGATCGAAGTACCTCATCAAAAGCTTCAAAGATGTCGATACTGGGTTGATGTATTGTGCACACCACTGTGCGGCCCGTGTCCACTGTATTCCGAACTGTACGCATGACTATGGCAGCTGCACGAGCATCTAACCCACTCGTTGGCTCGTCCATGAAAATTATGGAGGGATTGGATACCAACTCCACAGCAATAGTCAACCGCTTTCTCTGTTCGGTTGAGAGACCTGTGGAGCCTGGAAGTCCCACAAGTGCATCTTGCAGCGGCATCAATTCCACCAATTCCATGACCTCTTCCGCAAAATTCTGTGTATCATTCAGACGACAAGTTATTCAACTGATGCACGACATCTGATGTCATCCTGGTATGCATTTCTATAGTATTCTATTCGAAGCATTGATTGCTAAACAAAAGCAGCCATTTTCAAAGCAATCTTGTTCTTTCCTTCGACGATATCATGCGTTATGTGAAAGAAAATGATGCAGATAGGGAGGAGGTCAGGTTCTTTGAACTTCCTCATGCCTGTGCATGAACATATTAATTCGTTAATACAAGACGGGAACAAGGAGCCATATTAATGAATGCGTTTCGGAAAGAAGAGATTTTATGTACCATCTTCATGGCGGGAGTGCAGTCAGAAGATAGCCGCAACCAAGCCGAATAGATGAGGGACTCGCGGACAGTGACTTGGGGAGAATGAATGTCCACTTGCTCACAATACCCTGCAATTCGAGCAAACGTCTCTTGTTTTTTAGGATATCCATTAATTCGGATGTCACCCTCAATGTAGCCCCCCGTCTTACGCCCTGCCAGTACGTCCATGAGTGTCGTCTTCCCGGCTCCGCTGACCCCCACAAGAGCCGTTAGTACGCCTGGGCGGCAAGCTCCTGTGATCCCACGGAGCAGCTGTAGCCGGTCTTCTGGCACTCCATGGCTCTTCATTTCCTGCATGAAAAAACACATGTCCTCAGTCGTCTATCCACACAAAAGTTGAAGACTTTCGTATTGCTTTCATAAATTACGGTAGCAACCAGAATTTGAGATGGATTAAACTTGGCATTGAAGACTCACAGGAGGCATGTCGACGTAGTACGTGAGATCTTCGAAAGAGATGGACAGGGGTAGAAATGGTAAAATCATGCCACGCTTCTGTTCCATTGCCGCGATTTCAAGAGTTGCCTCGAGAGCAGTGCCAAGAGAAGCTTCAGCTTGATCTAATGCTCGGGTTTTTCTATCTTTCATTCCTTGAGCATCCCCTCTTGATGCAATGTTATGATTCGCAAGGTTAAGCCACATGTTTCGTTCATCTGCAAGGAAATTCACTTAGGACTTGGCTAGATTACAATAAATGTGTAATGAATTAAGTATTTCCAAAGGACACAAACTAGAGAAGCTCAATGAGAAATTCAGATCAGTCTGGTAGAGAAATACTTGACTAAGACTTACCATCTTCAGCTCTCGACTTTAGCTCGGATCGAGGTTTGAATCTTGCTGGGTATGCGGACACGCCTTTGGTTGTTTTATCCATAATTTTGGACGACGCAGTGTTTTCATTTTTCTCTGATAGTGCTTCCTCAGACATAAATGCTTGGGGCTTTCCCAATGCTGTTTGAAAAATCAAATCAAAATAAAATCTGATTAAATTTCATCTAGTTGACATGTTTCATATTGGTAAAACAATTTGACGCAGGAATGCACTTATTTCAACCATTCATGTCCACATTTTTGTTAATTGCAGTTAAAGTGTACGATAGAATATTACGTTTCATCAAACTAAGTGCGATTGTGAAGCCAATATTAAAGAGGATGGCGAATCCGAAGAGAACTCCAACGTCTATCCAGTACCAGTAATTCTCGGTAAAAATTCCACGACTGATCAAAACCAACTCTCCCAAAGTATGATTCTGGTTATGGACAACCTGCAGGGAAACAACACAGAAAAGCGATGAGATTGAGGACACCTGAAACCGGCTCAGTTAGCAATATCCCAGATCACGAGGAAGAAGAAAAATAAGAATGCGTGTGTGTTAAAAAGGAGAAATAAAATAGAAAGCAAATTTAGTTTCGACAATTTAAGGGAATTTTCTTCTTCTCTGATGGTGATGGCACTCCACCTTGCTCCACCGGGGCGCAAGCATCTCGTTGATACTAATGGCGTTCTCAGCGTAGGCAAGTGGGGAAATCCAGTAGCCCCAGATCCACCAGCTCTTGATGGCTGGCCGTGGGATGATATACCCTCCCAACATAAACACGATTAGCAACAGAAATGAACCTCCAGTGTATGCCATAATCATCGTCTTGCACACGGCTCCAATAAGTCGGAAGAGCCCGGATGACATCTGGTGCACCGAAAATAATAACAGAAGTTGCTTGAAGAATCTGCACCACCAATTTCAGTTCCTCAAACTTGTCAGGTTCAGAAATAGTATGCACTTTTCAATTACAACACCATACCAGCAATTTTGGAAGAAATTGTATTTGAACACCAGTGCTGAATAACAATTGATATGAGGACTGCCCAATTTTTGGTTGAAATGAAAACCTTGAGGCTTCCGGAGCGTAACCGGTAACATAGTAAGTCATGACAGTCCAGATTGAAGACTCAACTGCTGACATGGGAATGCTCAGCACAAAACTGGGCAGTGAAAAGGCCCAGGCGGGATAAAAGAGAAGATCACGTTGCTTGAAAAATACGGGGAGACGGAAGATGGTCATGGAAAGCTCCCCGAATCCATTGAACATGATGCTCACAACTGTGAAGAATAGAGAACCAAGGTATATTGTCCCATCTGCTACTGTGTCCTGGTGTAGCTTTGTGCGGAAAAAAACCGTCATGCTCACAGCTGCCATGATAGCTAGCTGCAACACCAACAAATGCAAATTAGTTTCACGATCTTAATCAGAACTAAATCCTTTCATATGTTTATGTTTGAGGGCAATTCGGGAGAGAGGTAAAAAAACCTGTGTAGTTTTGAAGATGTAAACAAAAGCATCTCGCTTCATCAAGAGGACTTCTTTCGCGAATGTAGCTTTGAAAATCTCTGTCTTGGTGACGGTATACTTCTCGTGGGTTAAGGCTGCCCTGTGACTTCGATGTTTGGGGTAGGGATGCGCCAGCTCCATCTTCAGGGATGCTCCAACGTGGAATTTCTTGAACTTTGCTTCAAAGTTTGAGACAGATACATAGCGGTATGGGCGCCGTTTATTCATCCAATACTGCTCCTGATCCTTCTTCGACGTTACCTGAGATCCAGAGACACCACATTGTAAGCCTGAAATCGCAAGATAATTTTTTTACACTTGGTCCTCGGAATGTAAATCAAATTTTTGAATCTGTTGAATGATTTTTAAGTTGAGATTGTACCTCTTGGAGAAAATCAGCCACACCTTTGCGTTCAGGGCACTTGAACCCGCAGCTTTCAAAGAACTCCAAGACGTTCTCTCGAGGGCCATTGTACACAATTTGGCCTTCTGAGAGAAGAATGACGTCATCAAAAAGCTCAAAAGTCTCCGGAGCGGGTTGTAGAAGAGACATTAGCACCGTGCTCGACATGACGTGTGCAAACTGCCGCAAGCTCTTCACGATTTGGAATGTTGTTGAGCTGTCAAGTCCTGTTGAAATTTCGTCCATGAACATTGCCCGAGTCGGACCAACAATCATCTCTCCTGCAAAATTGAGGCTTATCATTAGGATCAGTACACGAGGTAGCAGCTTTCCTGCAGACAATATAAGTCTGAAATCCATATTTGGAGTTGCAATTTAAATCTATACCTGTGGTAACTCGTTTTTTCTGACCCCCTGAGATCCCCCTGCGCATGTCATCACCAACCAAGGTGTCCGCGCATACGTCAAGTCCTAGAATCTGCAACATCCACAGCAGATCGAAGCATTTATTCACATTGAACCATTCATATATTTCATCACCGAGTTTTCTAAATTCTATTGATCGTAATCGATCAGCAAAAACTCAACTGATCAAGTTCATAGAAATTGTTGGCTCTAGTTTGCACCACTGACCTTTAGGGTATAGTCTGTTGCAAGACTGCTCTCTACTCCTGATATAGCTGTTGCCTGCGTTTTCAGCGACAAATAAATCAACGAGAAGCACATCACAAATTTTTCAATGTCTTTCAAATCAAGAAAGAGGAACTCAATATTATGTGGCCAATCTCAATTCAATCGGTCAGAGAGATATAAATGACTGCTAATACACTAGAGGACTGCAAGCTTCAACCCACCTTCATGAAAAGATCCACATCGGCTTCAGGAAATATTCCTGCTTGCTTTTCTCTCCTTGCAAGCTCGGAAAGTAGCTCTATAATTAAAATTCACAAAGACAACTTGTTAAAACACAGCCTTTAATTTTCGAAGTGGAGGACTGAATTGTACGAAGTTCAAAAGAACAGGATTATCCGTGGAGTGAGCGGTTAAATAATTTACCGTATCGAGTGCCGGTGCCTTGGCAACGAGCTGAGAAGTCCAGAGTCTCGCGCACAGTCATTTGTGCAACATGTAAGTCGGTCTGGCTAATGTACACCGCAGTCTTTTGGGGTACGAATTCATCCAGATTGTGTCCGTTGTATGTTACAGTGCCCTGAACCTGGGTTAATCCACCCGAAATAGCCATTAATCCTTGAAGCTTACAACCAGGTGAAATCCAGCACCTGCACGATCACTAGATCGTACTTTAACCTCCTGATATTTCCGGCATTGGTTTTCACAACAATCCAGAGAAATGGTAATTTTGCAGGGTTTGGGGATAGAAGTTCGAAGTAGGTGCTAACCTTCAAATCTTTGTCAAGTTTGCCTGCAAGCGCTAGCAATAAAGTTGTCTTTCCAGAACCTGGTGGACCGAGTAACAGAGTCATCCTGCAATTGAAAGCACCAATTCCAGAATGTAAGTTTATGTTTCTAGAGCTAATTTTCCCATCAACGCAGCATCGTTACCAGTGGCTATTGATTGTCAAAAACTGCTCGATCCAACCAAATACTGAATCAGACATACCTTTGAGGCTTGACTATGCCATTCACATTGTTCAATATGTTGTGAACAGTTTTCTTCGACGTCGATATCCTGATCAAATTCAAACATCGCTGCAAAACATAGGAGGGGGAGACGTTAGCGTGCTGTTTCCTGAGATTGTTGATCTTGATAAATTTTAAAACATCTATCCAAAGTTTGATTTATTCGCGTTTTCTTGTCGAGGAGGATTTCATTATTTCGTTCTAGCATCACATGAATTGCAGAATTGCTAAGGAATGTCAACATGAATCACTCGCCTCAATGAAGTTCCGAGCAGAGTTCCAAAGGGAGGGCAACGCACGACTGCCCACATAGCAGGTCGCATCCACGGTCAAATTCTCGTACCTCACCTCGATTGTCGGAAGTTCAATGCCCACACTGCCATGACCGCCAAACCATGACAACGCAATCAATGAGAACATGACTCCAAAACAGAAGCCCAAAAGCTCTATCTAGTCACTTTGCAAGTGACCTGGGCATTCCGAAGCAAAGCCCTCAGACCACCAACATAAATCACACTTGTCTCTGAAAGTCTCCAAGAACTTCGGGGTAATATTCTTGCTATAAACCCCGCGAGGTAAAGTGGGTCCGGCCTTAGACACTCCATGCAGATTTTCTTTATGATCAAAACCAAACCCAGAGGCCATGAGATTAATCAATACAACGACGGTGTCACATTGGTACTCATCTTATCGAGTAGTTGTCGTATTGATATCTATAGGACAACTACTCCATACGAGGTCTGACGAAGCCCACAGTTCTGTGCGAAGGAATATGACACAGCCCTTGCAAACTCTCTCCTCACAATCTTACAACTCATTGATTCATGGACTCATAGCCTCGTACACAGGCAAAGATTGGTTAGCGCTGCATGTTTTTTAACCTAATGACAGGTAATTGATACCCGCGCAGCCTGACTGAGTAGGGTATGCACAACCCACAAGAGTGACAAATGAAACATGGAAACCGAGCTCCAAAACTCACAACACATGATCAATCACAATACTTAACCATGGAAAACAATAAGAAACGTGAATTTACGTTTTTACATACGTAGGGGTAATAGCTTGTCTATCGAATTGTAAGATTCAGGTCCCTCAAGAAAATTGAGACAGGTTTGAAGGAGTATGGTTCATGGGGCGGAGGATTGGTGAGCTGCAGCTTACTTGTTGATCCGCTTGCGAAGCTTGAGCAAGAATTTCTCGTTGTCTTCCTCAATCACCTTGAGCAAGTTGTCTATCAAGAGCTGACGCTCGAGAGGCCCAATCTTTGCGACGTCCACCTGGTCGATCCTTCCAGGGCCTTTGTGGATCATGGCGGTGCGTAGGCGCCGCACTGTGGGCAGCCTCTCCATGGCAGCCCACTTGAGCGCCTCCTCGTCATTCATTTCGTCTCCTCGGTCGGACATGCGTGATGATCCGAATACATTGTGCTGATCGGAACCTACGCTCCAGGAGAGGTTCCGCAAACTCCCACTCCGTGCGAAGGAGCCTCGGGCGCTGCCCCAAATGGGCAGCTCCGTCACTTCCGACATAAACCTTTCTGGCATTGTCATGTTATGTTCGCGACGTATCTTCGTATATCTCGCTCTGCTGTTGGGATTAAATCCCACCCACTTTTCACATACTTGGGAGAATTATGGCCCCTTTCTTCATGACGATCGCATCATGTTCAGGACTAAGTTATTGTTCCTTCACTAATGCACCAAGGTTCCTTTTCAAACCTGTGCGATCTGCACGAACAGTCACGAAGCGGAACTGGTAAGCAAGGAAGTCACAAGAGAAGGATTCACGTCACTTCCTGGTCACAGATAGATCGAAACAGCAGCGCCCACTCTCTACGAAACAGCCCTAAGAACTCCGCACGACCGACCGTCTCCGTCAAGATTACGCACCAATCACCACGTTCATTACCATTTTGCAAGTCTTAGGAGACTTCATCGACTCATGCACGAGAATGCGCTCGAGGTCTATGAGTGCATAAAACCAACAGGGTGCGATTCGACTTCGTACTTGTCACTCGACTGCTCATCACCTACGCCCAGACCTAAGGACTAACACACGCTTTGTGACGCAGTCTATGAGGGATCAATCAATTGCGACGAGGAGCTCTCTACTTTCTCAAAAGAATCTCCAAGGAGTAAATGCAAGGCAGACAGCTACATTCCAGTCCCCTCACAAGGAGATACATCTTATTTATTCATGGAAAGATGCTGCCATGAACAACGTCACGCACATTGATGCCGCATACCTGACGACTTTCGGGATCACTGAACGAGGTTGCGTCGTTGGAATCCGTGCCTCGCTGCCTGGGAGTGAATCTCGCCAAAGTATTGCAAGAGCCAAACTCTTTCCAACTGTTTCAATTCAGCTGCTGCATACGATCATTTGTGTAGTCACCACCGCAAGCTGCTGCTGCTGCATGTTATTCTGGCTGCTCGCTTCGAACTGGGTAGACCAGGCCGGAAATTATACTTTCATTAAAGACTCTACATGGACTTTTAAAGGCTGGGGGAGCTGTAATTAATACGAAGTATCTACCCTTCCAAATTTTGAGCGTCTCAAGGTTCCAGTGGTGCCTCACAAAAGTGCTCTCCGCTTGGATTCAATTGATCGAGGGTCAGCACCGTCAACAACTACCGTGACCCCACCTCCCACCCGTTCCGTGGACCCTAGAAATCCTGACACACGGGCATTGTCTCACCAAAAGCACCATCGAACTTCACTAAAAATGCCTCATCCCTAAAACACTCATCTTGTAGTGTTGGGAGAAAACCCACCTTCTCTTAAAAGGCCATCAAAAATGGTGTGCAATTGCTTCCACGAGTGTGCAACCGCTGATAATTTTTTTGGTTATCAATTGAAAAAGGCGACTGAACTGGCGATCTATGATTGTGGGTCAATCGTTGCAGACTTGCTTTTGCTTTGGCAAACATGGATCAATAGCGGTGCATCATTTTTGAGTTGTTATTGCTTCTACTTCTTCGTCAGCAGCAATGTAAACACAAAATGTTTTGCCGATGCACCTGGTTTTGGCTTCTACCATACTCCACGGAATTGTGGCACCTCCGAAACTGAACAAAGGCTTTTTTCACCAAGTTTTCGAAAGGAAGCCTTACATTGTCTGACTCATCAAATCTGAGACTTATCGATGTTCGAAGTCTAGTTAAATACCTACTAAAACTCTGTTTAAGTCAACTTGCAGGATCAATTTTGCTGCTCGAGTGGGATTGTGCAGCTCCCTGTCGTTGTCATGACCATCAAGAATGACATGACTTCAAAATGTGCGTGAGTGAAGGTACCATGATATTTTTGTTGCCCACCAGGCTTTTACGTCACCCCCTGCTAATTGAGCCCTAAGCAACCTTGAATTTACCCTCACCATGATCACTAAGCTCTTTCAGAATGATGAAGAGTGCACAGGTTTTTCAAATGCTTACTGCCGACCAAAAAGAATGCTCTCCTACCTACAATCCACAATCCATCACTTGCATGGCCACCTCGCTCCACCTACACAAGTGACAAACATAAGCGCTTTGCATCTTTTCTATGCTACCTTTTATAATCATCTATTTAAGTCCTTTTCAACTTCAGGTGGATCAGATTGTATCTGTAGTCACACACAGTGATGTAGGCTTGGTGAGTTCTGTGGTGCCCTTTTAGTACCTACCACATCTTCCACGGCGGCCCGACTATTCGTACTGACCAAAACCTCTTTCATTTTCTATGAACAAGGTTATTCAATAAAAACAACCATTATTCCAGTGAAACTCTCCTACACATATTCTGTACCTCCATTTCTTTGATTTCTTCTTTTGAACTTTCTGTCATGTTTTGAACACATATATGTTTCAGTATTTTAACTTACTCTTCGAGTATTGTATCCGTTACGAGGACGGAAGAGGACAGTATCTAGCATTTTGAGGGGGGAAATTTCGGTTGGGGATGCACTGTTTGTTGCCCCTCCCGTTATTAATACGACAGCGGTGACGAGAGGAACTAACTGCCTGGCACCGCAGACTTCCTAGTCAAGCCCCCCTTCATTATCCTGAGGACCAGGTGACTAGAAGCTACACCCACCCACAAACCAAAAAGCTCAAGATGGGACGGACCCTTGCAGCTGGAAAAAATCCTTTTCTCTTTAGCCCCTTTGTTGGTTGGCAAAGCAAATGAAGTCATAAAACTTCACAGCAACTCGCCACCCACCCCAACATGACCTCTCCCTTCCACACCCACTTACAAAGAAAGAGAAAGAAAGACTGCAATTCCATGTGAATGTTGACTTTGGCGAAACCCCCCATTTGGTGATGAAGCATTCCCCGTGGATCACCGGAAACCCCGCAAGTCTCGCCACTCAACCCTCATGATTTGCAGAGTAAGAGAAAGGAGAGTTATGGCAGGAAAGAGAGTGAGGAAGAAATTTACATATATATATATATATATATATTTATATATGTCACACACACACACACAGTATTGCATTAGAAAGGGTAATAGAAAGTCACTCCCTCGGAAGGCTCACTTTGTCGCTGGGTGTATCGACACCATTCAATCACTCAACGCGCAGTAGGTGGTTTTTACGACGGTGACGGTGATACAACGTAGCCGCCCCAACCCTCATAAAAACAAAAGGAAAAACTTAGGGAGCCAAAATAATAATAATAAAAACAATAATAAAATAAGGGGAACACCGAACAACAGGGACTGGAGCCAAGTGAAAAAGAATGTCACTCATAGCCCCACATTTTGCCTGGTAGCGTTATCAACACCAGGTTAAAATCACGCCATTCCCAGGAACCCCCTTCCAGTTTTATTACTTTTTTTATGACGGAATCAAATGCGTCAATTATGTGGAGTAGCAGTAGGAGAGTAAAAGGAATCAACTCTCTCAATGCTTTTAGAACACATTTTTACAACCTCATAGTTATCAACCATATTCAATACAACTATTCATCATTACTTTAAAGAACTTTTTTTTGAAGTCATTTACTATGTTTTTATATAAGATAGTTTAAAAAAATTATCAATTTTATCTAAATTAAGGGTGTGTTTAGACTTTAAAGATTGTGTTTCAAAAGCATTATTAATGTCCTTTTCTTTGTAAAAAAAAAAGTTGTGATGCAGAAGCCTTGTCTTTCAAAGATAGTTTAAATTTATAACATGGACCAAATTATTTTTATTATGATTCTAAATTTAAAAACTTAAATTTTAATTTTAAAATTTTATAAAAAATTAAAATTATAATAGATTTTAAGAATAAATAAAATTTAAAAACTTGAATTTTAATTTTAAAAGTTATAGTCCTCTACTAATAAATAAACCTCAATTTTTTTTTTCTTTCTTTCTTGAAAGCTACTACTTTTGTAATAGTACTAAAAACACAAAGATATAAGCCAATATAATTAAAATAAAAAGAAATTTATGAAAATAAACATGTTTGCATGTTTAATAATCTATGTAAAAAGCAAATTATAATATGGTAATACGTTCAAAATTTTCTTTAAAAATTTAGCGAAAATATATCCTTCTTATCTTTAAAAATTAAAGAAAATAGCATATTGACTTTAATTTAATATTTTAATATCTATTAGATGAATATTATATTGAATCTTTATATATTAGAAACTATAATGTAAATAATTAAATGTCTTTAATTCTTATATAGTATTTTTTTATTGAAAATCTAAGAAGCCTCAACCTGTACAATTTTGAAATTAAACAAATACATCTTTTACCTAATTTTAATATCAGTTTGTGGTTCTTTATTTTTATACTTTATTAGTTTTGTATTTAAGTCTTTTGTTTGTATATAATTTAAATATTATAAATGTTTTAAGATATTAATATGATAAGGAATCAAAATCGTTTATTATATTAGTATTACATACACAAAATCGTTTGATTTTATTAAAATTTCTCTATAATACTAATATAATAAAATTTCTCTATTGTTATTAACAGTAAAACATTTTAGGGTAAATTTACAATAAATTATTCCCAAAATAAACTTAATAAGAATTTTAAAGTAAATAAAATATTTACATAAAATTTATTATGAGTTTCTTTAAATTTTTAATCAATAAAATAAACCAAAAAATACCATTGGCCATTACACACAAATATTTTACTATAAATTTATTCTAAAACTTTTCAATGTAAGTAAGAGTTTTATTATGTGTATGCAAGGGTGTGTGGCATGGAGAGGAGGAGGATGTCCACACAATAAAATAAAATAAAAAGGGTTTGGTATATAAAAATGTTTGGCATTTTTATAGGATTTGCTATAGTTAAACTAATTATATATATTGAACAACCAATTGGTTTTCTAGTCTATTCTCTTAATACTTTTCAATTTTTATCACACTTTTTAAGACCATCTTCATTTACTTTTTATATATGTTGCATAAAAATTATAGTTTAAAACATTCTTTAGTATTATATATGAAATATCAAAAATTATGTGCACCATTGATCTTTGTTTTTTATATTAAACTGTCTCAAATTGATATAGTTATAATTAATATAATATCATTTGTATTTAGTTTAATTAAAAGAACAAGATTTATTTCAAAATTTTGAAATAAAAAGTGAAAAACATTCATCTTGTTGCTGTTTATTTTTAAAACATATTTAAACGAGTTTAATTTAAAACATTGATAAAATTCTAATTTGGTGGTATTAAAAATAGTTAAACTTGTATCAAAGTATTCAATTTATTTCTTGATCAAATTTATGCAATATATTTCATTAGATTATATTTATGTTTATTTACATTATATATAAATTCTTGACAATTTTTTAAATTTAATCATTCATAGTGCCAATATTGAATAACGATGTAATTTGTCTTTACCACCATAGTTAAAAATTAAAACTACATGCTTTCTTTGATATAGACGAATTTTTAGAGAATACGGTTGGTAGATAATGTGAATAAAGAATTTTAGGTTGTTGAAGAAAATAGTCTAAATTAATAGAAAAGAAAAAAAATAGATGATTTGTTAAAAAAACTAAAATTAAAAATGTCAAATCTTGAAAAGATTCATGCAGTCAAAAAAATTTCCAACATTTAAAAAACACTATTTAATAATTATTTTAAAAAATTTAACCTTGATATTGCACCCAAAAAAATTAAAAATTAAAAATCACTCAGATTCATTTTATTTGTGTCAAAAATCAAAATTGAATGCACCTCTACAAAGTTGATATTTTTCTTATTTCAGTCAATACTCTTGTCAATGTGGCTTATGTTAAGACGATTAGTGACATTATATTATGGCAAAAATATCTTGTTAATAAAAAAAATTAATAGAAAAATACAGATCTGTGGTATAGAAAAGTTTAAAATAATAAAAATAATGGAAAAAAAATGTTAATTCCAATCTAATCACTTGACAAAAACCAACTTTTTAAATCTTGTTACTAATACTTAATTGACTAATTCACTTTAGCAATTATTCCCATTAATAAAATATTAATATTGTAATATGCATCATAATGTTGTTAACTAAGAATTTTTATAATAAGACACAAAATAAATGTCTTGATTTCTTATATTGACAAATAAACAATTAAACATGATAAGAATTGAATAACATTGTCGTCGTATTGTTCAATAAAACTAGTAATAGTCAATATATTTTTGTTTCATGACTTGTTAACAAGAGCAGCCTAATCAAATACAATTACATTCCATACAGGTTCAACAATGAATAATACCCAGTGTTGAAATGTTAAATCCATTGGATTGAACAAAAAGATGAAGACAACAAATATTCGAGCTTGCCACCAAACAATAAAGACGGGGACAAGCAGATGAGGAACTTACTGTTGGTAGTCGTCTTGACATCAAAGCACATACTCCCTCCAAAAGCTTCACCCACTCTGTAAAGGCTAACGAGACCATGATACCCAAGTGTCCATAATATCACTAGGTCATTACTGGATTAAATATTTTGTGGCCACAATTGTAGGACGCCGGCATATTGGTACAATACAGAGTTACAGCCACGACCTCCAAACATGTTTTCAGAAAACATTTCCAAGGGCTGATAATTATGCCGAGCTGGATGAAGTGATGGCAACTAGTCTACTTCGACTTAAGAATAGCGTGATTAGTCGCTGCAATATGTTTGAACAACTGCGACCTGGCACAGAACCAAAGATCATGTCACTTTTCAATCATTTCAAGCTTCGGAAATCGTCATCCCCATAATCTCAAAAACAATTTGGGTAACTAGCCTTGTAATATGCACTAAAACAACTTTGTAGCAGGGATTCGTAAAGCCTACTACAAATCAGAATTGTGACTAACCTTGATTCGAAATCTTCTCCACATGTTTGACAAGTGTGGCTATCTTGCTTTGCACCCTTCTGCAAAAGCTGAGAGACAATCAGATAAATGAAATTATTTTGAAAACCTCCCCGCGACTCCAGGGAAAAACTTCAATCTTGTATTACATATCTAACTTCATTAAGTACACCTCATACCTATAAAAATGGTTTCATTCTCAAACATGAAAAATACAAAGGGAACCCAATGTCAAAATTTACACAATATTTCAACCGTCACAATCCGATGTTGAGGGGGATAAACTTAGATATGATCCAGTTACCTTCTCTTTCTTGATCTTTTTACCCCGATGGGCCAACTTCGAGTGCTTCACCTGGGGAACTTCACTAACAGCACGAACGTTCTCGTTTGCTCCAATGGAGGGGCCCCCTGTGTCGGAAGTAGCGTCGCCATTTTGTGATACTGATTCTGGTTGTTCAAGGTCAGTTGAAGGGGTGGCGAAACGATTAGAGATAGCCGCTTGTTTTCGATCTTGTTTAGCCCTCCGCCTTGACTTACCCTTCTTTGGCTTCTCATCATCATCATCAATATCTCCATCCTCCACTACAGATTCCTCACTCCGTGATAGAACACCTGCCTTCTCTACAACATCGTTTCTTGTGTCCTCCGTTTGTCTAGCCTCAGAATCCATTTCAGAAGAAGAAGCTTTCTGCTTGTTCAGCTGGAGACTTGACATGGCAGCAAGCATATCATCCTCATCAACTTCTTCGTCATCAGGGATGCTTTCTGCTCGAGACTTCTCCATGCTGCCGAGTCTTTCGTCGGGGGATACGGTTTCTGGTGGCAATGCTGATGATGCCCAGCGGCTTCGTTGAAGTTTCAACATATATGCAAGCATTCTATCAGTGTCCTCCTCCGCATCAGAGATTTCTTCCTCACCGCTAATCGGTTCTTTGAGTGGAACATCCTCTTCCTTCAGCTCATTATGTGAATCTTGTAGAATATCATCGATACTATCATCACTCTGGTTGTCCTTGCTGATTAATGAAGGGTTACCATCTATTTCATTAACTGTCGGGGGCATACGGAGTGGCTCCGCATCACTCACTACCTCGGGGCCTTCCTCATAACTGCTGATTCCCATGTTTGGATCCTTCCCCTCCAGACCACTTTGAGCATCAGAACCAGCAGCTGGCTCCTGCACTTCATCGCTGCCCACGTCTGCTTTGCCTTTCTTAAGTCTCTTCGTACTTGAAATATCAATTCCTAATTGCTTCCCTAACCTTTCTACTTGCTCGTCATCATTGCGAAATGCTCCCTTCAGTGCTGCTAGGTTCTCTAAATGTTTCTTAGACCGTTCATGGTTTTGCAATTGCTTAACAGACTTAAACCGCTTACTGCAGATCATACACTCCAATTCCTCAGTAGTTTTCTCTAATTTGGCAGTACCATCATAGTCACTGTCTTCGTCACTGTCCCACTCCTCTTCCTCCTGATCAGATGGTACTGTCCACGCTTGCTCCTTGTAGAGCCGGATCTGCTCTTGCTTCTCTTTCTCAAGGGCTAGTTGACGGGCCTTGCGTTCCTGTTCCTTCTGTTTCTGTATCATTTGCAGCTCCAATTGCTTCTCGATCACTCGTTTGTCACGTTTCTTCACGAATGACGCCAACTGCCTGACGGAATTATTGAACTCTTTACGCTCCCGCTTCCTAACCTTATTATTTTCCTCATCCATGAGTCTTCGAACTTTTCTATTCGGCGCTTGCAACACGTCATACTTGTCACACCATGCAAAATCCTTGACAGTAGAAAACCCTTGCCAGTATCGGTAAAAAGAATATACATTTTGGTAAGGTGTATCCTTCCCTCCAAGCTCAGGTGCGGCACTTACGTCGCCATTACCATACATCCGACCGAACACTTGCTCCTGCATGTGCACCTTCTTGAACACTTCACTGTACACGGAGTAAAAACCGTTTCCGGTTTCACCAAAACCTGAGAAAGCAGACGGGGAGAAGTATGGCCACAAGTTCAGATCGAATTCACCAGGAGCCGCATTGGCAGAGTTCGACGATGAAGATGCATTGAGGATCCTCTCTCGATGCGAATCATACCAAGTCCTTTCTACAGGATCAGAAAGAACCTCATAGGCCCGATTGATCATTTGAAACCGCTCCGTAGCTTTCTGGTAATCGTCAGGACTTGCACCTGCCCCGCTCTGCTGAATTTTATCCGGATGCCACTTCATCGCCATCTTCCGATAGGCAATTTTCAATTTATCCGGATCCACGGTCCGCTCTACTCCCAAAGTGTCATATAGACATTCTGTGAGCCCTTCCACCGGAGGCGCCATTTGAAAACCAAATTCAACTTCTTCACTACCTGGAAAACGGCGCTAGCGATTAACCCTAACTTTTCTACCTCCCTACTCCAAATTCCTTCGCGGCTTCTCCTCACTTAATCACGATCAGTCTCCCAGCTATCTTCACATCAAAATTGAGTAAATGACTGCAGACAACAGACGACCCTCTAAATTTTTTAATAAAAAATTCACATCATACACAGACAATACAAGGCAACAGCATCTCCAACAACCGAAGCCAGTCCTACTGCGAACCTAAAAAACGACAGAAAAAACCTCCAACAATCAATTGTGCAACCCAGCACTGCTGGAGGACACAAACTTCAACCTCCGATCCGCTGTAGTCCTCGGAGGATTGCCAAGCGGTGGAATGCAAACACTCATCAGTAAACCCTAATCAGTTGACAGTGAATGGGTCCGTGAACATCAAGAGCGGTGACGCGGACGCAAGCCATCACCGGAAAAACGCCATTCCTCGTTCCTGTTGGGATGAACGGGAAACGCGCGTCAGCGGGCGGCAGACGTTAAACTTTCCTTGAGAATGAAGCAACAACAAGGGCTGCCGGGAGATTCAAATTCCAGCCGTGCTTCGGTGGTAATGGCGGTGGGCCCGGCCTCCAACTGACAAGATTCGAAGAAATTCCCACTGGGTTGTCTTTGAAATTCAAGTACCGGGAAGCACTCTGGTGAATTTCTCAGTCTCCAACCTGGATCGGAGGCGACATGCGTTGAAATTGGGTTTTTGAAGAACTCCTCTCCAGTATTGAATTTTAGATGGTCGAATTGCTGTGTGAATCTTCGTTGGCATCTCACATTTAGACATTCATTTTGTGAAGCTCCTTCTTGTGTTAACTGTCTTTGCATGAGTCTCTTTGAGGATTCCTGGTTTGGGAGGAGTGTGACGCAGGATTTTGTTGGTTGGGCAGTGAGGTTTTAGTTTCAATCTCAAGGGCTTTGTATTCTTGGCTGCCTGAGTATTTGTGATGAAGAATTGTTTGGAAGAGTAGTACTTTGTGGTGACAAGCGAGAGATCAGTATGCCTCTACATTCGATCAGCAAGGGTGACCTCGACAAGGTTTGGGAGATAAGAACACTGAAGAAGGAGAAGGATGATGTTGCTCGGAGATTGCTTGAGATGGCGGCGAAACAAGTGCAACCTATTATGCGGAAACGCAAGTGGCAGGTCAAGCTTCTGTCTGAATTCTGGTGAGTGTTCACCCGTGCGCTGTTTGTTTGCTTCGTAGTTGTCGCGATGCATTTGGGGAAAGTTTCAGAGTACTGAATCAATTTTTGTGATGACCTTGCAAGATTAAAAGCGTCAACGAAATTAGGGCTGAAACCTCAGCTTTTCGAATTAGGCTTTTTTGTTTCTGAGGAAGTAAGGTGTTGCTGCTTCGATAGTGATATTGTGTCCGTGTGTTGTTGAGATGAATTTGCAGTCCTAGAAATCCAGGGCTACTAGGATTGAACATAGATCAAGGCCGGGAAGTAAGAGTTAGGCTACGGCCCTACGGTCGGGAGAATGAATTTTTTCCCTACGAGAGCGTGCTGGGAACCTTACTTCACGAACTTGTGCATAACGATTGCGGACCTCACGACGCCAAGTTTTATGGACTGCTGGATGTGATTACGAAGGTAATTCTCACTCTTCTCCTGCAACCCGCAGATCCTTTATCAATTCAAAAGAATTATGAGCCTTGCTTTTTGTCTTGCTTGCCACTCGTTGGTTACCCACTGACTTCATTTGGTGTGTGTAGGAATGTGAAGAGCTCATGGCAAAGGGCATTTCAGGAACAGGCCAAGGTTTTGATGCAAGAGGCCAACGACTCGGTGGCTACACTCTCAATCCTCCCCCGACCAACATGCGCGCAGTAGCGCTTGCAGCTGCTGAAAAACGCGCCAAGGCAGCATCTTTCATGCCTAGCGGTCCACAACGCTTAGGCGGAGATAGTGAAATCATGAGGGCTTTGAGTCCTTTGCAGGCTGCTGCCATGGCGGCTGAAAGAAGACTGCGAGATGACGTTTGGTGTGCAGCTCCTACTACGACCGGGGGTGATGGGCTCGAAAAAGCCAAGGAAAGGGAAGATTCAACTTGTGCACATCCTTTAGGTCATACCCCAACTGACACAGAGCCCAGCAAAGTTTCTGTAGTGGATCTGACCCTCTCCGACTCGGGAGATTCAAGTAGGGAAGGTGAATACATCTCGGGCGTTTATTTTCTCACACGGTACACTTATATATACATCCATTAGATTAAGCCACTAGAGTTATTATGAACATTGAAGGAGACTTGGTTGTTGATTTCAGGTGGACGGATAAGCACAGGAGATTTTGGTGGTACTACAAAGCGGAGTAGCAGTAGTGCGGTTTCTGTGGATCCTGTTCGAGAGGCTTCCATTGTCAGAGCGCAGAAAAAAGGGCGCAGCAATAATCTGAGCACTTCAGACAGACTGATTGTCGAGAGGGATACCATTTCTGGAGTTAGTGAGTGGCCTTGCAGTGTGTGCACTTTGTACAATACGGTGAGCGAACGTTCCCTTAATCGTCGGCAATTTTTATTTTTTTTCCATCTATGTTGTATTCTGTTGTGTTCTCGGTTGCCTGCAGGGATTTGTGACCACATTGAATCTTCATTCTTATGCATGTAGTGATGTTCTCCTCAATGGAGATGGATATTGCGAAGAGTCACTTTACATGAATTGCCTGTGTGTAACATCAAACTATTATTGAATGGGCAACGTCATTGTTTATGCCTCTGCTTTATTGCATGATTTTGTTCCACAACCAGCAATCCTTACATGACCCTGTTTTCATTACTGCAGTCACTGGCACTTGCTTGTGCGGCGTGTGGGAACAGGAAAGAACAGCCTACATCAACCAAAGAATGGAGTTGTAAATTTTGTACTCTTGCGAATTCGGATTTGTTGGATACTTGTGAAGCTTGTGGTCAATGGAGATATTCATATGGAGCACCTTCTGCTACGCGCGCTCCTAATGTGGGTACTTAAGGAAGAAAGTTTTCAGATTTTGCGCTATTCGCATTTATTACTGATTTTTGTTGCCACTAAGAGCAAGCAAGAAGTCTATAGAAATTAAGCAGTTCCATTATGTCAATCCTCTCGAAACAATATGTCCAATTTGTATCTAGAAACTGTCATTTGAGCTTGCATAAGCATATCCTTCACAAATTTAACAAAGTATATTTTTAAAGAAAAAACATAAAATATGATGGTAGAGCTGGCTTTTAATGTGCACTAAGTTCTGTATTTTTAAAAAGAATCACATAATGGAAACTGGACAGTCTCAATTTAAATTTTTAAAATATCTTGTATGAGAGTTGGTATTTTCATGATAAGTAAAAATAATCATAACGATTAGTGCATTGTAACAACAAAAGAATTAATGGTAGAATTAATACTAGGCCACTTAAGAACCAAGAATTAGTTTTTTTTTAAATTAACAAATAAATTTTAAGAATTTTGAAAACAAACAATTTTGAAATATATATATATATATATATAAAACCAAAAAAACCAAAAAAAAACCAAAGAAAAAAAAATTTTATCTTATGCTATAATTCTTATAAGCTATGACAACTGAGATGTAAGTTTTTTAATAAATATTTTTAATAAAATTATAAAGAACATTTAATAGATAAATTTATGATCAACCATGGAAAACTGATTTTTTTAATTTTATTTTATGCATTAAAGAATGGTGTACCATATCTCAAAAGTTTTTTCATTTTTTTTTTTTTTTTTTTTTTTTTTTTCATTTTGCCAGCATTCGTTGCAGGAAATTCATGACACATTTTATTGGAGAGACCTTATTTCTACATCTACTTCTCAAGAGTGCCCTACACTCAAGGTTACTGCACCAAGTAATCAAAAAAGAAAACACAAAACAAAACAAAACAGAAAAAAATTCCCAGAGCCACAAGATGAATTAGTAAGCGTCTTCAGTGGCTTCTCCACGAGCCAGTGCTCCATGTGGGTACCACCACATCCTTCACTTTTTAGTCAGAACTTCATGTGCCGAACTAGCACATCGGCAACTGGTAATCTTCCTTGATTACTGCAGTTCAATAGTTGGAATGACGGAGTGGAAACTGATACTGAACTGCACAGTCTGTGTCGAAGCATCACAACGACCCACCTCAAGAAAACCTGAATTTCAAGGCCATTAGGATCTCCTATATATTGTCCATTCCCATAGCAAGCTCAGATGCTTGTTGAATGATGGAGACGAAGTAGAAGACGAAGAAGAATAGAGAAAAAGACTTGAAAGAGGTTCTCGAAATGCGTTTGAATAACAGTATGCAAACATTTTTCATGCGTGAACTTTAGTGAACAATGGAGAGGTGGGTGCGGTGCAATTGTGAGTAGACATGTTCAGAAATTGCAGTGGAATAATGCTCTGACTGATATGACTGATTTATGACTGATATGTTTTTTTATTTCGATGTCAGAATTAATCTGGTGTTGCTACTGTAGCCATTTCAGAATTATATAGTCTGTTTGTGATCTCGATGTGCTCTTCTTCAATATATAGTACTATGTGATTTCTAACATATTTTGATGTGTAAAGTGGCTATTGAGTGGGTCTCTTGTGCTGGAAGCTTTGATGAAGAAGATTTTGCACGTTTCCTACAGTTTGCACATTTTGCACATCTCTATGAAGAAAATAAATTCAAAATTAAAAAGATTCTGAGAAAAATAAATAAATAAATAAATTGTAAAAACATTTCTGAATAGAATATAGTAGTAAGATTGTGATAGAAGTAAATATATATATATGTATATATATATATATATATGATATTTCATCTAATTAAAAAAAGACATTGTTTTGTATATGATATTAAATGATTCAAGGGAACCTTCTGTGAGTAATTTTTTCTTCTCTTATCATTTTTAAACATTGAGATTTTTTCTATTTTAATTTTAATTATTTTTGAATTTTTAATTTAATTTCTTCATAGAAATGTGAAAAATGTGCAAACTATGCAAAATAGACAAGAGTGACGAAGGCATTCTTGCCTCAATATATTCTATCTATTAAAAAATTGCATATCAATGTCCTATAAGCTATATGACACATGTCTAATTTGTAGGGCAAGTTTTTGGTATGTGCACCACATGACCAATTTGTAATAGAAGTGGTTGAATATACAACAAGTTATCAACTTGTTGGTCAACTTTTCAACCTATCAATCACTTATAAACAAGTATAAAGTCTACAAAGCATCTAGCGAGCTTCCCAATAAAATATCAATAATTTAATCTATTTCTATTCATTTCTACCTGATTCTACATATCTAAGTAAATAAAACAATAAATATGACTATCTATTAAGACATATTAAATTATATGAAAAGTTGTATTAGAATTTAAACATTATATTTTTAAACTTTTAATAGTGATATTTAGATCATTTGTATTGCAGAAATTAATTTTTTGATCAAATTTTTATATTATATCAATCTAAAAATAAAATAAAAAAATTATCTTCAAAATTTTCTTAAATATCAATTTTGAATTTTTCTACACCATCAATGATAAAATATGGAGGTTGAAATAACCTAGTCTCACATCTCTTTCATCAAAAAAATATTTTGTGAAAAAATCCTTGATATCTATTACTATGCTTAATACTTTAAAAATAAATTTATTATATGATAAATCTAAGTAAATAAGCTTAAGTTAGCTACAACTTAAAATATATAAAATCTAGTAGCATTTTTTTGTAGATTTAAGATGTCACATTTTGGATAAATAATTTACAAAAATACTCATAAATCTTTTAAATTGTCACATTTTATTAAAAAAAAACATAAATTCTAATATTGAATTAATTTTCTTAATATTATTTTACTTATTAAAAAACTCTCAGATGACTTAAATAAAAATATATATTCATCTTATTAATTTAAGTGACTAGGCTTGGGGATTTAAAATTGGATAAAAAATATGATAAAAAGAAAATATAATAATGTAATATCTCTTATTAATTTACATTCTTCAACTTATTTTCTTGTCAAAATATTTTTGATGAAATGAAATTAATATAGTTTAAAAAGTGCCTCAAAAATCTTATTTTTTAATCTTTAAAACAAATAATCACATCCTCTTTGCTCAAATAAAATTTTTAATAAATAAACTAGTTTTAAAAAGTAATTTTGTATTTTTTTCATCTTTTACCAATACTTGCCAATAATACAAAGCTTTTTTATATGTTCTTTTACATTCATTTTATTTTCTTCAAAAAATAATAGAATATCACTAGAAAATATATCTAGCCACATCAATTCAAGCCACATCTTTTTTTATTCTTAGGTATTTTAGAAGAATATATATATTGAGTAAACCAAATAAATTATCCAAAATCTTTTAGTAAAAATTTAGAGGATCTACTTGTTTATTAATAATCTAATGTTTTACTAGTTATATAATAGCACAAAATACTAAAATATATAGTGCTCTAAGTTGTGGTATTGAAATTTTATATATAATTTAATTAAGCTTTAAGAGTAAAAAAAATGTATATTTGGAAATTTTATGTTTCTTTAATTCTTAAATTCTCAAATTTTATATTTTAGTCTCTTAATTAAACAAGATATTAAACTTTGAAGTTATGCTTTGAATTTAATTATGAAGCTTAAATAATTAAAATAGATTATTTAATTTTCAAACATTATAAGATTTAAAAATAAAACAAAAAAAAATAAAACAAAACAAAACAAAACAAATAAATAAATAAATAAATAAATAAATAACTTTATAAAAAATATTGTTAAGAAGAACCAAACATCAAATTATTATATAGGTATGCGTGTATGTAGAAACCATGTTTTCTTATAATTTTATAAATTTTAGCACAATTTATAGATTTAAAGAATTTGAAGGGAGTCGTTTTTTTGGAATTATGCACAGAATGCTTGATTTTGGTAATGTATTCAAAATTTTAAATTTGAATAAAAAAGATAAGTTGAATTAAAAAAAAAATTGCTAGGATCTGATTTATGTTAAATTGGTGGCTCTAATGAAAGTAAATCAAAAGAAGAAAACTTAACATTACAACACATAAACTTTATTAATCTTGTTGTATTAGGAATAATTTCTTAGTAATTTAAATATAGATTAAAACTTCTTATATTGTCTACTTGCAATAAATAAAATATATTATTATTTGAACATAGAAATAATTATTTTAGGTAGAAAAAATCTAAAGCACTCTAGATAGCATATTTGCATAATGAAGAGATATAAAAAAATAAATAGAAAATAAATAAAAAAAAGAAAAATAAAGGTTGATAGTTTATAGCTGATTTCTTAGGGCTTGGCAATAATATGAAAAGGATGGAAGTTAACAAGGCATCTTCTTTAATATTTAGTAAGAATCAAAAAAATTTAATGATCCAATTGGAATATAAATGATATAATATAAAAAAAAATCATTGGACATTTTGTTTACTTCTTAAGCTTTGAGCACTAATTTTTTTATTCAAGGTTTTGTGTCTTATTTTATAAAAAAAACTAAATTAAAGCCCAAAAAAAGATTATGAATGTTTTTTTATAATTTATTTATTTATGTGATTTTTAAGTACATTTTGATTTAGGCATCGTAGATAAGTGTTAATAAATCTCAATTTTGCAAGGTTATCATCACATGTTTAAGCATGATTAAGTATAGATAAAATGATGATTTCATAGATATATATATATATATATATATATATAGATATTATTTTTTCTTTTCTTTAAATTCATAAAATGATTAAGGCATCTATTAAACTTTATATTTCCTCAAAAGATTGAAGATTGTAATATTGATTGTACATACTATATTTCAAATCTCATGTGATATATGCCTAATTTTTTGTTCTATTTCAACATTTATAGTAATTTGGTTAGTAATCTAACTTAATAAACCAAGATCAATAATTACATATCTCCTTTTGTTGGTGTTATTGTCACAAAAGATATTAGATATTAAAATTGTGTTCCACTTACAATCTTTTGATTTTGTGAATTCATTATTATAAAAAATTTAGTGTAGATCTTAATCTTTGATCTTGATGTATATTTAGATTACATTATGATTTCTTGGATTATATATATATATATATATATATATATATATATATATTATAGATTTTGAATTATATCAAGACATGAGCTATAACTTTCATCTCTATTCTAATTATATAATTATTTTTGTTTTATAAAAAATTGTTCCATAATTTCAAGGATATTAACTAATTTTTTTTAGATTTATTCAATGTTAGAGACTTTATAATTTCAAGTTTTTTTATTAAAATAAAAAACACCTATATAAAAAAATTATGAATAAAAAATATGAAAATTATATTACTAGTATATAATATTTATATTTATATTTTAATTAAACTAAAATTTAAATAAAATTAATATATTAAGTATATATTAGATGTTTTATAACATTTTTATGCAAAAATATATAAATATATTTTTATTTTTTGGCAATGTTAAACCTTAGTATTATTTGGCTTCAATACAATGTCTTTAAAAATTATGCTATTCAATACCTTTACTATTATTATCTTAAATTTAATAATTTTTAGTTTCTAATAAATATACTCTACAAATTATCTCATTTCTTTTATAATTCAAAAACTACATTATATATATTTTGTCTTAATAAATATCATACATCATAAAATTTATAAATCTATTCAATATCTAATAAAGTATAATTTTTTTTGTATAAATATACACAAACACACACATATATATATATATATATATATATATATAAGTGAAAATATATATATATATATATATATATATATAATTGTGAAAAATTTATGTCGATTTTTAAAACATGCACAGAAAGTAACAAGAATTGTTAAGTTATATATTTTATTCTCTCTACAATAGTGTTAGGTTAAGAGAAATCCCTTGGTACAAGAAAAAGTTTTTTTCTTAACCAAACACCACACCATTCTCCACGTCTTTGGACGTTTATTATCAATAAAGTACAATGGCACTGCCTGTATCAAGCTCAAATTCACAATTTTATTTTTCTTTTGTACAATGGCAGCATTTACTATGACACAACTCCTGATATTTGCTCAAGTATCGTCTTGCAATCTTTCCAATCGTTAGTTTTGGCTTCTCAATACAAGCCTGGTCTACTAGCAGTTGGGGACAATGACATTTGCACATAGGAGCAAAAAGTTGTTGTTAATGAGACGAGTTAGGCATTGTGTTGGCTGAGGTGGTACTTGCTAGTAAGGGAGCATTGACCCTAACCAGACTTTTCTCTAGTTCATGGACAAGCACAAAAGAAAACGGGACAGTGCTCTTATCCATTTTTTTCTCGTAAGCGTTTTTCTCCTAACTAGACACCACTGTTTACTGTTTCGTTGAAAGAGAATATTGTGTGGAAAGGACAAATATGAAATGAATGCAATGTCGAAATAAATTGAATATCAAACTGGAAATGTATTATTTACACGCACTGTTTTGTATTGAGCAATAATTCCAAGACTCATTCATTACTATCGAAAACCCAACTTTAAAAGAACCAGTAATGGTTTCATCCATTCCCTGTGCCGTGAAGCTTATCCATTAAAGATTCCGAAGAGAGAAAAAGAATCTACCGAAAGATGATAAAGCTCGGCAGCGTCATGTTGGAGAATGGGGCTTCATATGGCGTGGGAAATAACTCATAGTGCAAATATATAATCTCTACAGTGCAAAGCCCGACCAACACAAGCTGAAACATGCCGCATGGGTTCTGAAAAAAATACTGAATGAGGCAATCTCCGTATCAATCCTTTTTTGCAGTCACCCAGAACCCAGCGACTGACGCAGTCGAATGCAGAAAGTGCCGATGATGCTCTAGCTTAAAATATCTTACTATTTGTGAGGAACAATGCCATCGGTCAGCTGCGACGACCGGCCACATCGACGGCACCCGATCCGGCTAGTGGATTTCGGAAATCGAAGTGACTCTGAGAACGGCATGTGCAGACGGATGAGACCTCGTGAGCAGACGATGAAAGCAAATCCACGGCCGTAGATTCTGGTTTTGAGCACACTCCAGGAACGTGGTTAATAGAGTGAGTGAGTGGGGAGATAGATGCGCTGGCGTCTTGGGGTTTGGCATGATGGTTAATCTGTTGAGGTTTTTGGGGGGCAGCTTTGGAAGAGTCTGGGAACCTGGCCGGAGTGTAGCGTTGATGAAAGTTTAATCGCATCAACCAAAAGTCTATGCATTTGTTGTTGTAAGGTTTTGCAGAGTTTTTTTATTTTTTATTTTTTTATTTTTTTTCTTCTGGATGAAGGGCAATGGCTACAGTTGGGTCACGTGGAAAGCAAGTGTGTGGGAGCTTGGGTGGACGTTCTGGCAGGCAAGAATATGATGGGATGAAGAGACACCGTCTGCGTCATTATCAGATGCCATCTTTTGTTCTCGCCAGTTCACCGCTTGTTTCATCCTTTTTGCAAGTGGGGATGATGTCGTAGGTCTTGCTTCAACCATGTTCTAAACAAGGGGTTAGTGCTTCTCATCCAGCTGCGCCTTGTATCCCACAGCGTGCAACGAGAAATTGGTAGTAAGTTTGGTAGTACTCGGAAAACTCCGCTCCGATCAATATGGATCGCACTTTAGTTCTGACTTGCACTACGACTTGCAGCCACTCCGCATTCCGCCAGTCTGCATTGCCTAGCAACACCAGCATATCTGTGAGGTTAGGAACATGTAGCGTTCGCACACAGAAGCGCCGTACGGTTGTAGCCAGTCTTGGGAACATTGAGACGACATCGACATCGACCGTGGGGCAAGAGAGCAATCTGCCCCTCCGTGAAATCCCCGGTAGGTGACCAATCTCACTCCTCGAAGACGGCAAAGTTTTCGATCACGCTGGTTTTGGAGGGGTGAGAGCTCATTCACGACGTAAGATATAAATTGGGAGAGAGTGAACCTGGTTGTGTGTGTGCAGGAAGCTACGGAATCCCTTATTTGTCGCAATTGCTCGACAGATGGACCTTTTTTTACAGGGAAGGCGAACCGCAGTTCTGGCAATCACGAATGGCGAAGTATGGGAGCACCGTGATTCGATCCAACATGCCGCCTGGTTGGTTTTGGACCGACTCCCGCTGCATTATGCTTCTTGACCAGAAGAGCTACCCCACCGTCTTTGATTACGATAAGGTACAACCCCGTAACCTAATGTGTCAATCCCTCAATGCACCCGACACCTGCACGAAGATGACCAGTGAGATGTTCGTTTCATTTCGAGCGTGGAGCTAATCTTGCAAAGTCTTTCACGGCAGGTGGATAAGTACAAAGCCTTTGCTGGGACCATCATGCCAAGCACCGAATACAATGGCGGGTATGAGGTGTGTGCGTACCTCGACGCTTCTGACAAGAAGCATGAGCAGCTCAAAGGCTATTGCTTCGAGCTTCTCAAATTTTCCTCGTCGAAATGGGCACGGGAGTTTCACACGGCCATCTCAGAGACATTCAATCAGTGGGAAGGCAAACTTGCACAAAAGACGCCTGCATTAATTAACCCGACGCTTCCTGAATCGCTCTTTAGTTTTGTGATCAATGCACTGACTACCGCTAGATTCGACGACAGTAGCATACCCGATGCAGAGAAGCCAGTCTGCGGGGATTTGCAAAAATGGGCGGGATTCCAGCTGATGCCCGTAATCAGAACCGGGGCACCTATCTACATTGAAGAGATGCTCCACGTTGCTCCCATCCCTGCAAGCCTAACTAAAGGGGGCTATGACAAAATGGTGGTGTTTCTTCAAAAGTATGCGGCTGAAACGCTATCCATCGCAGAGAAGTTTGGGTTGTCTCAGGACGAGGCGGTTCACAACTTGATCTTCTTCCTAATCTTGAACGCTCATGGCGGATTCTGCCGGTTCCTTCCAGTGATCCTTCGGGAAGTAGCCAAGAATGGTAAGCTCTATCTCTCTCACTCGCTCTTTCCCCAACCCATGTAAGACCAGTCTTCTCACTTTTATACCACTCTCACCTCTGAAGACACAACCTCAACAACAGTTCCTTAGTTTCTGACGAGACATTCACACAACGCTTGGTGACCCCGCAGGCCAACTGCAAGCTGATTTGCGAGAGGAAGTGCGGGCCGCAGTGAAAGCCAGCGGATCGGACCAAGTGACCATGAAGGCCGTGATGAATGACATGCCTCTGGTGGCATCGACAGTATTCGAGGCGCTCCGCTTCGACCCCCCGGTGCCATTTCAGTACGCCAGAGCGAAGAAGGACTTCATCATCGAATCCCACGACGCGAGATACCAAATAAAAACCGGCGACTTCCTCGGCGGCGTGAACTACATGGTCTCCCGCGACCCGAAGGTGTTCACCGACAGGCCCAACGAGTTCAACGCGCGGCGGTTCATGGGACCGGAGGGGGACAAGCTGCTTGCACATTTGGTGTGGTCGAACGGCCGGCAAACTGATGAAACCACGGTGTACACAAAGCAGTGTGCGGGGAAGGAGATTGTGCCGCTCACAGGGCGCCTTCTTCTGGCGGAGCTTTTCATGCGCTTCGATTCCTTCAACATCGAAGGCCTCGAAATGGAGGCAACCTTCACTTCACTGACGCCGCGATCAGATTGAAGCTATAGCTTGTAAAACACCCACCCCACGTTGTGAGATTATTAGTACCACGTACATCAGTAGTTCACGAGACTCATATTCTGATCCATCATCGCCTGGATGTCGAAACTGACTATATGTAGTATACTCGACTTTGTATGCCAAAAACACATTTTCAATTTGTCTAATCGGCCCTGTTTCCACTTCATCAAGCTGTCTGCAGTATATATATGTATTACAAAAGAGCAAACAAAGACCTGAAATAATGAAGGAAAATGCTTTCTTCTCAGTTATATGCATTTTGAAGATCCGAATGTGGTGAGAGTCCATTTTCTGAGTCGAAATTGTCTCCTGAGTGTGAGAACAGTGTTAAGTTTTTCGGTTAAACGAGGCGTTCTCTTTTGCAGATTGTGGTCATGTATCGATTTGCTGTTGCAAACATCTAAAATTAGGGTTTTGTTCAGATTGTTAAACGTCCCAGATGAATGTGTGGAGGGATTAATCGAACACTTGTAAGAACGACATTTAGGAAGTGTTAAGAATTGAGTAGTATGTAAGTTAGGACAATGTAGTTTACTTAACAGTAAAAATTATAGCCAGAGTTGAATTCAATAAGAGGAACTTCATTAAAATAAGTGTTTTGCAAACAATTGTAATGCATATGTTTACATAAATATTTGAAGAAAAATACAATTTGTTCTCCTTGGAATTGGTTATATGGATCACTATCTTACATAAAACCAAATCATATAATACACTTTTTACAATTATAAACCATACATTGTTTAGTGGTTTTTTTGGTAATAGAGGTTTTTTAAACATGTTTTCTCCTTGAAATACACAATAATTAACAAGAAATCAACACCTTGGACAATTCAAAATTTTATCACTTCTTTGTAGACTCTATTATTTTCTTACAATTATAAAAAATCACTACACACCATTCATTTGTTTTTCTTACAAACATAAAAAATAAAAATAAAAATAAAATGTAAGTAACTTTGACAACCAATAGAACCAATTCAATTATTTCTTTTTATCAAATTAGTCTAATTTGTCAAAATAATTGAAGATAAAATGTAAAAATTAGAAAAGTGTACATTTTAAACAATAAATATAGTTGATATCATACTTTATAATTTTATTAATATTATGTATAAAATAAATTTATCTAGTATCTAATATTAAATTGTATATAATAGATAATACATATTTTATAATGCAATATAGAACATTTGGTAGTTGCAACTAATATCATGTTTGAAAGCTTCTAGAGAAGCAAATATGCAAAGTATTTTGTGTCCAAATTGTATAAAGCCAATGATTCAATTACAACCAATAGTATAAGATAATTTAGCCCCTGCATCTTATTAACAATGTAAACTTAAAATTAAACAAATCACATGCAAACCAATAAAGTGAGAGACGACATCTAATAAATTTGTATTAGAAAAAATATAGTAGTTGTTCATTCCATTCTAAAATTTGATCAAGTCCAAAAATTAGATTATTTTAAATAGAATAATTTAGCATTTTGATCTTTGTTATAATTTAGAAGTATAATAGCCAACTATATGTAATTTAATGCAATAAGGCACAAAGCTTTGTAAGTTTGTATATTAAAGGGCATTTTGTAGATTGATTCTCATTCTTGAGTTTGAATAAATCTAAAATTCTCTACCTTCACTACCACAAAAAAAAAAAAAAAAAAAAAAAAAAAAAAAATCTCATCCAAATAATTATATATAAATTAGAAGCTATTATTATATTTTTACTATTAACATAATGGATATTTCATGGAATAAAATAAATTTTACTTAAAGATTTAATTCTACTCAATTCTACTTATTTAAATAAAAATTATCTATTTATATAAATCTAAAATTTAAAACTTTAATTCTATATATATATTAAAAAATCTTGATTTAAGTCCTTTCATAAACATTAGTTTTCCTAATAATAATAACAATAATAACTCTTGGTTAGGATTAGAAAATAAATATACACAACAATTTATGTCTATATTTGAATTTGGTTTTATAACCTCTAATACCACAATAGTTTCATTTGCTTTTATAGCATGATTTGTTAATTGTATTGTCAAACAATTAATTAAAAACACCCATTTACAAGTTAAAATCCTTCTTTTTCTTTTCAATAATTATATTAATGAGTAAGATATATAACTACAAGTTTATCAATTAGTTCTTAAAGTATTGAGCAATGTCATTCAATTTATTGATGTCTAAATATTAAAATAAAATATTCTTACTGCATTTTATTTTAGTAACTACAACAAAAACAATTCTATACTTAATAAATAAACAAATAATCCATAATAAATATTTTAATGTTAAATTGGCTTCTAATACTTTAAGACTAATCTTAGATTAGTTATTATTTATTTACTCAATAATGGATTGAGCTACTCCTTATTCTCTCAATACTTATTTATTTATTGCAAAAAATTGCCATATTTTTGTATGAATTTTAATAATATTGAGTGAACACATATTTTTTATATGCTTTGGCTCATATCTTAGAGGAATCTATGGATAGAAACTAGAAAAAATATCATATATATTCCTTGGATATGCTAAAATATCAAGAGTATCCTTACATTCTTGATTATAGCCAATGTATCCTTGAATATAATAAGGTACTATCAATCTAACAAAGATTCAACAATTTTCATGGATTCTATTATTTTAATTTTGTCTTCATATAGTGCAAGATAAGGAATGTGAATTTTTTTTTAAGGATGAGAGTTTATTTTATAGTAATTAGTAGGGGCTCAACTCTACAAAGATGAAAATGTTTCAAGTTCACAAAGCATCCCTTCTTCACAAAGCAATGTTGTCTTGCAACAAAGATCAACTTAAAAAAAAACTCTCAAAGTTGTTATGGTTGTAAGAAATATATAAGTATGTACACAAAAGAAAGAGGTGATAACATTGATTGGTCTTATAGTAAAAAAATCATTTGCATAGCTTAGACAAATGCCTACAACTATCATACTTAACAATAATCTTTCTGTTTCTGACCTCCAAGAGCAAAATGACCATGGAATTAGGATCTATTTCTAAATCTACAAGCATGGTAGCAAGACTTTCTTGAATCTAATAAGATTAATGTATATGCTTCCATAATTAAAATTCTTTCAAGGCATTGACATGAACAACTTATTAACAAAACATCCTTTGATACAATAGTCATCCTTATTAAATTTAAATACTAATATGTTGTTACTTATAATTAACAAAGATATACAAAATAGTAATGGAGGAGAATATTATGTGGAGACAAGAATGCCTCAAGAGCCATGAATAAATGACTTTATTTATGATAAACTCACTTCCTTGGTACTAAAACCTACAAAATAAGTTTTAAGTATTTACATCTATTTAGCAATACATCTACTTAACACTTTTAAATAATAATAAGAATAAAAAATACCTAAGGTGTAGATTCTTCCCATTCTTAACAAAATAGAGCTCTAGCATGCATATATATACATACCTTGAAACTTAGAATAAAAACTTGTAACAAAGATTTTGAAAATTGGTGCCTTTGTTTAGGTAGCATTGACGAATGGACTACAAATTTGTCTAATTATTAAAAGGCAAACATTCATCATTTGCAACACATCTAAAATTTGGAGAACATGCAATTTGAAGGATGTGAGCACCATAGCTTGAAAAAGCATAGCATGAGCCAAACATTAGAATACTTTTTTAAATGCCAAGAATTTGCAAGACAAAATTTGCAAGACAAAATGTTGAAAAGATGAACCAAGATCTAACTAGAGATGACATTATAAAGGCATGCGGTTTGAACTCCATATAAAGACAAAAAAAAGTAATAGAATCCATGAGAATTGTTGCACATTTGTCAGATTGGTGATACCTTATCATATTTGAGGGTATATTTGCTCTTATCATGAATGCAAGGATATTTTTTTATATGTCAGCATACTTCAAGGATATATATGATATTTTTTCTAAAAACTATTAACTATAGATGTATGATAACAACAAAGGAATTTAAAGTGAAATTTTAAAATATATAAAATTTAGGTATCTGATTTTTAAAAGAAATAATCTAAATTATATTTATACTTTAAATTTTTTCTAAGAAGAAGTTATATTTATTATAGAGTAGTTAAGAATTATTTGTATATGTGATCAAATTAGTGTTTGGTAATACTTGCTTTCAAATTTGACCTCTACACATAATGTTTTTTTCTTAAAAGTGACTTAAATTGGATGTGAATTTGGAAAAAGAATTGGATATGAATGTAGCATAGATTTTATGGAAAACTTCATCTGATGTTTATTTATTTAATTTTGATCATAAATGGCAACTCTCAAAATCCTTAAATGTGCAATTATATTTGTTTTTAAGTTTATCAAATGGTTACACATTTTATTTTGGAATCTCATACATGTTGCAAAAATATTGTGCTATGCTAGCTACTGTGTTTCAAATATTTTGTTTTTGTTTAAATTTATCAATTCAACATCATATACTTCAGTTCATTTCAATGAAACAATTATTAAAAATAAACCTAAGTTAAGTTAATAATGAATTTAGAACTTAAAATTAAAATAAAAGATACTTTTAAAAAGGTACATTAAACTCATATAGAAAATAATCTCAAAACTCTGGCCTTCTAAAAACATAGAAATTGAAAAAAAAAAATCTGTTCAATGAAATTTATCATTAATCATTGAATGTCATTAAGATCATCAGTTTGAATGTCTACTTCTTACTTACATTCAAATTATGCACAGTTGATTATTTTAACTATATATATATATATATATATTGAATTTTATTCCGTTAATTAATATATACATTTTCCATGAAGATGTGTAAGTTCATTGAAACAATGTTTTCATTCAGCATAATTTATATCAAAATTTGATATGTTCACATGAATAAATCAAATATATATATATATATATATATATATATTAAAAAAATAATAATTCACATTAACATATTACAAAAGTAGGACATCAAATGGACTCGCCATTAAATTTTTTGTTTTCCCAACTTTTCAATCAAATAGCCACTAACTATTTAACTAATCTCAGAGTGAGCTCAACTTGAATGAATGAATGAACTCGCCAGTTGAAAAACCGAACTAATGTCATCTAAGTCATTATTCATCCATCTATCAGTTTGAATCTCTTCGAAGAACAGCTCACCCCCCCGTCGATCCACCCGATTCGTAGATACCAATTTGAAAAATCAAACGGAACTCCGCCTCGGGTGTTGCACCTCCTCCCAGCTTTCACCTCGGGTGTTGCTCCTCGTGCTGCCTTTTTCTCTCGACGTCTCCGATCTCGAAATCCGAAAGCACGGATATGCGTAGTCCTTTGATCGCGTCTGAATTAGGGCAGTCCAACAACAGGCAGCGTTTCGGAGACTTTCAGAGTTTTTGGAGCTCTCTCATTGCGTGGTTGTTCGGTTTTTTCGTCTTCAGGAGTTGGAGGGCTTTCGCCAGGTCGTGTTGACAGATTAGGGTGTGCTGTAATGTGAGGCCGTTTTGGGGGTTTCGAGGCAGAGCGAGTAGGTTCGTATTTAGGAAATAGGACGTGTCTGCGAAAACTTGGTGATTGGAGTTTCGTAAGTTGTGGCCGTTCTGCGCTTTTCGCCGGATGCATGGAGATGGAGTTACACTGCTGCGAAATGAGGTCGATATTGTTGCGGGTAGAGAGTGGGATAGAGAGGAGCCTAAGGTTAGGCGTGAATAGGTTTGCTCTGCCGTGGTTTTAGTGCACAGGTGTTTTAGTCCGCTAGGGCTCCGGGGTGCTTAGTTTCAGAAGTGCCGTTGAATTTCACACAATGCGATGTAGGAAATCAAGGTTACTGCACTTGTGGCCCGTGACAGCTGTGGATTGCACTTGGAGGGGACAATGGATTTGAATTTCTCATGGTTGGACATTTCTCAGTAGCAGAAATTGCCCACCATGCCTCCTCTGGAGCGAGAGATTCTTCTGGACAATGGTATGGCCTTTGTCAATAGTCTCTCGCCTGCAATTATTGTGGGTGTTTGAGCATTTTCGTGTACCGGGTGAATTTGTATATTTGTATTTGACGTTTTATTGTATCTTTTAAAAAGATTAGATAAGGAAGCTTCTCGTGTTGTAGGAATCATGTTAAATTCGTCTGCGTGAACCTGAAAACTTGTGTTTTAGCGACACGTAATTCTCATTTACCCAAGTTCGTATATTCTATCCAGTTTTCCTTGTGTGGGCAATTTTGTTGATCTCTCTCAATAGATAATAGAGTGGGCATGGCTGGAATGGCAGATACCGAATCCGAAGATGCAGACAATCATCTGTTTGTGGATTGGAAGGGAACTGGAGGTTGCACATCCTTGGTGCAGCTGAAACTTCCTTTTAAGTCATCTAAGCGCCGCAATGGCGGAAAAACAAGCGCCACATTTCCTTCAAAGTTCACGGAAATGCATGTACCTACTGCAGCACCCCTTACTTCCCCTACGGATGCCAACAAGCTTGTATCGGGTGCTGTTAAACATGCACCGTCTACTTTCGAACCTGCACCAGCTGGTGTCAACCTAGTGCCAGACGTCGTGACTCAACCTGTAGTGGTTGTTTCTCTTTCAGACTCCGACGTTTCGGGGCCTAGCAGAAGCGCGGCTAAAAGACCATTTAACAACTCCGTACGTGTATTACCATCAGGTTCTTTGAATTCCTCTTTCTCTCTCCGATGCATGAACTACATAGACAACTTGCTTTGCTGATCTATACATATATTTTGGCAGTGTGAACACGAGCGATCTAAATACTGACCATCATGGAGGCGGTCTGTGAGGAAAAGTCACCTGTTATGTCATTATGTTATTTTTACTTATTTGATGTTAGCGAAGGTTGACAATGTAAGTAGTGCTGGGATTCACCTCATCATGCCCATGAGGATGTGAATGCTTTGCAGCTTCTTTGTGGTAAGGCGAAATATTAGCTAATTCTAATGATATTTGTTGATGCTTTCGTACATGTTTTCAGGTACTGGCAACGTGGTATGCCTAGACTCTGACACAGATTCTGAGCAGTCTTTGCCGTGGCGTCTCAAACCTTGTAATACCTCCCAGCATTCGCCTCTCTTGGAAAAGGTTGTTGAGAAGGACGATGAAGTCGAGGTCACATATCCCGCTGAGAAACTCCCTTCGCATCTCGTTGAAACTCCACCCCGTGTTCCTTCTCTCGACCGAAACTGTACAATTGATCCGTTTGGAAGTGGCTTGCTTGACTCTCCTTCCGAAGAGGGTCCAACGATCTCTTCATGTTCTAAACGACCAGCTTCTAGTCAATGGATTAGAGAAGACAATGGTTGGAGTTCCGGACAGGGTCCTCAGAGTGAATCTACTAGCGATGACGATTTGGGATTTAATTCTCCTATATTAGAGTCTTCGGGTCCTAGTTTATCTGTACCGGAGGCGACTGATCTGAATCTGGACACCGGTGTTGACCCTCTTTGCTCACGGAATCTGCACAATGAGCTTCGGGTAGTTACCAGTGAGCAGGAAGCTCAGGGTGGTGGCACTAAGAAGAGGAGGAAAGTCATAAGTGGGATTCCCATGTCTGAAGAGGACAAGGCATTGGAACGCAACGAGAAGTTGCGGGCAAAAGAGGCTGAAAGACTACGGAAGGCTGAGGAGAAAGCTGAGTTGAAGCGGCGAAAGGAGGAAGAGAAGAAAAAGCTGCAGGAAGAGAACCGACGGAAGCGAGAGGTTTGTACCGTCCACATCCTTAATGTAGATACATGAAAGAAAGTTCTATTGGAGGTATTTTCTACTTTGCAATCATCATCAATCTCGAATTCCCCGTGACTAGGTTGAAGAAGGAAGCTACTGGAACACCTCGGTCCATGTCGCTGTTCGTTTTGTACCATAAGTGCAATTTAGTTTTGCAGCCGTGATGTTTGTCAACTCATTACTTCCCTTAACATATTCAAACAAAGCCGTCCAGAACCTGATAGTGTCGTGGATAAGCAGGAAGAGAAGCTGCGGAAGGAGGCTGCAAGGGAGGAAGCTAAGGAACGACGCAGATTAGATCACGAAAGGAAGCGATGGGAGAATGGAAAATTTGCTGTACAGAATACGCGAGCACTGATCGACACTAGAGTTATTGAGAAGGGTCATATAGGAGGTTAATAACTCCCAAACTTGAATAGCAGTTGAACTCATTTTTTTCAAACTAACTAATCATAAACAATCGATGCAAGCTTCTAATGGTGTGTGAGCATTTTCCTCCTAAATTACCACGGAGTAAGTAGGGAACACATTCTCTCTCAATTGAAGCTTCACCATTCTTGTTATTCTTGACATTTTCACTTCCGCATTACTCTCTGGTGCATGGCAAGTCTGGAAGATTTCTTATGAACTGGAACCCTTGCTATGTTGCTTGCAGGGCACCTTCTTAACAAACTGGCGGAAAAGCAGCTCCAGTTCCAGCTTGTTTGCAATCCTTGTCCCAAGTCAATCATATGGCGCATGAAGCGACCTAGTGACGATTCTTCGGGGGAGGCTGTGACCAGGTTTTATGATGGCGAAGATGCGGATACACAGGCTGAAGTCTCAGGCTCCAAGGTATATCGTCATAAGTTGTGTGCACCATCGAACAGCTTTAATAGATTGCTGCATTTGTGTATTTTGGGTACTAGAATAGATTTACCCTTCTTGAATTGATCTCTCAAGCTGAATTTGTTGATGACTTACATTGCGTGTCAAAACTTGAACTAAGATACATTTGGTAGCAGCTTGTGGTGGGTCAAACTCAAGTAATCATCTTGTGTGTCAGAAGTGGCAGTTTGATAAGCCAATGCCTCTAGCTTCGTCAGAGAAGCTTTTGAAAGGATTGCGTTCTTGTTATGTTCAGTATCTGTTTGGTTGTGCCGCAGCTTGTATTGGTGGAAGTTGATGTCCCCTACATACTCTACGTATTAGAAGCTGAAGAGTTTGCCGATATGGTGGGTGAGAACACTCTGCACACCCTTATCAGTTCTACTCAAGCCCGGTATCCAGGCTTCACCATCTGCTTCTTGGTCAACAAGCTGAAGTGGTATCTTCACAAAAAGTATTTTCTCATTCCTGAATGTGGAACTCTTTGATCTTTTCATCACTCACTTCAAATCGTGAACAATTTTTACTACAGAAATATTAAGTGCATGTTCATTGTTGATCTCAGAGAACAGACACAGTATAAAAATGGAGATACTGAATGGAGACGGCCACCTGTTGAACAGGTACTTGTTGGGTATTCTATCTCGTTAATTTTATTTAGAATGTAAGTGTGTTTTGCGGTTGCATGCTCAAAATATATTTCACTTCAGATGTTTTTTTGTTCTCGGTTACAAAAATGCAGAAGCTATGCCTCTCTTCTTCTTGTTTTTTAAAAAAAAAATAGAATTTTAGAGTTCCAGCTCTGAAAACAGGATGCCCATGCGTGCTGTCCATGCAGGAAATAGCAAGACTTTTGACCCATTATGATGGAGTCCACTCAAGGTTATGTTTGGACGAAGCTGAAGTGGCTGAGCATGTCACTGGCTTGATGAGAAGTCTTGCGGAATGCCCCTTTAAGTATGTTACATGTTTCCTACACGTTTCCACATATGGAGAATTTTCTGTTGATTTTCTACCGTTTCCCAGATGTTGGTTCTTTGATACATGTGCGTATCGTATTCCATGATGTAGCTTTTGAAGTAGCAAAATTTTAAGCCTCTGACCCTTGGCGTAATATTCAAGCTCTGAACCTTCCAGTCTTGAGCTGAGAACTCCACTTGCTGGGACTTCATTGAAAACCTATTTGATTTTAGTTCTCAAGGTAACAGGCTTGAGAATGTCTGGCTTCTTGTTGTATCAATCTTTTGTGTTCTATCGTTGTGACAAAGGTGGTTACTTTGATCTGCAGGCCAAAAACCACCTCCATGTCAGTGAGCAAGAATGGAGATCATGTGGCAACCAGTGACACATTTAAGGAAGAAATCAGGAAGAGCTTATGGTGTGTTCAGACTTCTCTACATTCCGGTTACTTTTTAGGTTTGCATTGTAGTCTCTTATGATCTACATTCGTTTCAGCATGAAAGCTGTTCACGTTTTTTGGTGACTTAGGACTCGTTTAACCTCTTGTCATGATGCGTTAACTAATGGTTTGTGGTATTCTTTGCGCCCTGTTGTGAAGGCTTAAAGCTCTAGTTGCTCTCCCACATACTCCTGGAGCAGTTGCCCTGGCAGTTGCTAAAAAATATTGCAACATGCGTGCTCTCCTCAAGGCTTATCTTGACCCAACAAAAACGGTAATTGCTTCTCCCTAAGTCTCAACGATTGTCAACGATTTGGTATACAGAGGATGCTATATGCCTAATCTGAAGTCTTGAGACTGATACGGTGTCTGATATCGTTCTTCTTTTCCTTGCTTTTGTCATTCTGGACAACATTGTAGGTTCATCAGAAAGAGCTTCTCTTGCAAGATTTGATCCGCGAGGGCGTCTTTGGCCCCGAGCAACGGCGTCGAGTTGGCCCCAAGTGCTCCCGTCGCATCTACCGCATCTTCATGGCTCACAATGGCAACCTCAAAACAGAAGATGTCGAACAAGGTGCCGATCACTTCGATGATTCGGACTGAATCTTCCAAAAGATAAGTGTACTTTGTTTGCTTCACTGCGTCTCCACTTCAGGATCGACTAGTTCGACTCTGTACACTTTCGAATCCACAGACAACGAAGCTTCACTTCGAGACTTCAATTTTATTTAAAGTTGAACCACTTGAAGCATCTCCCAGTGGTCTTCTGTACAACAGTTTTCCTTTGAATTGTATGGGATTGGAAGCGGCCCTTCAAATATTGGGTGTGATAGAAGTGTACAGCCGAAGATGTACAATCCACCGTGGGGGTGACTTAGAATCCAATCAAGCTTCTCTTAACTTTTGTACTTATTTTTGTCCAACCGTGTCGTGCTTACCTTCTTAGCTTGAATTGTTAATCGCTATGTAGTGCTTTTCGAAGCAAGAAGAGTCACATTTCTGAAGATCTGCAGCAATTCACACATTAGGTGAAGATGGAACCAAAATCATAACCGAACCGCAAATTGAATCATTTGTATCATTTGTGGTTCAGTGCCTTTGAGTTCGAAGCCATAGTGTTTTGAAGAATGCAACCTTTGCATGAGCACGAACGAAGTAAGTGTTAGTAAGGAGTCTGCTTAGTTTAGGAACTGCTTGTCGAAATCTTCAGCACTAGGCATGAACCTACATGAAAAATTGCACTTTCTGAGTTGAAGTGCCTCGAGAGACCCTATCTCTGCTACACATCCAAGACAGGTCTTTAATTATGTTGCGGACATACGATGTAGATTTCAGATCGAGGATCCTACCTTACAGCAATGCCAATCGGTTGGGTGTATTGAACAAATCTATGGAGGTCTTGTGGTGGCGTTAGATCCCGAATTGGTTGCTTCTCTTTCGAGATTTCTGTCTCGTATACCTCCTCTCTACTCTCGTGCACAACGTTTACCAGAGTTCTTTTCTTTTACACAGAATGGACGTTCACTCTGCGCGTCGCCTACTTCGCTCTTGCATTTCACTGTGGGCTTTTGGTGCCGTTGTTAGTGCCTCCGAATTAACAGCACCATTTTACAGACATCGACGTGTATGCAATCAATCTCCTCGTCCTTTTAATCTAATTCTCGTTGAACAGCGTTCGGTTTCCATGCTTTCGCGTCAACTACCTCCTTCTCTGCAGCACCGCTTACGTTTTCCTTCCAGTGGACTTATCGCAGCCCTGGATGTATGTCTAACTGCCTGTGCCCGTTCATGGATGTTGACTGGCCTATGCTGCTGCTTAGTATCTCTCCATCATTGTCTGCTACGGCATTTGCTAGGTTATCTGCCTTCTTGCACTTTGCAAACACAGCGTATGGTATTGGTGCAGATTTGTAACCGTGGTCAGGGTAAGCTTCTAGTCAATTTGTTTTGATGTTAGAAATGTTGCAGGGACTAGTTTACTCTTCTCTGAATACATTACTTGAACTAAGTGTACAATCTTCAAACAATTCTTTTCCGCCAGGTTGCAAGCAGATTTGCTTGCTCTCAGGATTTTCTATTCCAAGAAACCAGAGAATGATTTTCTAAATCCATTTGTTTAGTTGTCGGGACTTCAATTTCGCTAGATGTTGTCTTCTCTTCTCTTTGTTACAGGTTTGCGATCATCGCCTGCCGCCCAAGCATCTCACACGAGATGTGATCACAAACATGCGGACTAAATGCAGAGCCATAAACTTGTCAGTTTCTTGGTTCTATCTCTTCTCCACTTCATGTTATTCCTTCGACAAGTCTGTGTATTGCAAATCCCCAATCCTCGTTCCGTGTTTAGTTTCCACTACTTTTCAGCAGCATTTGACAGCATAACTGTCATTTCACTGTACAAATAATGAACAAATACAAAGAACGAGCGGTGAAATGGCAGCTCGGAGCTTCCTCACCACTCTGACAAACACGCCATGCATTTAAATTGTCGATAGCTTCCCTACTTTTAGGTCCATGACGTTGTTAACATCCGTCTACTCGAACAAATTTATTACCGAAATGATCTCTATCAATTCCCAGAAACCTCGTTGTGTTGAACATCGGTAAAGGTGCAGGAATACTGTTCAAGTGACGGTGCAAAATGCTCGTGATTTGTTTTGTAAATACCAAGGAAATCATGCGGTTGGAGTTCAACAAGGGCGAGTTTCCTCAGCATGCTTACCACGAAGAGAAGCTCTGGTGGTTCAGAATCCAATCTGTCGCGTGCGTGAGATGGGTTAAGAAGCGAATTCTACACACTAAAAAAACACTTCATAAAATGTGCTTCTCGAAGATCTGTTGGCATATAAAACTGATACGAAATTGTGGGGACTGAAAGCACAAACGTTAACAATTATTTCTGCGATTCTGCTAATTTTGTATTAACACTCACAACATTGAAGTTAGTACTAAATATAAATGAAAAGTGTCAAATTTAATGGATATGGTGGAAGTTGCCTTGTTTGGATAAATTTTCATATTTGTTGTTATATTAACTTGTGTCAATTGAAAACCATCTCCATGATTTTGAGTTTTGAATTGTTAGTTGATAAATATTGTGATGGTAATAATAATTAATCTCTAAATAAAGTATAGCACTTACAGAAGTATTCAAATGCATCTAATAGAAATATATTTGTTTATTTTTTTATTTTTTATTTAAAAAACATGTTGATACTATAAAATAATAATAGTAATAACAATAATGGAATTTCATTACTTTTATTTACTGAATTATTATTATACAAGTGTGATAAATGCTAGAGTTTACTTGGTGATCAAATTTTTCCACAGAGATGATGTGAGAGTGAAGACCAACATAAGCAGCCTTCTGGGCAAAACTGTAATAATTCATGTAGTACATGATGCATTTGCAATTGTTGGTATACAACATTGCAAGCTGTAGTGACGGCATCAGTGTCATGCCCTCTTAAACAATGAATATCCAATCCATAGACCACATCATTTAAGGATTTATCCTTGAAACATAATGCTGACCTTCCCTCCTGGCAACATCAATAACATGATTAGAACCTCAATAATGCTGAACTCATCTCTCAACATGACAAGGTAGTTTGCTGTGATCTGTCTTGAGAAACAATATAGCTCCTTGTAACATGGGTTTCATCTCTAAAACTCCAGAAACTGATCTAGATGTCTGAAACTAACCCCAATCATCTCAATTGCCACTTCCAAGTTCAAGCTTGGAGGTGACTCTACAATGAGCTTCAATTTGCATCATGGAAGGCAAGCATTGTCAATGACCAAAACACAATGGCTCCTCATCAACCCACATCAGGTTGCTAATAACTCTTCAGGAGATGAACTCACTCTGCTATTCTGGGCAGCAATCCCAAGATTATATGGGGGTTGCAAATCACATGGTTGAGTCTGTCAAAACATCTTTTTGTTGTTTTGGATCCATATGTTCTAATTCTTTGTTGGATTATTACAGATACACTTTTACATCTGTTTGTATTTTTTTACCAAAGTGTTGACCCTGAGTACTACTGTTCTCTTCACAACATTCTAAAATGATGCATTATATGTGGACACTAGGAATAGAAGTAGCTCCATATGGACATGTGCATCAGGAACTCTTGATGTGGGAGATACTTCATGCAAGACTTCTCAAAAACCCCCACTGGCAAATACCACAGAGAACCAATAGTGATGGTAGGATTCCATTTCCTGTGTAGATTACAATTGAACTAAAATTCCAAGGACCTTCAACAAAAATAGACTTAGCTAATGCAGACCAAAAAGACTGATATCAGTGAAGCAAAGATTTGCATGTGAATTTCCAAAAAAAATTCCTCTCAATGCACAATTGCAAGAACAAGTAGAAGAAAGTCCTTTAAAATATGTAAAGTGCATTCTCATTGCGCTGAAAGGAAATTTAAAATCCCATGCCTGCATGATGTGCTTCAACTTTTTTCATGATAATTTTTTTTAGTTTTTATTTGATAATTGTCAATTCTATGCATGTTTTAAAGGACTTTATTTTACATGTTCTTTCAACTAATTTAACAGGTATTATATTTACATTTCTTTTTATAACTGTTTTTATATAAAAATTAATTAATTATAATTATGTATTTTGTTCTTTCTATTTTCATACTTATTTTGTAGCATTCAAATAAACACATATTCTTGTTAGGAACATTGTTAATGATTATTTTATATTTTTATATTTTTTGGTTTAGAGGTGATGTGTAGACTTTGTATATGTGAAAGTCAGTTTGTTTATTATTTTCTTTTTGTGCTTTATTTATTTTATTTTTTAAAAATATTTTGTTGTGTAAGATCCACCAGGTCCAGAAGGTCCTTATGCAAGCATTGATAATTAGAGACCAAACTTCCTTGACCTAGTTGGCTTTGTTGTAGGGAGGTTTTGTTTTAGATAGTTTGTTCATAATCAAGATTTTGCCAGTGGTCATGGTAACGTTTTCTATGCACAAGCTTCAAAAGTAAAACTAATTGTAGGTCCATTGAATACATGTTACCAAAGAGAGCCACCAATCCATAAAAATAATGGTTTTGATGAACTGTGTGTAACAAACAGGTAGTTACACACAGCAATTTGTTTTTATTAATTTGTAACCACAACTGAGAACGTGGAAGAAAACAAGTTGTAATCTCATAAGTGCAGTATTTTTTGAAGATTAAATATTGTACTAATAACTCACAATGTTTAAAGGTTTATGATCTAAAAATAACCAAATTTGTAATTGAAAAAATGGGAATAGTTGGACACTAAATGCATCTTAATTTTTCTGTTACCTTAATACCAAAAAATAATATTATTAACAAGTATCCAAACCTGTCCAATTTCACATGGGTACAATCTTTTATTTTCAGATTTTAAAATTTTATTTTTACTCTTTCAAAATTCCATCTTGAATTTATTCTGGCATTTCCTACCAGATTCTTTTGACAAAGTCTATTTGATTGCCAAATCAATAACAAATCTCTAACAATAAAATAAAAGGCACATATTAAATCTATCCACACACACATACATATATATGGGTCTACATTAGGTTGATGGTGTGTTTGATAAAATATTTAGATTAGAAAACATTATATATAACAACAATTATGTTTCAATAGTTATAAATTATAAATTACAAATTCTCTCTAATAGATTCTTATGCTCTCATTATTGTTTACTTTGTGTGAATCATTTTTGTCATAGCTGCCCTTAATTTAAATTGCTTCAAGATTTGAATAGTTAATGAGATCAAACTATTTATTAAAACCAAAGAACTTGGTAGATTTTTTTTTTTATTTGTTTTATTTGTTTCTTCATCCATTACAATTAGTAATTTTTTATTAAGTAAATATACCACTAGTTTTATAAATGTGAAATGAAATTATAATCCTTATATAAAAATCACATAAGAAAAAAGGAAAATTTAATGTTTAATTTTTTTTTCCTTGACTGATTTTAATAAATTTTTATATATGCATTAGTATTTTTATTTTCAGAATCATAAAATTATATATGTAATATATATATATATATATATATTTTTATAAAAAATTATATGGATTATTTTTAATTTTTTAATGCAGAACTTGGAATACAATTGTTTGTTTGAAAATTATATGCTAAGATTTTAGATTCTATTTCTTAAGTTTTTGTTACTGTAGATTACATATTGATAGAAGTAAAGATCAAAAGAGAAAAGTGGGCAATTTTTTTTGTTTACAATGTCAAATCAAACCTGTCAACCCTTATTTTCAATATTCATTCTAAAAATTGTATCTTCACACACATTGCACAACTTCTAAGTAGAACCCAACTAATATATTGAATCCAATAAACTTCATCTAACACATTACAATGCTCTAATTAATAAATACCAAAAAATAATTTTCTCATAAATATGCATAAAATTAGAATAATACCTAATAACTTAAAAAAACACCTCATTTTAAGCTCTTTCTCTCTTTCTGCTTGAATTTGAAATTAATTTTTTTAAATGATTGAAGGCTTTTTAAAGCTGTAGAAAACTGAGCACATGATGCAAACTTTAGTAAGGAATACCTTTAGCAAAGCTCAATATTATATATACATGTCCATTTTTTTATCCACTATTTTGTCGCATACTCTACCAGCCATTCCCACACACTTTGTTCAACTCCAAAATCTGTCCAAAGTTCTCTATCATAAAACCTCAACATTACGTTGCTCCCAAGTCATCCAGAATAATCAGTATATATACGAAATTTTATACGCACATGCTTTTTTCTACAAAGATGCCTTGTCAATCAAGTTCACGTGGTCCTTTCCACACAACAACAAGAAGACCCACTATCCTCCACTTGGCATAACGCACATCCATCGATTCAATTATTCATCCACGAAACCCTATGTTCATTCATTCGTACATCCGGGAGTGATGATGGTGACATGTTGCTTCGGGGACAGATTCCTCCCCCCGAAGGCTGCTAGAGAGCTGCAGCTTGTGAATTTTGTTTTTTCTTGTTGTTTTGTTGTTTTTTTTTTTTTTTTTTTTTTTTTTTGCATGGTTTCGTTTGGTGAGCTTTAAGCAGTCGAGCTCGTGTGCGCGAAAGAATTCTGCACCCGCTCCTTCGTCGTCATCAGTCGTACACCATTGACGTCCGCTGAAGCCGATTTATCTGACAAAATTATTCAACGTTGACTGTGGAAGTCGATTTAGCGAAGTTTCGGTATCCACCCCCCCTTTGTCTCTCTCTCTCTCTCTCTCTCTCCCTATTTTAATTTATTTTATTTTATTTTCCTCCTGCTGAAGGCATTTGTGGGCTTGCAGTTCCTGCTTCTTTCATAATTTGCAAAATTTCTTAGGTCGCTGAATTGCGTCCACAATTTCCCGAAAGTGACCTGCACTCCTTCCCTTACTGCTCACCATTTCCAGGATTCCGTGCTGTCAACTAACTTAAGCACACACGTTCGTGAATTAGCCGGTTTTCACTGTCCAATCGCAGCATAATCGAGGGCAAGAGGCTTGATATTTGTTTGTTCCTACTGTACCACCAGCTGTTTGTAGCTTGGCTGCGGGCTTGGACGTACGAAGTCGCTCATTCTTTCAGCTGCACAGACCGTAGTGGGGCCCGACAGACCCCTGGCTGGCAGCACAGCTGTCGGTCAGTTTCAACCTCAAGGTTGTGGTTCGACAAGTGATAAATTTTTATTGAATTGAATTCTCTCATTTAATTAACAATCAAGTAAATATTTACTTGAATTTGACAGTAGAAAGCTGAGTCTAGTTTATCTGAACCACCAGTTGAAGTAGTATTGGAACTGCTAGCTCGAAACTGATAACAGGATGGTAGAAATTCAGGTTATTCTCATTTATTGCCAAACTTTAGGGTAAATTTGAGCTCGGTTACGCCCGATTTTGCCTGTAGGACTGGGCCTTGTGTATTCTTGTGTCACAACTCTGAGGAACTTGTTTAACGTGGTGACATCACCTTGAATGATGACGTGAAGTCACACTCTGGGATGTCACTGTGCGTCAGACGGATTCGGAAGTTGACTGACAAGTTTGCAAATTGTGGAGTGATCCCCACTTCATTTGCTTCGGTACTCATATCCAGCTTCCTCGAGGCTTGGTTCGACTGGCTAAAATTGAGCAAAACTAAGCTCATTTTTGCCCAATAGTTAGCCAACAAATGAGAACAAGTTAAATTTCTAGTATCATCAGGGGCCTGTCTGGATCCACATCAGCAACTTCTGGAAGCAGGATTTCTGGGACCAAGGAAATGGGGGTAAAGTGGCTGCTTTGTGACTCCTATAAGTTGTGAGAGAGTTGTGTTTGTTGGGAGGGGGTGCAATTCTCCGAGAACCTCGGAATGAGGATTTACCCAATAGCTCTTAGTCTTGAGTGTTTGAAAACTTCAACGAATGTTGGTTTTAGTTTGTGAGAATTGCAACTTTTTCTTTGATGGTGAGTATTTTCGCTGTAGAGCACCAGCAGGACGGTACCGAGACCGGCTGAACTGATTTGTTCACTCACATTGACTGAAACCCCTTCGAGGAGCCAACTTCTGCTTTCATGTTTGGTATCTAAGAATTAATTAAAACAACGCTCAGCTCAGCTTTGTGCACCTGACTTCTGAGCGCCTTCACTCAGTTCACCTGTGAAATCTTATCGTTTGTGGTCGCTCCTTGGAATCCAGCAGTATGATTTAGAATCTGGTTTGTTGAACAGGAAAACCAGATCAGGGGTTCGACACAGAGCGCGCAAGATTTTGAAGACTCTTCTGTGCTGAATAGTCACCGGCTGCATAATTAGACAACAGCAATGGATAAGGATGACAAGATGAACCCGGAGGAGGACCTAGAGTATGGAGGTCAACAGCCCTGGAACATCCAGCCTTCGAAGAGCATAGGTCGTAGCTCAAGACGAGGGTCACTCTCTCGGTCGAGGAGCTTGGCACGGGAAATGCTTGCTAGTGGCAGTATAGGCACAGCAGCTCCTCAGTCGTATGGACTTTTCGGTGCCGCAGGCAACCTACTGGATGCAGCTTCCCGGTCTTCAACTCGAGAGGAAGACGAAAACGAGTTGCGGTGGGCTGCCTTGGAGAAGCTTCCAACGTACAAGCGCATCCGCACTTCCATCCTCCAGCAGCACACTGGAAGTCTACGTGAACTGGATGTGAAAAAGCTGTCAGTAGCGGATTTTCAACACCTTCTGCAAACTTTGCATCGGCCCACAGATAATGATGACGAACAGATCTTGGCTAAGTTGCGCAAGCGGTTAGACAGGGTTGGGATAGAACTCCCCACGATCGAGGTTCGGTTCGAAAATTTGACAGTCGAAGCGAACTGCCATGTTGGAAGCAGAGGCTTGCCTACCCTATGGAACGTTTTTCTTAACATCCTAGAGGTGCTTCATCCTCACATTACTCTGTACAGTAGTCATCATATCATGCTAAGCTTGAGAATTTTGTCACATTGGCAGTCGATGACATCGAATGCTCTTTGTTGACGTGCTTAAAAAACTTCGACGCATTCACCGACGTGGCATCTTTGTACGCATTTTCTTTTCTTTTTAATTTTTTAATTTTTTTTCCTATGGGCAGAGCGTTGCAGGGTTTCTTCACCTATCTCCAACACGGAAGCAGGTTGTCACCATTTTGGACAATGTCAGCGGCCTTATTAAACCTGGAAGGTACTGATTCGTAGCGCTTGACATGATAATTTGCGTCGGGCACTACGCCTCGAGCCCCTGGATAGCATCACAGTGCTGTGATTGGAATAAGGACGTCACTCTGATGGCAAACATGTATGCAGGATGACCTTGCTTCTTGGCCCTCCTGGTTCGGGGAAGACTACTTTATTGCTCGCATTGGCTGCGAAGCTTGATCCTGATCTGAAAGTGAAAGGGAAAGTAATGTTCAACGGGCACACGTTCGATGAATTTGTGGTACCAAAAACTGCCGCATACGTAAGCCAGCACGACCTGCATGTTGGAGAATTGACAGTTCGGGAAACTTTTCAATTCTCTTCTAAAGTCCAGGGCGTTGGGCATCAATACGGTAAAGTCAGTAACCCTGAAGTTCTGGTTGATTGAATTTTCAATCGAGGAGCTTTAATGTGCCGTTAAGAACAAGTGGTAAACATTAAGAAATTTTCTTTTTGTGATACAGAAATACTCGAGGAGGTGGCGAAGAGAGAAAAAGAGAGTGGGATTCGACCTGACTTAGATGTCGACACTTACATGAAGGCGACGGCTATGCCGGGAAACAAAGCCATGCTTGCCGTTGAACATATCATAAGGGTGAGTATGCATTGTGACAATCTTTCCCATCACTTCATGAAATCTGCAGTATTCCTTCTCTATATCTCAGCTATTGGGAATGCTGGGTAGCACCTGACCATTTGTTGCGAGAGCAGATGCTCGGTCTAGAGATTTGTGCAGACACAGTAGTCGGGAACGAAATGCTCCGTGGAATTTCCGGTGGTCAGAAGAAGCGTGTGACAACGGGGGAGATGCTTGTCGGCCCACTAAAGACATTGTTCATGGACGAGATTTCTACAGGACTGGACAGCTCAACAACGTTCTCAATTGTAAGGAGCTTGGGCCGATTTACGCATGAGTTGTCTGCAACGACCTTAATCTCGTTGCTGCAGCCTGCCCCTGAGACCTTCAACCTCTTCGACGACGTAATATTGCTCTCTGAAGGGCAAGTTGTTTACCATGGCCCGATTGCAAATGTTGTCGAGTTTTTTGAGCTTTGCGGCTTCAAGTGCCCGGAGAGAAAGGGCATTGCTGATTTTCTGCAAGAGGTCACATCACGTAAGGACCAAGAACAGTACTGGGCGGATAAGCGCAAACCCTACCGCTATGTGCCCGTCAAGTGCTTCGCAGACGAGTTTCAAAGATTTCATGTTTGGTTAAGGATGAAGGATGAGCTAGGAGTTGCATACCACAAAGAGAGAAGTCACCCTGCTGCTCTTGCTAAGGAGACCTACTCAATCTCTAACAAGGAACTCTTCTGGGCTACCTTCGATCGAGAGCTGACGCTGCTTAAGCGGAACGGAATTGTTTACATCATCAAAGCCATTCAGATCACAATGAGCGCCTTCATTTCTATGACCACCTTCTTTCGCACTCGGCTTCACACGCAAACAGTCAATGATGGAGGCCTCTACTTCAATGCCCTTTTCTATGCTATAATCATGTTTATGTTCACAGGGTTTGGAGAGCTTGCATCCACAATCACTAGACTACCTGTTCTCATCAAACAACGGGACATGCTCTTCATCCCTGCATGGGCATTCTCGCTTTCTACTATGTTGTTGAGTATCCCAGGGTCTATTCTTGAGGTTGGCATTTTCACCTGCATGAGCTACTTCGTGACGGGATTTGCACCCAACGCTGGTGCTTTTTTCAAATTCGCTTTGATTCTCTTTTTGATCCAGCAGCAGGCAGGTGGTATGTTTCGATTTATTGGCGCAGTATGCCGCACAATGACGCTGGGATTTACCCTGGGGTGGATTATCCTTCTGCTTCTTTTCATGCTCGGAGGGTTCATTATCCCCCGTCCGGACATTCCGGTATGGTGGAGATGGGGCTTCTGGATTTCCAACATGAGCTATGCCGTGCAGGGAATTAGTTCCAATGAATTCACCGCTTCTCGGTGGAAAACGGTATGTCACCCACATCCTTCTCATTCTGGCTTTTTTATACTATTGTTGTAAAGCCACCTCATCCCCAACTCAAAGAAATGATTAGTTTTGTAATCTTGTGTTCACTTTGCGTGACTTGACAGCCATACACTGGAATTGGTGGAGTGAATACCGTTGGAGCCAGAATTCTGCAGAGCCGTGGTCAATATACAGAATCATATTGGTATTGGATTAGCGTAGGCGCTCTCTTGGGATTCTACGCGATATTCAACATTGGATTTACGCTGGGACTTCAGTTCATGCCTGGTGAGTTGAAATCTTAATCTACTTGGAATATCACCTCCTTCTTGCGTGCATACGCAAATTACAGTCAGTCTTTCAGGTTTCATTATAGCTAGCAAGTTTCTCATTTTACTGACACATTTTGATAATGAACGTGGTGCATCAGACTGTGTCTGTCTTTGACGTTCAATGTACTCTTTACTTATTCTACAGGAGTTGGCAAGCCTCAGGCTATAATGTCCAAGGAAGAGTTGGAAGAAAAAGAAGTAAATCGTACTGGTGCAGCTCTTTCCAAGACGAAATCAGCGTCACGTTCTCGGTCACGGTCATTAGCTAGTATTATGACCTCCAAAGGCGATACCCTTCAACAGAGTAAAAGCCGACGCTCCTCCACTAATCGCCGTCCCTCTGATTCTGATGTTGAAAGTGAAGCTTTGCAAGTGACTCGTGGAATGATTTTGCCTTTCGACCCGTTGATAATCTCATTCGACGATGTTAGCTACTTTGTTGACATGCCTGCGGTATGTCACAACTGTACTGAACACTTCTCATTCTCATTCAGTGCATATTTTAGAAGTTCGGTGCTTTGATATCCCCCACGAATTTTGTCACCTTTGTCGGTTCCAAGTCAAACATCTCATTAGTAGAAGTTCAGAGCGCTACTAGAAAGAAACCTCTTGTCTCTTCAACGATATTTCTAATGCGAACTCAAAGTTCCACTGACTCAACATCACACGTCACCTGTGTGCAGGAAATGAAGTCGCCTGAGATGACAGAGAGTAAGCTCCAGTTGCTCAATAAGATTACAGGAGCTTTCAGACCAGGTGTACTAACCGCCTTGGTAGGAGTTAGTGGAGCTGGGTAAGCTTAAACTCCTTGCTGTTTCAGTAGCAAAGACCAAGTCAACATATTATTCAATTCATTGTGGCTAATGTGTCTTCTAAGATCTAAGTCCCATCTTGTTTTCCTCGGCTTCCAGTGTTTTTAAAATGTTCCTTCCCCTTACAATATTCTTTTCAGAAAGTCAACTCTTATGGATGTGCTAGCTGGGCGTAAGACTGGTGGCTACATTGAGGGTGACATTCGCATCTCTGGCTATCCGAAAAATCAGAAGACCTTTGCCCGAATCTCAGGTTACTGCGAGCAGAATGACGTCCACTCCCCACAAGTGACAGTTCGAGAGTCTCTCATTTACTCAGCGTGGCTTCGTTTAGCCTCCGAGATTGACGACGAAAGTAAAATGGTCAGCTTCCAGCAGTTAGTGTTTTCTTTTGCACTCATATGTGATCAATTTATGTTCCCGTATTTAAATTCACCAAGATCATGTAGGATTTTGCTTGTAATCTACTGCGGGTGCAATTCCTAATGAGTTTCGAAATATTCCAGGCTTTCGTGGAAGAAGTGTTGGACTTGGTGGAGCTGAAGGCACTGGAGAATGCCTTAGTAGGTCTGCCAGGCATCACGGGGTTGTCAACAGAGCAAAGGAAGAGGTTGACAATTGCAGTGGAATTGGTCGCGAATCCATCTATCATCTTCATGGACGAGCCCACCAGTGGGCTGGATGCACGAGCAGCTGCCGTTGTGATGCGAACTGTGAGAAACACGGTGGACACAGGACGAACTGTTGTATGCACCATTCACCAACCTAGCATCGACATCTTTGAAGCCTTCGATGAGGTTTGTGTCTCTTCCTGAACTCTTATCCTCCTTCCAGAACAAATTCGACCTTGGGAAGGATAACGATTGCCTCGCAAATTAATTCTTAGTGTGTATCATGATTATCAATACTTCCAAATGACCTTCCTTTCACAATGGCGATGTCTCTTGCTTTTTTCGTTCAGCTTCTGTTGTTAAAGCGAGGAGGACAGGTAATTTACGCTGGCGAATTGGGTTTCGAGTCCAAGCACATGGTCGACTATTTTGAGGCTGTGCCCGGAATCCCCAAAATCGCCGAAGGTATCAACCCAGCAACATGGATGTTAGATGTGACCAACGTGGACATGGAACTACAATTAGGAATAGACTTCGGAGAATATTATACAAGAACTGAACTTTACAAGCGGAACAAGGATCTTGTGAGAGAATTAAGTGTAGCAGCTCCAGGATCGAAGCCCTTGGTGTTTCCAAGTGAATATCCACTAACTTCGTTCCAGCAGCTCAGATGCATTCTCTGGAAGCAGTCGTTGACACATTGGCGCAGCCCTGATTACAATCTCGTCCGTTTTGCCTTCACTTTCTTTACTGCACTCATCTGCGGAAGTATATTCTGGCAAGTGGGGCACAAAACGTAAGCCCACACATCTTCACACAATTTCTTTGCGCTTTCTGTCATGCCTTGACCTGATTCCCAGAGCAGTTTTCGTCCAATTACGCATTCGTAATGGTGTCTTACTCTAAGTGATTCACCCATGATTTTGCAGAGAAAGGTCGACGGACTTGGTAATCACATTGGGAGCACTCTATGGCTCAACTTTGTTTATCTGCTTCAATAACGCAAGCACAGTGCAAACGATGGTGAGCGTTGAACGATCTGTGATGTACAGAGAGAAGGCAGCTGGAATGTACTCGTTAATACCTTATGCGCTATCCCAGGTGCTGATGGAAGTTCCGTATGTCGTAGTCCAAGGGACATTGTACGCTCTCATCACATACGCAATGCTGGGATTCCAATGGACAGCTGCAAAATTCTTCTGGTACTATTACACCAATATCATCAGCTTGCTGTCGTTCACGTATTACGGTATGATGATGGTGGCCATTACTCCCAATGTTATCTTGGCCTCCATCGTCAGTGCTTTCTTCTCCACGCTCTTCAATCTCTACGCCGGATTCTTGATTCCACGACCTGTAAGCTAACTTCCCTCATCAAACCTGCCATTGCCATTAACTTCTTGATCAAACCAAATGCAAATAATGAAAGTGATCCATCTTCATGGACGCTGGACTTTTTTTTCTCCTCAATCACAGGTCTGATGTTTTGCACGATTTGGATTGTTCTTGCAGGCGATTCCCGGGTGGTGGATATGGTACTACTGGCTTTGTCCCTTAGCTTGGATCATTTATGCATTGATAGCTTCACAGTTCGGAGATGTTACGGACAAGCTTATCATTGTAGGCGACGAGACGAAAGACATCATCGTCAAGGATTATCTCAAGGAAACATTTGGATTCGAACACGACTTCTTGCCTGTTGTCGGCCCGATGCTCATCGTGTGGATGGTCATTTTCGCGTTGGTATTTATTTTTGCCCTCAAAAGCTTCAACTTCCAACGCAGGTAATTGTCCTTTTCTATTTGTATAGAGAGCTTTAGAAATCATAACCAGCTCTGAGTTCCAAACCAATATGAGTTCGTGCTTACGGAACCTGTGTTATTTTGATGGCATCGGATGGTTTCCATGGAAACCTAGAACATGATGATGCTGATGGTTTAAATAAATTATTCTCTTCGAGATTTGAAAGTTTCCTCTTGGATGATTATGAACGAGCTTGAATGATGGAGTACTCTACGAGTAAGCTCAATTTATTTGTTATATATTAGGTCACATCTACAGTCAGTACGAAACTGCAGTGATCTGAGGGAAAGTTCTTGCTCAACCAAGACCATCATCAAGGTCTCGTACATTACTTCCTGTAGTAGGATCATTGTTTATAACCGTTAAAACCAAATTTCAGGGCCCTTGAATTGGAATACCTAATTCTTAATGTTCACGAATGTACATGAATGTTCTGGCACGAAATGTTCTGCGCGTGACAAGGAGTATTTAATTTTCGTGACCGAGTCCTTCAGAAGAATCCTTTCTATCCTTAGAACTCAGGACACATGATGTTCAGCCAACGAATCGACCAGTAGGTGACTCAAGAAACGTCACTTCCTTACACAGAACCTTCACATTGTGGGGATGGATAATGGACACTGCCCACATAGCATCTGTCTATGTAATTCCGTTTTATGGTAGTACTTTTTTATCATGTTGCAGTTTACTCTCTCAACTTTTGTTCATCGTGTAGCAATCTGACTTTCTATTTTTCTCACAATGCTGCTCTAGACTATTTGTATTGAGTTCTAGACATGTGGGAGCGGCCGATTGAAAAATAGCTTCGCAGGATATATTAGATCAGAAGTTAGGAGACGAACTAACCACCCTTCAAATTCTAGCCTTGTGTGTATCATCGAGGCCGTGCGACACTGGTTACATGTTACTTGCTTAGTTCGATGCCCAACTTTGCATATCCTTTGTGTGTGGAAACATCCCCTTATGAACCTGAGTTCAATTTTCTGAATTGAGCTGTGAATACACCGGTCACTTCTTTGAAAAGCACGGTGATGGACCAATGGGCACTCTAGAACCAACTAGATTTCTTCGTAAATATGCTCACACGCGTTTGTAGATACTGCTTGTGTAAATGTAGATACTGCTTGTGCAAATTCAGACAGCTTGTTTTCTAATTTTGCAGAATGCATAACATATCAACTTCCATTTCAATCTGCGGACAAGAGTTCATCGTGCAGAGGAAAGGTTGGTTGGTTTAAGTATACACTACTTTCTCACTGGCCACTATGCAGCTCAAAAAGATCAGGGATTGTAACCTCCCAGGAGCAGAATTTCAAAACTCTTCCTGTTCCATTTCAGCAAACTGAGCACTGAATTGCACACAAAATTGGCACAGAGGAAAATGTGTTATGTTTCACCACAACATGCGTACAACGACAGTGCTGTAACCCCCCGCAATCTGGTGAATCAGGCGACGCTTGTGGAAATGCTGCACGTGCTAACTAAAACTCCAACTTGTGTCAACATATAGAAGAAGAGAACACAAACTGGATAGCATCTTTCAAACCTCTCCGAACTTATCTATCTTTTCATTCTCATCCTATGTGCAAGGATTATAAACACTTCTCACCTTACAAATATTACCAGTGACCAACACACCACCCACCTTAGGATCGGGGATTGCTACCAATCCTCCCGCACCCGCGTCGAGGTTGCAGCTGCAAAATGCATGAAGATCGAGAAGTAAGGTCGCTCTCCTTCAACGTTTCTGGGAGGGTCGTAGCTGCATATAAAATAAATTCCACCGTCGGAGCAATCAACTGAAGCACATCCCACACTCGTTGTGTCACCCCACACCACCTGAGTGTAGTGTCCACACGTCTCGCCTTCAGCGCAAGAATTCGACGCGTAATCATAGTACTGCTCTTCCTCCACCCATAAAGCCACGGCATCGGTGGGTGTCCTCGAAGCATTGCTAAACCAGGCCAGATTCTCGCCATAGGGACTGTCGGTGGAGTGAGTCAAGGGCCGGCAACTGTCTGCCTGGGTCAGAGCGTAGGAAAGAGCGTAGTCATAAGCAGCCGAGTTCCATGTGAGCGGCGCAACACCAACATCACTACGTGCGCCGTTGTGAGCCACCAGCCACTCGTCGATGTCTGTCTGCGCATAGGTCGTGAGGTTTTTCCAGTCAGCAGAGAAGATTATCAACGCAGCGACGAGTAGGAGATCGTGCTTGCAGCGATACGCCATCCCCACAGCTTCGAAGTGATATGTGTTACCACATGTGCCGCAATTTAACCTGAGTTGAGGATTGCATGCCCACATTCCTTTCTCCACTGATGGAACAGGTCAGCCTCGTAGTTGACAACGCTGCAAGTCATTGAAATCATCCCGAATTGACTGTCCAGATGATCTTTCACTGCACAACCAGTGTGATACCCGGCTAGTACCAACGCAAACAGAACAGCAACATGGCAGGAATCACTGAAACTAAGTACAAAAGGGCCCTACAATGCACACCCAGCGTGATCACCGTCCTCCCCTGGCAGTCACTCACGTCTCATCGATGGCGGTCCAGCTTCAGTAACAGGATCAGTTACACTGCTCTCAGCTAAGGTAATCTCCAACCTACTTGCAAACATTCTTCTACTCAAACTCAACGTTAGATGCAGATAAAAACAATCTGCTGAAGAGAGCAGATCACAACAAAAACAGTTTACCGGCAACTCTTAAAAGCGTGGTTCAAACTGTCACCAGCATCGTAATTGTGAGAGATATGGTGCCTGAGGAGGGGTCTAGGAAGAAGTGGGATGGCCCGTGTACTCATGATCCAGAGCTTGAAAGTGAATCCACGCATATCCATCAACGCCATGCGACGTGATTCCGATCCGCTGCAGTCGCCGAGTCCTCGTCTTCAATGTCTGATAAGCCGGTAACTGTCATAAAAACATCCCCCGTAACCGCTGGACTCATAACCGCGAGAACGGCCCTGCACCCAACTTTCCGTTCTGCTATTTCTTTCCCATTCCTGCGGAGATAGGGCAGGATGACCGAGCACCGTGAAATGTCCTATTTCCGTGGGGTGCTGAAAACCGTGCCGAGGAGAAGCACCGAACGAGGGAGAGAGCAAAGCTGCTTTAGTGGGGTCTCTAGATCGTGATTGTTGACAGATCCCCACAAACTGTGCAAGCAAGAGAGTGCCTCATTCGCTAGGGTTTCCTTCTCACCCACTCTCTCACTCTCTCACTCTCTTGTAGCCATGGCTCAGGCTCTTCGGCAACGGGTTGGTAGTCTGTTGAGTCGACCTGTTGCCAGCCCTCTCAGCCAGACTGCACGCGATGGAGCCGTGGCCAAGCGCTTCTTCGCTTCCAAGTCTCATGCACATGACGACGCCGGTAAGCTTTCGTGAATCTCGTCTGGCTCTTTTTTTTGTAAGAATTGGGCTCCGTCTGTAATGCACTGAGTCCGAATCAGCTCATCGAGTTTTGTTCTGTTTTTTTCTCGCAGAAGCTGATATTGCTTGACTGGTGGGAATGTAGATTAGGGTTTCTATTGTTTCATTGTTTTTATCTATTTATTTATTTATGTATTAATCTGTGTCTGATTGTGTGAGAAAAATGTCGTGACGGGATCGAGGATGACATGTTTTCGGATTAGGAGTTATGTAACGAAAAATGTTTTTTTTTCTTGGATTAGTGGAATGCGAGACGTGTTTTGAGTGACTTTACATGCATTTATGGACCTCTTCACTTCCTAGAGGTGGCTGGTTCTTGGTAGACCATAGATTCTTTTGGGTTAGTGTGGTCACTTTCTACAGTATTATAGAGCTCCGAGTCGTAACCTTTCGACAATTTGGAACAAGCGATTGAGAGGATGTACGTAACACGGCTTTATAGTGTTAGTTTAACATTTGTTTCGTACAGAACAGCTTCTGTGGCTATATTTGGGAGACGGTTACCTGTGTGCATTTGCTTACTGTGAATTAATGTGGTGACCCAGAGGAGACGGCGAAATGGCGTAGCATCACAATTGCAGCTTACATAATGTGTGTTGGTATGGGCATCTACACACTTGCTAATGAGGAACATGGTCATGGAGGAGAGACACCGGTATGTAGTCGTCCAAGATTGTCCGGAATCCAAACCTTCGTGAAAAGATTTTTATTTCACGATAGGGGTTTGTTAATTTTGTGAATCATTTTTTTTTTTTTTTGTTTCATCAAGAGTTCTTTCAGTTAATAGTAACAAGTGCACAAAGTTTTTCTCATGTGCTTTCTTGCTGGTAATGACAGGGATATTCTTATTTGCACATCCGTAACAAGCAGTTCCCATGGGGTAGGTTATCCTCCTTTTTTCCTTTTTCAAATTGCTTTTTTAATTTGAGGACTCAGAATCATTCTCGCCTATGCCGCAATTGACACAGAATCCTCCAAATTGTATTATTTATTTTGCAGGACCTGACGGCTTATTCGAGTACAAGCACGAAAGTCATGGAGAACACTAATTAGTTCTTGGTTTTCTCGTGTCGATCAGTTTTGTAATCAAGCTGATTCGTAGACTGCTTGTGAACAAGCTTGATTTTTGCCGAGCGTTCCATCTTGGTATCCCCATTTGCATGATGTCAATTTCCTCAACACAATGGATCTGAATAATACGCATGAAAATTTTAGTTTTGTAGGTTCATTTGTTGTGCTTATGGAATAACAATTTCTCTTTTTTAAACTTAGCATCATCGTTCTCGGGCGTTTCTCTTTTAAGCTGGGGAATGTTTTTAAACAGCATGTAAATTTTATTTTATGCTTTGGGTGTCTATCCTGTACCGCATTTTAAAAAATGACACTGTTCGTGTTAAAAGACTTTTCAAGACAAACTTGCTCCATTTGAATATGTAATTCAGTAACTGTTTTAACAATTTGCTATAACTCACGCACTGGTATCATCGTCTTTTGGAGTTCAGTGATGAATATGGTTTGGATCAATCGCGTCGATGAGTGGTTTGGAATTATGTTGATTCATTACAAGAATAAAGCTCAAAGTCCGCTATTGAATTTTGTGAATTATGTGCGCATTTGTATATATATATATATATATATGTATATATACGCGCCAATTGAAAAACCATTACCGTTTAAGGTTACTTTTAGTCCCGTATTCGGTGTTGGTTTTATGAATGTGATGAGAAATTGATGTAACAATTGTTTGGATGTATAATTATATGCATATATATACAAATATTCACACACGTGAGCCGCTGTAAATTCCATTTGGATTGCCTCCCACGCTTCGCCTGCGCTCCTCTTGTGTTGGGAAATACTCATTTATATACTTTCTTTCACGTATATACATACATTCATGTATGAATACATATATGCATCATTTGAAAAAGTAAATAATACTAACTATGTTGATATGGGATGTGGAGTTCTAACTCAATTACTGCACTATATTAGAAGCTTCACTGTGTATAGCCTCATATTTTCAGATTCGATGCAATAGGAGGATCTGATAACGAAGCTCAGAGTGCTGCACAGAAGACATTCCTGCAAACCCCTCCTGTCTGTTAGTTTAAGTGCCGCAAGCTGACCAATATAGACGTAAATGTAAGCGATGCTGCTAAAAATGCAACTTGCAAGTGAGTGCAGATTACAGCTGCCATAACAAACACTAAAAAGAATGGAGGAAATGACAAGATATGCAAAATGGTCATCGTTTGCCAAGAAAGCTTCTGCAAAACTACGAAGTTCAAGGAAACGTCCTCAAATCAGCCTTCACAAATGGCTGCTAATTGTGTTTCTGGTGAAGGCAAACAGAAACTCTGGTCGTCCTGCTCTTCTGAACTCATTCTAATACTCACGCCGCATCAAGACGTACTAGTATTAAATGCTTCTCAGTGGTGAGCACCAGGGATAGTTAACCGATGACAAGTGTCAGTCACCAAAGATTTAATCTGAATTCATTTTCAATTTATTGAGAATCTTTCACGACAGGCTCCTCAGAGCGCTCAAGCTTCGAGTCCTGAGGTGGCTCCCGAACTGGATCGACAGAGCTGGGTTGGGCATCAGGGACAACAGCGGGTGGCGATGATGAGATGGACGGCGAACTGGCACCAAACGAGCCACGAAAGAGCTTGGATGAGTCTGTGAAGGCTGATCCAATGCCTGCGCCAGCTCCAAAAGCCACAGCAGCCCAGCGCGTAGAGGGGCTCCTAAAGAGGAGCAAGGCACTTGCGGCTCCAGAGAGGGAACCATAAACAAAGCGTCTCAAGGTAAGGTCAATAGCTGCATCCCAGTTCTCTTCATACTGGCGTTGGGGTGGTCGCTCCATCTCCTGCATCAACACAATTTTTCAGCTATTTCTACGTTAGTATCAAGGGTCCACAGAAGTTAGAACTTGAGAAATTGAATATTAATCCATTTAACCATAAAACTAAACTTAATTCTACGTTTAGATCATTTTAAAAGGGTATAGACGAAAGACAAACTATGTCGATGGCGTGGTATGTTATTCATGTTGTAAGATATCATCGTATGACGTGAGTCGGGAAGTACTCTCTTAAAGACGTACAACCAGGTTCAACGTTGACAGCACTCGATGCGCTGTTACGTCATCGTGGGGATCCCGCGCTCTGTTTCGAAAATTTCTCGATCGTTCCTAGAATATAAAGGCGTAAAAATCTGTCAAAGCCAATATATAGTGGAGATGTATCCCAACAGACAAAGTGAGAGCAATGAGATGCACTAAAAAATTACGATAAAATCTTCTAATGCGTTCCAGAGTTTGATTGGCACCTGCTCCAACACCTAAAATCCCATACATCACTGAACCGGCCAAGCTGAAAATAAATGCATATAGCTGATCAAACATGCCCTAGTTAAACGGTCCTGAAACAATAGCGCCCTAAATTATGTTATGATTTCGAGCTGACTAATACCGCTCTCCGCACAATAAAAACTGTCTCACCAGACCTATGCCGAAGCAACTCCTCTCCCTCGTAATCTCTCTATTCTTATGATTCCGATCTCTAGCTAAGTCAGCAGGAATCAAAAACCCTTGATTCCAGAAAAACTTCCGCAAACCCGCACCTCATACTGATCCTAAACCCGTCATCGTAACTAAACGAATCCCTAAACCTCCAAATCACGCTCCAGATTCTAAAACCTAATCAAATGCCCATCAGCGAAACCCGGGAACGACCAAGCTCTAACGAAGCTTACCAAGGCAAAGGAATGATACAGGGAGAAAATACCAGAAGGGGGGATTCAACACACCGCTTGATTCTTTTATAGGGCGAACAACGACACTCGCCGTTCAGCGCACCCACAGTGTACAGTATGAAAAACGAAGCTCGAAAAAGGTCGACAACTTATCTCGCCTCAAGTCTCCAAGTCTCCTGATTCCGAGAGCTCACTCGCACTACCTCGAGAATCGTGTCGCAGAAACCTCCGTATTCAATCGACTGGCTCCGCCATCGTGAGCCGTCGGATCTCAACTGCAGCTCAGATGCAATCTCAACCGCTGATCGGATTTCTGGGAACGTAGGGGAACCAGGGGGGGCAGGTTGGAGACAGGGCAGTATGGAGGGCGGTAGGTTTTTAAGTTTTAATATAAAAACGGCTGAAAAAACTATTATTATTTAAAAAAATCTTATAATCTTATATGTATATTACTTGAAAAAAATCCCATTAAATTCAAACTATAAACTTCTTTGATTTATATTATGTGTATATGCAAACATAAAATCTTATTTTTTCTTCAATTGTGTTATTTTATTTATTTCTTTTAAGTTTATTTAAATAATATATGTGTGTATATATATATATATATGTATATTTCTCATTATTTTTTTTATTATATTTAATGTTATACAAATGTCTTATAATGCTTCAAAAACAAGTTTGTAACTTGGATCTTTTTCCAATTTCCAATGCTTTATATGGATTTATTCTTACATTTTTTAGCAAGACTTCTATTGCAATTATTTGTATTTCTATCTTAATTAAAGATTACACTTCTTAAAAAAATAAAAAATATCCATGATAAAATTAAATGAACATTTACAAGATTAAATAATTAGAAAATTGGTTAATTATCTTACCTACCATCTTAATTTTATAAGTTTTTATTTATTCTTAACTGTAAAGTTTACTATGTGTAAGGTATATCTTGTTTTAAAATACCTCTTTTATAAACTCTTTATAATTATTATTATACGATATATATATATATATATATATATATATATATATATAACTCAAAACTAAGATGTTTTGTGCATTACTAAAGCTTTAAGACTATTATTTTAAAATTGAACTATATTGTTGTCATTAAACTATAACCCCCATTAATTTAATTTTTTATTTTCATTGAAATAACATATGTTATATAATTTTGAAAATTATCCAAATACTTATGTTTAAGTTTTTTTCCTTTTTTTTGGATCATTATGTTGTATGTTAATGTGATGTAAATTTTTAATTTTTTTTTAAAAATATTGTGTTCATTAAGATAATGTAAAAAATTACTAAAATAGACGGAAGTAAAAATAAATATTTAAAAATTTAATTTAGAAATGAAAAATATATTGCATAATTTTTATATTTTACAGAATTTATATTTTTATATTACACAAAATTCATCATCCATGTACGTCAATGTGGATTCAGTGCGGGCCCAATGAGGAATGGGTTCAGAGTTCCCAACCTACAGCCCTCCAACCTGCCCGTCCCCTTGGTTCCCTCACGTTCATTCCCACCGTTCCCAGAAATCCGACGGCCCAAGATGGCGGAGCCAGTCGATTGAAAAAGGAGGTTTCTGCGACACGTAGTGACGAGGCTCGCACTGGCACATTCTCCGCACCCTGCCCCTGTTCCGCTGCACGTGTTGAGATTGCGACGTCATCTAAATGACGTGGAACTCTCCACGTAGATTTTAAGCTCCCACTTCAATTCGACTCTAAATGCCAAGAAATAAATAAATTCTAAAATGTCATGAAATAAACAAATATAATCTTTAAAAAGGATTTAATTGAGGTATGAGTGTCTGGAATTTAGGATCTAGCGAACGATTAAGTAAGAAAAGAAAAAGGAAAGCTGGGAACAAGCATAGGCATCAGAATTCAGTGATACTGTACATTTGGAGAGCTAACGGCTGCACTTTACCACTGGTTTTTTTTTGGATGTGAGAATAAGTATCTGCTTCGATTGTGTTGGAGAAACTGCACTGGCTAGGTCATCGTCACAGTGGCATATAAAAATCGTCGTCGCAGAGTAAAGTCCTAATGCTGGTCGCAAGCTTCCCCAAGATTTGTAACTTCATGCATCGCAGCAACATCATCTTGTGTTGAAGCACCCTGTGGAAGTGAAGTCACCTCATGTTCGAGCCCAGGCTTTAGTCTCTCTCTCAGATTCGTTCATTGCGAAACCTTCCAATGCGCCATTCTGTGTTCATTTGCCTCCAGCTCAGTTCTAACAATCGCATTCCAAGTTGCGTAGTTGCGCCTCACCCGCCCACTGGGTGCTCTTGCGTATTTATTTGATGTTTACCGCTCTGGCTCATTGCGGTAGTCAATGTTGGATTGCTCTTGTTGAGCCTGAGGTTTGAATTGTGTTGGGAGAAGAAGCGGTGTTTTTCTTTCTTTGTTTTGATGATTTAAGTGATAGGTTGCTGCTGGAGAAGAGAGCTCGAGGATTGCGTGACATGCGACACAATTTGTGACTGGGTCGGCCACGTATTGGATTTTATCAGCCATAGAGGGGTAGGAAGCATGAGGTTGGGGGTGACCCACACGGGGGTGTCGCATTCTTATCTGAGTGCTCACGGTCGCTTTCACCATGAGATTGGAACGACATCGCCCTCGGTGGTGTGCCTTCGGGTGGTGAACCGGGATGGGGAGAGCAGTAGGAAGGGGTTTGGAGGGGGTGACGAGAACAAGAAGAAGGCGAAGAAGCAAGGTGGAGGTGCAGGGAAGCAGCAATATCTGGGTGGTGGCGGTGTGAGACGGGAGGATAACAGACGCGCCGTTGCTGTGAAAGAAGGCTCAAGGCAGCTCCAGAATGTGCTCAGAAGTGTGGATAAGGTCATTTGAAGGCTCTGACCATGGTTTGTTTTGGGGCTTTCTCTAGTATAATGTAAATCGGGATGGATCTTGAAGCGGGGCCGATGTGCATTTAGGGTCTCATGAATTTCGAAGTGATGTGGGTTCCAGGAAGAATAATTGAAATTTACTTACGATACTGGGTTGTATTGAAAACCATTCTGTTTCAAGGGTTTGGTCCTTGAAAAGACCTCCAATTTCCCTGAAGACGAACTTTAAGCTGTGATATGAGTCTCAATGCATAGACAGTCATCTGTTGCTGTAGACACTGTCTGTGATGTAATGCCATGACTTTTGCTGATTCGTTTTCTTCCTTTGAGTTACAAATTTGGTGAAATAACATAGATCTTACCGACTCGAATATGTCTATATTGATGCAAACGGGTTTTCTCGATCTAATTTCTCTACTCGTGAAATGTGGGTGTAGGAAACTGCCGCTCAACAACAAAAGAAATTGGGCATAGATCCTGACATGGCAGCGAAAGGGAAAGTAGACTTTGTTCGGGTGGAGGCGTGGGGAGCCGAGGGCACTGAAGCTGAGCTAGAAAACTTAAAGTTGAAGAGTTTTAGTCCAACGTATAGTTCGGAAGACACTGCGCCTTTTTATGAACAGCTTGTTCGGCGCCTGCAACTTTTAGAATCTAAGGTGACATATCAGATGCTATTTACGAGTGGACCTATGCTGCTCAATATCACTATCGTGTAATCCGTGAGAACCTTGCGGGCACTGCATTATTCTGTCATATACCCTTCTTTTAGTTTAGACTAGTTGTTTCTTTCAGTACTTATGTTAGGTCATGGGACGAGAGGGCAGGGGGAGTTGGCAGTAGTGCAAGCAAAGCCGCTGCCACCGTTCGAACGCTGGAACTTTGGCGAACAACGCTATATGCAGTTCCTACAGGACCAGGTTTGTATCCAAACTATGCCCATGGCTGGTCTTGGAAGATTTGTTTTCTTTAAGCTTGGTTTGTTCTCAAAAATCCCGACACAAACATCGAACTCCACATGGAAATCCTTACTCATGCAAAGAATTCTAATATCTAGGTTCGGTATGTATGTTCGATTTGATTGCTCACTGATTCGTGGTTCTGTGTGTATGTTAAGTTCCTTGTAAGTAGCTCTTGCAAATCCTCTCACACAGAAATGACACTGCTCTTATCATGCCATGTTCGCCAAATTGAGTAGCTGGCATTGAAGTAAATGTTTTTTTTGCGTATCTTTGTGGCTCAGCTTGCAGTCTACACAGCTTTGAAGGATGTTATCGCAGCAGTAAAGAACTCAAGAACCCAGGGTGATACAATTGCCTCTGATAGTGTTGACGATATTGACAACAGAACTTCATTAGCTATAGCCACTTTTGACTCCAGTCTTGGACTCGATCGTCATGAGGTCAGCCAACCCTCCAATCTCATCTCTCAGCTTCGAATTCATATCTTACAAGACTGGTTCATATCAGTAGCCAATTTGAAGTTTGTAGTTCGCCTATGAGCCTTGTTTGGAAGAGGGCACTATCATTACAAAAGAAGCTGAACTTGGATGTTACGACTAATATGATGTTTACTGGAAGAAGTCTGACGAGGGCTCATATATATCCTAGATTGACCATTTTCCTTGAGCAATTTTTAGGGGATTATGAGGTTAAGGATAGGTCAAATCTTCGAATCTGCATTCTCAAGTAATCATTATAACTCTCACCAAGTTAGCTTGTGAGTATTGGGTTGATGAACATAGCTACTATGGTTTGTTCTTTAACTGGTAAGATTTGATTTTGGTCAGGAGCTTGCAGCAGATATTCAAGCTTTGAGCGAAGCAACCAGTCGTATTGGTATGTCTTTAGAGGTTGGAGCTCCCACGACTCAAACGACTGCTTATATTAAGGTACCTACCTAGTTACCCTTTTCATAGGATAAATGGGAAAAGTTCGTTGTGAAAAGACATTTTTCAGTCTTGTTATTTTAGTGCATTGAAACTGATTTGACATGATCAAAAGCTGAAATTGTGTGTGTGCTAGTGGATGACCGGTTTATATTGTTTGATGTCAGCGCTTAGAGCAAATAGGACTCAGTGCTACATCTACAGAGAATGGTCCAGCAGAAGGATGTCTTCGATTATTGGCACATATTTTTGCAATTCATGTGGCCCACCTCACTACAGGTGAACACTTACTGACACTGGGCGTTAATGTTTACGAAAGGATTTTTCAAAACCTTCCTCTCAATGCTAATTCGCCTAATCTTATTTGCAATGTATTCCGTTGTTTCAAGAATCTTACAACCCTAATCGTATTGACAGGCATGAGGGTGGGAGCGAAAGCTGTGGAATGCTTGTCCTTATTAAAAGAGGCCAGAGCTGTGCGCTTTTACCGTGACTACCCTAAGGTTTAACTTTTGCTCAATTATGCACTTTTTGTCTTGTGTGTCTTTGTAGGTGTAATCCGATTATTGACGGTTGAAAAGAAGCAGACTTGAGTGCAGCGTTTGCTAGGATGGCTGAGTTGGACGTTGCCTTGTTGAAGTTTCAGTTTCGTTCTGTTTTCATTATGGACATTGAAAAAAGAACTTGTCCCTTCTGATCAAACCCAAATTCTTTAAAAATATGCATTGATCCGGTGGCTCTGTATGATTCATGGTCGCAGCAAGCGCAAGATCCACTGAGAGTTCTGATAGGGGCGCTGAACACGGCAGGTTCCTACCTGGTTCTGCCCGAGGAACGTGAACAGGTACATAAATCACTGATGCAGCCATTTGCATAGTCATTTTCCTTTCGGAACTATGTTTTCTACTGCCTTCTGCCCCATCTATATATATATACACACATTTATCGTGACTTTCCATTGCCGTTACTTAAATCCATTAAAAGGTAAATCACATGTGAAGGCCTCTAGGTTATATTTGTGTTTTTTATTTTATTTTTATGTTTTATGTTTTTGTTTTTTGCACGTGTATCGTGTTGAATGTGCTAATCATATAGCATCATTCGATTTGCAGGTGATGCAGGAGCTACCAAAAGCCATTCAGAGAACAAGCTTGTTATTATCAGTTCTTGCTGTTGAAGAACAACAATAGCGCGACATTTTTGGGGTTAGTACCAGATTAGAATTTGTTTGAGGATAATGCATTTGCTTCATAGAATTACCAGTATTCCGTCATATCCCTTCACAACTTCGTTTGCATCTTCTCTCCTTGTGAGGGAATGTGCGGCTCAACTAGGGTGTTACGAAAGTAATGAGAATCACGCTTCCACCGAATGGTATTCACATTCATAACCTTTTTTTCAAATGATTTGTGCTGGCTATTGTTGGAGTGCACCAATCCCCTGTACCACGTAGTCACTCATTTTCTGTAAGTTCAATGGGATCCTGTGTTGACGTGTTGGCATCTCAAGAATCCACAGATTGCAATAGATCTGTACCTTTTAGATTCCTGGCGTTTCTTTCTTGTGGGTCACGCAAACAATTGTCTCAGCTTAAGAGACTAGTCGTCACTCAATAGAATGCTTCTTCCAGTTGGGTGTTCTCTTCCCTTCAAAGCCTGGAAAGGATTCTTTCCAAGTCAGTAGATAAACAAACAGTCCTTTTGGAGTCTGTAATGTTCTTGTTTAGCTACTTTGGGACTATTATCATCTGGAGCAGGATCATACATGCACCAGTGTCAATAATGGATCGAACAGGGACACTTTGAGATTCATCAGAAGTCTTTCCATTCTTCACAGTTGATTTTAGAGGCACTAACGTGTTAAGACTCGGTTGTGGAAATCAGCCGTGGTCAACTATAAATGTAATGAATCATCACCATTTCCTAGGACCAATCTTAATCGTAATGGCAATACAAGGTAGTCTGGCTTAATAAGTTAGTGATTCTTATATTAACTATGAAGAATGAAAAGACTACAAGTAGATATATTAATAGATAAATAAATATAAGATGATCAAAGTGAATTGTTATTGGACTCTCAATAATGTTATGCATTCTTTCTATCTTGATAATTATGTTTTTCACAAATGTTTATGTGAATAAAGAACTTGAAGTTGTCAATTTTAAATTGTGAAAATTATTAATATGTGATATGATACTAATATTTTAACAACATAGTAGTAAATAACACCAAATTCATTTTAATTTAGTGTTGTAATTTAATTTTTCATGATGCATAAGTTAATTTGGTGTTGTAATAATTTTAATGTGGTTACTTTAATTAATTAATTATTTTTTTAAAAATAAAATTTCAATGTAATATATTCATTTAAAAGATAGTATATTAGTATTTGAATTTATATAATATGATAAGAACTTAATAGTTCTAAAATAGAATAGTGATTTTTTTGTAATATTACTTAGATAATTCAACTATTGAAATACAAAATTTTGAATAAGTAACTTCAAAACAAATTTTAGCATCTTTTTTGCTATGACAAACTGAAGATACTAAAGACAAATTAAGTAACTTAAACTTTGAATAAATTATAACTTGTTTATCTGTCAAGGATAAGAACATGATAAAAACAAATAAACAAGTGAGACTTCTCTCAAAGAAAGATGCCAAAAAAACCCTAACTTGATATGTATATTAAAAAAGAAACTAGAATGGCTATTGCCAAAAGCCAAGAAAACTAGAGACCCTTGAAATTAGACTTGAAGCAAGAAAAAAGTTGACAAGAGTGAAGAAGGCTTCACTCTTGTCTTTATATATACTATCTAACTAGGGGCTACATGGCGATGTTCTATAGGACCTGCAATATGTGTTGACTTTGTAGGACATATGCCTTGACTTACAAGGCAAGTTTTTCTACGTGTAGGCCACATAGTTAGTTTGGTCTTCAAGCTAACAATATGTGTGGCACATGGCCAACTTATTGACCACATATCTAATCCCAAAAAGTCAATTAAAGACACCTATAAAGTCAAAGCAGTGTCTACAAAGCTTCTAAGAAGCTTCCATAGCAAATATTATAGAATTAACTTACTTTTACCTACTTTTATTTATTTCTACATATTTATATATGTAATTACTCACTTACATGCATATGTCCGTGACATTATCTCCTCTTTTAGGGACAAGTTCCACGAGGAGCAGTCATCATATGTTGAGAAAATCTATGATGTGACAAATTATATTTGCCACATACTCTGATCTTTGTTCTCTTCGAAGATGATTGATAGGGCCTCTCAACCATTGATAGTATCCTATACCAAGGCGAGAAGACCACCCAGTTATTTGATCATTGTTGAGGCCTTCATAACTTCCTTGGAATAAAACATTTGGAACACCATCAGAAGTTGTTCCTACTTTTAGTAAAATCACCAAACATCGAGAGTCCCTTCTAAAGTCGTGATACCAAACGCATTGTATCTCGCCATCTATTCGAGGAAGAACATGTTGTTCTTGAAGATTTTCATCTCGATTGCATTGTCTTGAAGGTTGTGACAATCATAATGTCTCGTTCGGCAGGTCAACAAACAAAGGTTCTTGAGTCGAATCCGCTGGTTGTTGGTTCTCCATCTCCTCAGCATTATAACTACAAAGAAGCTACAAATAAGAATTGAAAGTAGAATGTTATCTTACTTAGATCTTATTTCTTTTATAAGAAAGGTTTTCATCTTGATTTTGATAGATGTCATTGATGAAAAGCCTCCATCGCCTTTGCTACATTTGCAAGATTCTTTACTGTCTCCCATATGCGTTGACTAATATCATATCCATGCCAATGGACAAGATATTCCAATTTATTTTGACATTGTTGTCGTATTGCGTGCTATCTTGCTTGAAAATGTACCGAACGTTTGGTTGTGGAAGATAAAACAATGTTTTGTAAGTATCCGGGTAGGCTAGTGGATTTCAACTATTTAAATACAAACTAGTTCGAATTTCAATGTAAAAGCTTAATTCCAATATAAAGTGCTTAGAAATACTATTTTTAATAACTTCAAGATATTATAAGCACAAATCTTTTGTTATTTGTTAGTTTTTATTTTATTTTATTATTATTATTATTATTATTATTATTATTTTTAATCCTAATCCTAGACAATGAGCTTCGGCAAGCTGTAATTCTTAATTTGACCATTCGATTGTTGTAAACTTCTACCACTAGTGTCTTTGTAAGCCTTCTAAATGCTCAAGAAGTTTCAATCCAATCTAACTTACAGGTTGCAAGAAAACGCCGTAAATCCATACTGATGTATCTTGACTGCCGCCTAGAAGTCTTAACTTACCACGCCAAAGTCACCTTATTCTAGCTGGTAGATCTCCAGATATTACAGAAATCCCAAACAACTCCGATCTGCTAACTTTCGATACCTCTTTACACTAATGGTCAAATATCCTCTATTTGTTTTGTCAGATTAACACAAACTTTTGCATGCACTCGGCATGCTCAACCTTCTAGACACCTCTAAATTTCAATCGTAGAAGTTTCTCCAATTTCACAAAACAGTCAAAAGTACCAGCCTTAACTTTATTGCAAAAAAAAAAAAATCCGAATCACCAATACAAACACCGACTTTCAGCAATGATTGCAAAAGTCCTCTCAAATCTTATGAAATCCAATTCTACACCTTTCGAAAGAGCTTGAAGCTAGCCCTCCGACTCCAAAATCATGATCTGTGAATGCCCCTTTCTTTATCCTCTCCTCCCTTTTAACTCAATGTGGTCCTATTTTCTCTCGCCCTGGACTCCGAATTAGAATAGCTGATCGCGCTTCCCGGAAATTCTTGTCTCTAAGAAGATCTTTCCACGGAAAGGATGTTCCTCCTGAAACGGCATAGAGAATGGAACAACTTGAAATAGAACCGAAGCCTCCGTATTCGAGACCTCATTGGATTGTCCAACCAAGTCACGTCTCATATTGGATAAGAGGTCTATACCAAGACATGGATTGGATATCCTTGTAATTGGGTCAAATTGGCCCTTGACATCAAACTCACCCAAATATTAAATTGATCATTTTTCTTTTTTTTGACTCTTGGTAAGAACGGCTCGGACTCATTCCACTTGATTTATTGGAGAATCTTGAGGACCTTGATTTACCTCTTCAATTTTTCCTTGGTATTGGATCTGCTGATCCCATTTATTGAAATTGGACGGAGCATTACATTGTTGATAAGTATGCCTCGACTGCTTGCAGTTCCTACACACTGACGCGTAATCATCATTGGCTTTAGGATTGGAACATTTACTGATATAATGATCAACATGTCTATAGTGGAAACGACGAAGTGGTCTTCCTATACTCCATCATGCATATTGGGTGTCTCCATCGATATATACCTACTAGGCTTGTTCCATGTAGGGTTGGAGAATGATCCTGGTTGTTCTGTTGGTACGGAGGGTACTTGGTTTGATGACGCTGGTGGAGTGACATTAATTGACCCTAAATATTGGCACTAAAATTGGCTACTATTTTTAACATCCAAGATGACTAAATATTAATAATATCTTATTTATTTATATTTTTATCATATAGTCATGTTACAACACAACATCCACCCCCTCTGAACCTGTGCATCATCTGGTATGAACCAAATAACCCAATTGTTGTTTGATTCATAATACATTCTCCAAGTATTCGTCCAAATCTTCTTCATCATTTTTGCTATCCATGTCAAATTCATCTTCCTGTTGAGGAATATCTATATCTTCACCAATGTCTTTTATATTTATTTTTATGTATTTTTGTTTAAATATTTTTATTTACTTCCTTACAATTGGTATTTTTAACCTTATTCCATCTAACTCTCGCAATGAGTAAGTTGCATTATCATGAACAGTTGTTACCACATACGATCCAAACCATCGTTTAGAAAACTTCTTTGAAGTACTATGTTGATTGTCCAAGCTACTATCATAGACCAAAACCCAATCACCTTCTTCAATTGCTTTAGGCCTCAATTGATGCTGCTTATCAAATCGTGTCTTCTTTTGTAACCTCGCTCTTTTTAACCTTTTTAATGCTATTTGCACATCTTTTGATCTTTGCTCTAATTGTTGAATTTTAATAGCTAGAAGTTCTTCTCTTGTCAATCCATCTTCCCATGGTAGCACACTCCAAGTAGGTACTTTTTCTTCAATTGGCATAATTGGTTTTTGGCTTGTCATAAGTTCAATAGGCATATATCCCGTTACTGAGCTATGAGTTGTTTGATCAGCCTATAATGCAAATGACAAAAGTCGTGGCCATTCTCTAACCTTCCCATTACAAGCTTTAACTAATGCTTTTACAATCGATGGGTGACCACGTTCACTTTTTGCATTTCCTTTAGGATTATAAGTAGTAGTCAGTGAT